AAATGACATCTTCTCATTCCAATAGGTATAGAAAGGACGCAGCCATCTGAGGCAGACTCAGCTTGATGAGAGAGGTCGTGCTCCACTTGTTTCATTTCTGGAGAGAATAGAAGCCTGTTGAGTGGAAATGGCAGCACCTCAGCCTCATATGGAGATTTTTACCAAGGATTCCTTTAATCTATATTGCGAACGTTTTGTCTGAGCTTGTCCTTGTTTGAATCCTTAGTAGTTATCATGTACCTACTATGTTCTAGACACAGGGCCTTGTGAACTAGAGACTTATTTTTAAGCTTTGTGGCAACCTCTTAAGGTGGATACTTTTAACCCATTTCACAGATGAGCAATCTGAGGATCAGGATGTTAAGTGACTTATTCAAGGCCACACAGTCAGGAGGTGGCAAATATAGGATTCGAGTCTGCAACACCTTCCATAGACAACAAAACCCTGCTGCTTACAGTGAAAACAAAAGGACAGAGGGTCACTCTGACCCTCCAATCGTGTGACTGGGTTTCTGTCCTGCACATCACCAGGAGCTTTGGCTCTTTCCTTTTCATGAAAGCTTTCTCCTCCAACTTCATTTCTCCGTGTACAGGCTGAGACCCAGAGATCTACTCTTCATGGTTTATAAGAAATGACACCACACATGAAATCCTGCAGACGTATAGGAAAACGTGTCTTTGGTTTTACTTCTGCCAAGTAACTGCATCTCCAGAGGTCTTACAAAATACTAGTTAAACTTGCACTTCCCACACAGGAACTTGATATTATGGTTGTTAATTATTAGTCACTCACAAGAAGCGTCCCCCCCAAGACAGAGTGATTCCATTTTATTGAGATAGAAATGAAAACAGCCTATTACTTGCTTACAGATCAGAGGGAATGTGCCAAATTCAGAATTGTAACTTAGTGATGTGATCACAAAATATGGGAATATGATTTACCTGAATTTTTGAACTTGGAACCAATTTTGTGCTGAAACATGAAAGCTTTCCAACTCTAACGCCTATGAGTAAATTTTAAATACTTTTGCTCAATATCCATATGTTGTATGTACACATTACACCTTTATGTTTCTATGCATATTACGGTCATGCATCATGTAATGATGGGGATACGTTCTGTTAAATCCATTGTTAGGTGATTTCGTCGTTGTGTGAACATCATGGAGTGTACTGAAGGGCAACAAAATTTCCCACCCCGAAATGTATCTCTTCAACATGAGGATTATTTTAGGCTGATTGTTTTTAAGAAACAAAAGACTCAAAATCTTTTTTGTTACCTCCTGCTTAACTGCCTGAAAGAATTCCTATTAAAAAAACCTGTCTCAGGAAGCAGCTATCATATTAGCATAACATGAACTAGGAGATAGACAGGGAGGAACCTAGAAAGGCTTTTTGGGGGCTCCCCTCTGTTCTGTTTCTGTGTGGCCAAACACTTAGTTTTTAAATGTTTGCTCCTTTTGAACTCCCTGTGAATTGTCTTTGAAGTCCCTGACTCTCCCACCCCCAACATATTCTGTCTTTAGCTAAGGATGGTATTTAAGGTGGTGGCTTGGGCCATTTTGGTGAGTTACTTGGTTTTCCTGGATTTCTCCCATGTATACGTGTTATTAAACTTTTCTTTGTTTTTCTACTGTTAATCTGTCTCATGTCAATTTAATTCTTAAACCAGCCAGAAGAACATAGACGGGTAGAGGAAAATTTTTTCCTCCCCTGTACTACTTACACAAATCCAGATGGTCTAGCCTACTACACACCTAGGCTATATGGTACTGATCTTATGGGGCCACTGTGGTGTATGCAGTTCATTGTTGTTGTGTGGTGCATGACGGTGTGTATTATCTCAGACTGTAAGCTTTCCAGGTAGGGACTATGTCTAATTTACTTTTAATCTTGAGTCTTAGCCTAGTGTTTGGCTAAACTTTATCCTTGTACTCCTGGACTTATTTCACTTGAGAGAACTTAATCCTTAATATGTTTGAATGTGTCATTTAAAATTCATTTCATTTGAAAGTGATTTTGCTGTAATTTACTGGTATGCTTTGACCAAAATTTAGTCTGAATCCAATTATGAATGGGGAGCAACTTCAGAAGTTGAAAAGAGAAATGTTTCTTCTTCATTGGCTTTTTGTCGGGGGGGGGGCGGTGGCGGGTCAGGGAGGGCCAAGTTAAATAGTCAAACCTCTATTTTAAAGGTTTTAAAAGTGAAAATAATTTTCTTTGACAGCTGTAAAAACATAGGAAGGTGGGAATGTATAAAGCGGAAACAATCTTGTGCTTGTTGGCAAAGTGATTACATAATTTGAGACAGATGAAAATGCCTAGAACCAGGGGGAACTCGTCCAAAGAATTATGTCTTCCATTTTTGTAGAGTTGAGGGAATACGCAGAATAGAGATAATTATTTACGTGGTATTTGTAAATCTTTATATTTTTATTAAGTAAAAAGTGTGCTGATCCTTCCATGTCTGATGAATTCTTTCCAATACAAACAGAACTTCTACTTTCTGCAGTTCACTGATCACTTGGTTCATAAAACTTTTCACTTTTGCTTTGAATAACGTTTTGAGATCCCGTGAGTGAGTGAAAGAATATTGGGTTACTGAGATTTTACGCTGTGATATTGAGATGAGGATGAACAAGGACCCCAGGGTCATGCTTGAGGATGATTTCTGGACTTCAGAACTCGGTGGTTCTCAAAAGCAGGGGAGGATCGTACATGGCAAAAGAGAGGAGGAGGAAGATAAAATAATACTCTGGTAAGAGGAATGTTAGAAGTGAGTCTAGGGGAGAGAAAACAGATGTTTGGAGGGAAATTGAAAAATTAAAATCACTAAGCAATGCTTCAAGTTGGCATTGTGATTTGACGGTGTACTCAGGTCCCTGAAACTGCCCCCAGGTGAGTAAGGGTGAGACCAGAGGTGACCACTGGTCAGATTTTGATTTTATATCATTCCACGTCATTCTTCTTTTTAGATGTTGTAAGGATCTGTGTAGAAGTAATTCTCAAAGCCCAGAGAAACTAGTTATTTCCATCCTACCCTCACGTCTAGCTGATCTCTCTGAGTTCTATAGCTCCACTTCTGCACTGATTTCATATAAAGTCGTGAAATATATTGATGATGATTCTAATGTGTAATGAAGAGACCTCTATTTAAAGACTAGGAGTCTTCTCTGGATCTGTATGCCTGTCAGAAATAGGATTGTACTGTTCTGTTTCTTAGCTTGTATAAGAAGTATAGATAGAAATGGAGATTGATGCTTCACTTTCACACAGTAACCACTGGCAAAGCCAGAGGTGGAACCATCTTGTTCCATGTGTGTATATGGTCTCACCTACTTTCTCTAAAAGATTACTTGGAAACAACTAGAGATAGGCCAAAAGGCAAGGATTAATCTTCATTTTTATGATAGAAAATTGAGTTAAAAATAAGAATCCTACCTCTTTTAACAAAGGGTCATTATTGCCATATGACATGGCCAAGCCTGGTGAATGTCAAACCCATCTTCTGTAGGATTTTTATTAATCAGACTCACGATCTCTGGTCTTTGCATGTCAGAGTTTCAGACTATCCTGGAATGTGTCTTGGTAGGTGAAAAAGAATTCACTTCCGAAAGTTCTTAATGTCTTTCAAAGCAGTTTACTAACTAGAGTAACTTGGAAGGAAATTAAGAAAAAAATGAGAGTGAAACCTCTTCACTTCTTTGAAAAGCATGGGAATGAGAATGAGTGAAAATAATATCTTTTCTGACAAAAGTTGTGCTAAATCAAGTCTTGTGTGTGATGTTAGCTGGACATTTGTGACAGTTGGGTGTTGTAAGTGTCTGGTTAGTGAAAATGACAATTATGAAACAACAAAACAATTAAGGATAGGCAAACGTTCATTTCAAGCATGACCCTGTAATTGTTTGTCATGTTGCTTAAAAGCGTATCATGACTTCAGACAGACAGCCCTGAGGTTCAGTCTTACTCCATTACTTGGTAGCTGTGGCTTTGGGAAAGTCCTTTTTTCATGTCTTCATACATAATCCTCATACGTAAAATGGGGATAATATAATATGGTCAAACCATATGAAATTACTATCTGTGAAGGTCAAAAATGATCACATATTGGCAAGTTTATATGAGTCAATCTAACAGTTTCTACCTCACAGAGTTATTGTGAAGATTAAATGAGAAATGCACATAAAATGCCTGGCATATTGTTTAGCTCATAGTAAGTGCTTAACAAATGGTAGATATTATTATTCTTAAGTAAATCATGTTATTATTTTCAATGTAATAATTACACTCAAAATCCTATTTATTTACAAACTTACATAGTCTCAAAATTTAAATCCAAGCTATCCATTTACTAGAATACAATAATGGAAGGTAAATTTATCTTTCCTGTGAACATTTGCAAGGCAGTTGTTGCTCAATAAAATGCAAAAAACGTGAGACTACAATATGCATCTATTTGTATCCGGTTCTTTTACTTGGCATAATGTTTTCAAGGTTCATCCATGTTGCAGCATGCGTCGGTACTTCGTTCCTTTTTATTGCCAAACAACATTCTATTGTACGGATATGACATTTTGTTTATCCATTCATCAATTGATAGATATTTGAGTTGTTTTCACTTTTGGGCTATTATTAATAATTCTACCATGAACATTTGTGTACAAAAGAATACATTGTATGATTTCATTTACATGAAATGTCCAGACTAGGCAAATCCATAGAGAGAGGAAGTGGATCAGTGGTTGTTGGGGGCGGGGGGGGGGGAAGGGGAATGGGGGTGACTACTAATGTGGTTTCTTTTGGGGTAATGAAATGCTCTAAAATTAGATAGTGGTGATGGTTGCACAAATCTGTGAATGTACTAAAGACCGCTTATGTGTACACTTTACAAGGATGAATTTTATGGTGTGTGAATTATATCTCATTAAACTTGTTATTAAAAAAATAGTGAGAAACACTTTATAATACGTTCACCACATAAAAAAAGGAGACCACCCAATGATTTATGCAGTTTATTATCATAAGGAGAAGCATTCTGCTGTGAGGAAGGTTTTACTAATTTTGCTTTCAATCTACTCCCATTTCAAGCATAATGTGCTTCATTCTTCTTCTGCTCAGCATTTATGATTGGAATTTGACTCTCAAATTATTCAAAGAGTGGAGTTGAGTTTTAAAAGGCAATGGAGACAATGAAAAAAAAAGCAGATATAGCTCAAAGCTAGCAGAATGGTACCGATACTGAAAATTCAATGAAACGAATCAAGAAATGGCTCCATTATCCAGGGGTCCCTGAGAGGAGAGTTTACAACTCAGAAGCAGGAAAAATTAGCGAGAGAGGTTTATTTGCAATTTGCATAGACTCCTCTGCTTTGTGAAATTTAGTATAATTGAAATGTGCTGTAATTTTCAGGAACATTAATGAATTGATATTAGGTTGTCTATAGCTTGTAATTAATGTGCTTCGAGATAAAGATGGCAGTAATGATGTTTTAAATATCCTAGTGCTCATTGGATTTCATTTTTACAGGCAATTTGCAACTCCCCTGAGTAAAATTCATATTCAATTACAGAGACTGATAAATGGGCTTTCCCCCCACTCCTCGAACACTACAAAGCATTAATAGTACTTTCTGATGGCCACTTTCTTGTAGGGAGCAAAATTTATAGCTACATTTCTTTCAAAGCTTCAGCAGCATCTCCTTCTGGCAGCTCTTTACATGTTTTCTTCCACCTCTTTGACTTCAGAAGACACGACCTTGCCGTCCACTACTTCTTGCACTACTGTCTTGATCTTCCTGGTTTTCTTTATATCTGAATTTAGATTTAAACATAAAATGTTAATTCAGACACATGACTCTGCTGGTTTATAATATTCAACTTTAAATTATTATTATTTTGTATGTATTTTCTTTTAGAAAAAGTTAAACCTATTCTCTTTCTTAAATGGTCTTAAGTTTGTTTTATAAATAAATGCAGAAAATGTGCCACTCTCCCCCAATTTAAACATTTTCTACTCTTCCCACCCCAAAGAGAAATAGACAATATTGAATTAAGCAAACTGCAACTTTCATCTTATTTTTCCTTTTCACGATCTCAGAATGTCTCAGGACAGCAATAGTATGGGCCAAGAAAATCACCCTGTCACAGGGAGTGTGACAATTCCCCACATGGAGGTGTCTTTATCTGACGTGCCTGATTTTCAGAATCCCTATGGTAATATCCACTCACTTGAGAGCTGGTCTCCCTGTACTTTTCACCAGCGGTAGATAAGAAGTGGTAAGCTACGGAGTGAGCATTCAGTCTTACAGGAAATGTGTCAAAATTAGAACACTTACCTCTCTCCTCCAGGTGGCTTTTAAGAAAAGAAAAACAGAAAAAAGTGTTATTGCCATTTTGAAAGTGAAGCATTGTCTCACCTTTTTTGTTTCAAAACAAAGTCTGAGTGATGTGTGTGTTAATGCCATGGTTTATATTTTTTTCCCCTTTATAATGCTTACTACTTCAAACTTAAGCGCCTTACTTTTTAACTTGAAAGATACATAGCTTCAGAAGCGACTCCTCTAATGTAGGCTAGAAGTTTCTGTAATTAAAATAAACACAATTACAATGGAAATTTAACTCTTGTTCTCTTGCTGACTTTCTTGGATGTGGTATTGGAAGACAGTTGCCACTGCTGCCCTGAGAAGTCTCAGACTGGTTCCCGCAGGCCTCTGCGGCCTGTTGAATTCATGACCTCTCAGTGAGAATTTAAAAAAATTATTGTGCTTTTGACTTTGTATTAACCAGAAAAATTAACATAAGCATAATCTGTATCATCTGTATAACCATCTCTAACTCAGTCCTATGACACGACCTCAAGTACTAAGGCTGTACTTGGTATTTTTGGGGGTGTGCATAAGTATACCAAGAAGTTTTGGTATATTTTTGTTTTGTTGTTGTTGTTGTTGGGGTGTGTGTGCGTGTAGTTGCTTTTGTGCTAGGCATTGCACTGGTGCTGGGGAATAAGTGACAGGGTTTAATGTGGAAACGTTAAAATAGCACAACATATAGACATTGACACATATCCCCTGATTCTAAGAGCCTTACATTACATCTTCTCCTTCCAGAAGGCGGCGGTATGTTGCAATTTCCTGCTCAAGCCGGGTCTTTATGTCAAGGAGAATACTGTAGTCGTTGTTCTGGCGTTCTGCATCAGTCCGAATCTGCATCAGCTGGAACTCTAGGGTGCTTAGCAGTGCCTGGATGGTGGCCAACTGGTCAGCATAACGAGCTTTGGTCTCTGCTAGTGTACGCTCCAAAGAGTCTTTCTATGAGCACAAGAAAAAGTGGATGTTTCTTATTTGAGGACTTGATTTAAGAGGTGACTCAATTTTAATTTCTTTTCAGAAGAATTTCTGCAGCTAGTTATTGTGGGCATCATGCATATTTCTAGCTTTATCTCCTACTCTTTCCATGTAGGCAACCTCAGGCAGCTAGCTAGGATCACTAGCTCTTGGGGTTTTTGTTTATTTGTTTTTAGCACTGGGCTCACTGTTTTCTTACTGTGGCATTGTATTATTGTTCTCAATATTTGCTTCCCTCCCCTGCAATTTGTGGTGCCCCTCCAAGTGGAGGAGTAGATTTCCTCATCCCTTTGACACCAGGTTTGGTCATGTGGCTTTCTTTGGCTAACGAAATGCAGGTGAACCTGACAAACGCCTTTTCTGAGGAGAAGCTTTAAGAGCTATCACATGGTCTGGCCATTGCTCTTTTCTTTCTGTGACAGCATGGCATGTCCCAGCTAGGATCTACTCCTTTAGCCTTATCTCATGGAGCAGAAATGTTATTGGAGCAGAGCTGCAGCCAACCCATAATGGATGTAGTGTTGTTGTTTTAAAGCACTATGATTTTAGAGTTGTTACGACAGCATAATTTATCATGAGCTGACTGATTTGCTTAGCCTGGAAGGTCTTTACCCCTTTTCTCCAGCTTAAAAATTCATCTCAAGTTTTCAAATCTAGTTTAAATGCCACTTTTCCCTGTGAAGTCTCCATATCTGCTTTTTCCTATGCATCCTTGCAGTACATTGCCCTTTTCCTTAATTTCTTTCTGTCTTTTAATTATAATCCATTGTTTGGCCTGTTTCCCTGCCAGTTCTGCAGGGAGAGGGGTTATTTCTTGTAGGTCTTTGCATTTCCAGAGTTCCCAACCTGGGCACTTAGTAAACACACACTACATTGTGAGTTGGAAGTTAGATGTGCTCTACCTTACTGAGATAGGACTGGAGGTCTATCTCCAGGTTCTGGTAGGTGCGTCTCAGCTCCTTTATGCGACCCTCATTTTCTTTTAACTCTTTAGAGCTCAGGATGACTTCTTGATGCAGAGTTTCAATCTAGACACGTTCCAAAAATGAAAAAATAAATAAGGAAGGAAAGGAAGGAAGGAAGGAAGGAAGAAAATGAGTCCTCTCTTTTTTGTAGGACGGCTTCTTCACATTTACTTACCCTTTAGAATTATGCTCTTACCTGTAGCTCAAACTGCTCTTTAGCCTTCCGAAGGTTCTCCTGGGCCATGGCTTCATACTTCTGCCTCATTTCATCCATGATGGCGCTGAGGTTCAGGCCCGGAGCAGCATCCACCTCTACACTGACAGTGTTGCCCAGCTGTCTGCGTAGGCTGTTCACTTCCTACGAGAGAGAAAATCCCTGATTATAGTCTGAAGCACATTCTCAGATGAGGCTGGGCAGAAAAAACAAAATAAGTCTTCTTCAATTGGGACCGAGTAGAAAAAGAAAGAAAATAATAAACTTAGATAGGGCTTATTATAGTCCAAATATTGCTCTAAGTCATTAACCCTGACAGCAACTTTAGGAAAAGAAGTTAGGGCTTACATCATTATTGTTGTCATCTTCTTCACCATCACCTCCGCCATCCACCCTTCCTCCTCCTCCTCTTTCTCCTCCTTGTTCTTATTAGAGCCATTTTATCATGCCCAATACCACTTCTGAATATTTTCTCACCTCCTGATGTTCTTTTTGGAGGAGAATCAGGTCTTTCTTTAATTCTTCGATTTGAATCTCCAAGTCTGTTTTACGTAGAGTTAGATCATCCAGGACCCTATGGAGGCCTTGGAGATCAGCTTCCACTGTTAGGCGAATCCCTCTCTCAGTCTCATACCTGTGGATTAATTAGTGTGCAGAGATAATTCAGTTCTTCTGAAGCCATTATAGAAGCGATAATCTTAATATAATGAGATGGAGTTTATGTGGTATACAGGGAGATCAATTTCAGTACATGATTGTATCCCCCTTTATACATTCCAAAAATATTTATGAGAACCTTGGAATCAGATAATTTGCTCCATAATATAATCTCTGTGATTTGGCGTGATTGGTAACAAAGCAATCTAAAATAACTCCTAAAAGTTCCTAAATTCTAGAATATATTTTAAAGGAAATAAAAAAGTGTTTTGCTTTAATTAGTGTGTTGTCAAAGTGTTTTCATTATTGATATTAAATGATGGCTAGTTGGAGCTACTTAATGAATGCACACGATCAATTTATTTTTAGTATTTTGTAAACAGATGCATCCAAAGTGAACTATCTTAAAAATTCATGCCTTCTCCTCTATAATCTCATATACTCCCATTTTTATTATAGTAGCACACTTTAAAAAATGATAATGCAATGGAACACTCAGATTCTGACCTAGCAAAATTGAAATTAATGAACACTTACTGCTTTAACCTTCAGATCTACTTTCCCATTTCCTTCTCTTTGATTCCTTGTAGTGTTAAAATGCTAAACTTCTGAATCACAAAAGACTTTTTAGTGCTGATGCATTGCACAATAATGAGGAAGCCCTAGCGTAGAAGCAGTTTATGAGCAACAGCTCTGATCACATGTAGCATGAAATGACTACAAGAGAGTGAACACAATTTGAACTGCTTTGATCATAGTCCTAGTTCTTTGGTTGGCTAGACCGTACTGTAAAACTCTGGCAAATTAGAAAGCATCCAGAGTCACCGCTGGAACTTAAGTCATACACTTGTAGGCACTTGAAGGAACACGGATGGCTCACTTGGAGAATCACTAAGGGTAGATAGATGGCCCCTTTGGGTAACAGAAGGGCGCTTACGCAGAAGGGCTTGTAAACTGTTTTGTTATTACTTCAAAGGACAGAATTAGGTTCAGTGGGCGAAAAGGTAGATGCCAGGTTACTAAACAAGAAAGTTCTAGCAACCAGACCACAGCAAGGAAAACAGTAGTAGTTACTGGCAGTGTTCAGTTACACACGGGGTGACAAGATTTTAGGATTGTGGGAGAGAGAAGTCCAGCCCTGAGTGCTGGGCTAGACCAGATAGCTTCTAACACTCTTTAAATTCCAAGATTCTGAAAATATTTAATGGTAGCTCCTTTACCAACAATCATATGTAAAGCCGAGTGTCATGAAGGATTACTAAGAAGAATTTCTTTTCAGGAAGTTCTACCATGGTGTTAAAGAACCTACTTCAGTCTGAAGTCTTCAGCAGCCAGTTTTGCATTATCAATTTGTAGGACACATCGGGCATTTTTCAGTTGAGCATCTTTAATCTGGAAAATACATGAGAAAAAAAATGACTTTTTCAATTGGATAGGAGCCTAAAATGATTGAGTTTATCCTCAGATACAGCCACTATTACATCAAAGATGATGTTCATTTCAAGAATTTCCACGTGAAAATAGAAAGGAAAAATAATGATATGGGTATTTAACATAACAGATTCTTAAAATGCAACTCTAGTCCCCAGGGTTTGGTCAGCTTTCTTGTGACTTTACAAAAGGAGAATTTAATTCAATTGGAGCCATCAACCTTACTGAGTGCCCTGCCTTTGATGTTCCTGCTCAGAACACGCCTCTGAGCCTCTCTCACTTGGTGAACGCCTCCTCCTCCTCCTCCTCCTCCATGTCTCAGCTTAGACATCTTTGCTTCCAGGAATCCTTCTCTGATTTCCTCAAAACAGAACTGGATGAGCTGCCTGTGCTCTCACTGCCCTCCACAGCCCTCCGTGCTGGCATTTTCCCTCTGCGTGGGATAAATGCTGCCTTTTTCCATGCCTGTTTCCCCCTAAATCGCATTATGTTCACCACCATATTCTCCAGTGCCAGCATGGTGCCAGCACCTGGTTAGTGTCTACTAAATACTGGCTGAATGAATGGGCACTTGCTATGTGGTGGGAGTTGTCCTGGGCACTGGAGCCATCAGGATAAATAAGCCCCTGATCTTCAGAAGCAGTTTCCTAATGGGCGAATTCTCTAAGATGCATGTGGATCAGAAGTCTGCTTGTAGAGCACGTTACAATGACCTATGTCTTTCAGCAGATCCAGTTCTGGAGAGAGCTGCCTTCCTTCATGTACTGAATCTTCCCAGATAAATGGAACAGATGGCTGTGCCTATGTGTTTGGGATGATCCACAACAGCTTCAGAGACATGAATTATGAGACAGGTAGGCGAGAATGGTTGGCTGATTTTGAATTTTTTAGCGGGAATCTGAGAAGAATGACCTGTTGGCAGAAAGGGCAACTTAAACACCTTTGCCTCGGATCCCCATAGTTCCTGAAACCCCAACGTAACTCCCTGTGGCATCTGAATTAAATCAAACTGATGTCCAATACAATGAAAGAAAAAGAGCCTTGCTGGTAAGTTAGTGGCTTTTGCTCTAAAGGAATATGAAAGCTAAAATAGAAATGAAAACGAAAGGGACACTTTTCTTGATTAGATAAGAATTTTAAAGCAGAGAAAGTGCTTGGTGTCATATCTGAAATTTTCAATTAGGAACGAAGTCTTCTTTTATTCCATGATTGATGAAACAGAGAACCCCACCTTTCTTGGATGACACAGGAGCAGGTTCTGATATGATTGCAATAAATTTGAATTGAGGTAATAGAACATTTTATTACTGTAGCAGTGGTTTCTGAACTGCTTGGTGATGACGATCAGGTTATTGAACAGGACATGTAAAAAATCCCTGGATTTTTAAGACCATTAAGACCTAAACCCCTTCCGCCCATTTTCTCCCTGAATCACTTCATCATTGAAATCTGTGTTACACTATTCTAATACTTGTATTATAACATCTACATAAAACATCAAGTTTTGAAACCCTTGATGGGAACAAGAGGAAGACATTGAAAAAAGCATTATCGCATAAAAAAATTTTAGCTCTTTTCAGAAAAAATGTTTACTATCCACTTAGCCTGACTTGGTAAACTGTGACAAAAATACAGATTCTAAGACTGGAGGATAAAATTTTCATATTTTGTATCTAATTAGATTTAAAAAATTTTTAAAAAGTATGGCTTACAAATCATCCTGTTATGTGGTCAGGTACTCCTGCACTAAGGGTAGATGATAGAATATACCATTTTTATAGATGTAGCATTTCAGCCTAATTTGCTTTACAATGTCCATTTGGACCAGCTAGTGTATATGCCCTCCTGATAGACCATGCAGCTAAACAGTGGAGTAGAAAACACAGGCATCATCCCTCACCTGATTTCGCAGGGCTTCGATTTGTTTGTAATACGCACTGTAGTCCCGACTGGCGCTAGGCGCGTTGGTTTCATTCCACTGCCTGATCTGCACTTCGAGGTGCAAGTTGGACTGCTCCAGGGAGCGCACTTTTTCTAGGTAGCTTGCTAGGCGGTCATTTAGGTTCTGCATGGCCATCTTCTCATTGCCGACAAGCAGGTCCCCTCCGGAGAGATCGCCCCCATAGCTCACTACGCGGCGGGAGGTCGAGATGCGAGTGCCGTGGCCTCCAGCCCCTCCATAGACGCTGGGTGCAACCTGGAGGTGCTGCGTGCCCCCCAGTCTATACATGGAGCTGCTTACGCTGAGTGCAGGGCCCCGCGAGGAGGAACTCACGCTTCTGTGGAGGCTTCTGCCAGTGAAATCCATTGGGGATTCTAGGAGGGAGCAGCTGCAGCCTCAGGATGGATGGAGCAGAGTCTGTCTCTCGGTGGTGGATGAGCTGACCTTTTATAGAGTTCACAGGAAAGAAACTCCTCCTCTGTTGACCTCTCACCTAAGAGTTGACACCACAGTCCATCCTGCTTTGCTTTTTTTTTTTTTCCCCCTTTGTACAGCGATCTGTTTAATTCCATTCCAGAAATTACCACTAGAGGCATTTCTTAGAAGCTTTTCTCAGGGGTGATTTCTTTTTTCAAACAGAGTTAACAAAAGGAAACAGGAAGGTGTATTCTTTTAGCCCTTGCCCCTGCCTTGGCAGATTTTTTTCATTCTAATATACACATAAAGAATATTCGTGATCTATGAATAATTTAGGTTCCTAAAGAGACAGATGTGGGTACATAATAGTAAGTCACACTGGCAATAAAGAACGTTTAAAAAATTTCTTTTTTTATTTATCTTTCTCTTTTTGGCGAGAACATTTAAGTTCTATTCTGTTAGTAAACTTCAATTGTACAATACAGTGTTTTCAACTATAGTCACCATGTTGAAATTAGACCCTCAGACCTTATTCATCTTATAGCCGGAAGTTTGTATCCTTTTACCAATTTCTCCCTATTTCCCCCACCCCTAGCCCCTGGAAACCACTGTTTCTATGAGTTTGACTTTTTTTTTTTTTTTTTTTAAGATTCCACACATAAGTGATACCATGCAGTATTTGTCTTTTTCTCTCTGGCTTATTTCACTTAGCAAAATGCCCTAAAGTTCCCTCCAAGTTGTTGCAAATGGCAGAATTTCCTTCTTTTTTATGACGGAATAATACTTCATTATATATGTATATACAGTCATGTGTCACTTGATGGGAATACGTTCTGAGAAATGTGTCATTAGGCAATTTTGTCATTGTGTGCACATCAGAGAGTGTATTTACACAAACCCAGATGGTACGGTCTACTATACACCTAAGGCTATGTGGTACTAATCTTATGGGACCACCATTGTATAGGTGGCCCATTGCTGACTGAAACTTCAATACCTAGCACATGATTGTGTGTAAAACGCCTTCTTTATCTATTCATCTGTTGATGGACACTTAGGTTGTTCCCATGCCTTGGATATTGTGAATAATGCTGCAGCGAACATGGGAGAGCAGATATCTCTTCGAGATAGTGATTTCATGTCCTTTAGCTATATACCCAGAGTGGGATTGCTGGGTCATATGGTAGTTCTATTTTTAATTCTTTGAGGAACCTCCATACTATTTTCCGCAGTGGCCTCACCAATTTGCATTCCCACCAACAGTGCAGCAGGGTTCCCTTTTCTCCACATCCTCACCAGCGTTTGTTACCTCTTGTCTTTTTGATGATAGCCATTCAAACAGATGTGAGGTGATATCTCATTGTAGTTTTGATTTGCATAAGAACAATGGTCTTCCGAATCTCTGTTTTATGCTTTCTTTTTGGCTTTTAAGTTTATCCTTGTTTAGAGATTATATTTCATAAGACTATTAAAATATTTTATACAAACACAAAACCTTGAATATGTAAAGCAGAAATGAAACATTTATAACATTTGGAGATGTAATTTGGGGAAGTGAATTAAGTGAATTTAGGTGAGTGGTGGATAGGTGATTTTGAAGATTTTTCCTAATTCTAACGTTCTAAGACTAGACAATATATTTACATTTCTCAGTCACTACCTGGCATCAGGTCTTGTTCTGTAGCAACTTAGAATAAACAGCATAGTGCTTTCCACCTGACCTGGTGTGTGGAGGAGTCTCTCTCCGCTGTATACGGTCAGCTCAACCCCCACCGTGAGACAGGCCCTGCTCCAACCATCCTGCAGCTGCGGCTGCCCTCTCCTAGGATCCCCAGTGAATTTCGCTGGCAGAAGCTTCCACAGTTGCCTGTCTTCCCTGCAGGTGCACATACTCACAGCAGGAGCAGAGCAGTTCCATGCAGGAAGGGGGAGTGTGCAGTGCCTCGGGGCCACACCCAGCCTCCGTGGTTGGGCTGGAGCCACTGCAGGTGTGTCAACCTCCAGGTACTTGCTCAGCCGTGGGTGTGATCTCTCCAGTGGGGATCGGATAAACACTGTTCAGCTGAACAGGATTTATCCATTTACTCTCCCTCATTCAAATTCCCTGGCCCAAAATTTTACACCTCCCCTGAAACATTTAAATTGTTTCCTTAATCAAGTTAAATGGAAGGGATAGGGCAAGTTAGAGCAAACACCTCATTAATTCGCATTCTGCGACTTTAATTGATTGAGGTTTGTATATGATTAAAGCAAGCAAGCGAACAAGCAAAAAACAAAAAAGAAAAACAGAACAAAAAGTGTAAAGAAGGCATAGCCAAAATCCCTACGCATTCTGAAGAACTTGCAATTTACTTGATTTAGTGGCCCATTTTTGTTGTTGTTCCACTGAAAATCAATGGCTTTTTAACTTTTGAGTTTGTTTGGGATTTTTTTTTTTTTTTTTTACAAATATCCTTTTTCTAAAATAAGGTAAGACTATATTACTTCTCTCTTATAAATAGTATGCTTTTAAATAACGCTTTATATGGGACTTTGCTTCAGTTATATTATGAAAGAAAAAATTGCCAGAGAGAGTTAAACCTACTTCGTGCGCTATATGGTTTATGTGTGGACAGGGGAGATTGGCCTTGAGCTAGCATCTGTTGCCAATCTTCCCCTTTTTTCTTTTTTTCTTCCCCAAACCCCAGTACGTAGTTGTATATCCTAGCTGTAAGTCATTCTAGCTCTGCTATGTGGGATGCTGCCACAGCACGGCTTGATGAGCAGTGTGCAGTGTGCAGTGTGTACCCAGGACCGGAACCAGCGAACCCTGGGCCACTGAAGCGGAGCACACAAGCCCAACCACTTGGCCACTGGGCCGGCCCCAACTCTTACTTTTATTTTTATCCATTTGCATATGCATCAGCCCACACCACCTGTGACTGGACATGTCATTAGCAGATCTTGTTATTTATCACAGAACTGTAAAGTTCTTTGCAAATAGATGTCACAGCTAAAATCTACAGTGAAAAATTTTTTATAAACACATGAAGTATTCTTTTACATATGTGTATTCACAAAATTAGTGTATTTTTTGTTGTGGCTTCATGGGGGAGAAGGAGGTTCTTGGATTAAAGTCGTTGGAAAATTGTCTTGTTTACATATACAAGTTTTGCGGTGAGTTAGTTTCTGCTAAGAGTTTCGCACACTAACACACATCATAAAGTGTGTAGAAGCATTATTTAAATCAAAAGTTAGCTTTATAACTAGAAAGGAATATAAGTATAGTTATTAAGCATGATAATTTTTGTTGTCTTTAGCACAATTCTTTCTTGTGGCTGGACCCAATTACGTTTAAGTGAAAGAGTTAAAATCTCATTAAAATGATTAAAATCGTTTTTAATTTTTTGGAGAAATAGCTTTGTCTACATGTTATTATACCAATTTTTGGCTAATATTTTTAGGTTTTTGAGATTTCAAATTTAAACTAAAATATGATACAAGAGGGCTATTATGATGGGGTTCAGTCATCCAATCTACTCGTTTGTTGGGGTAGAAAAATTTTTGTTGTGAAGACTCCCACATGTTTATGCAAGGGCAGGAGAATTTTCTGGCTCCTCCATCACATTGAGTTGTATGCTTTGGTAGATTATTATATCTTATGATGTGGCCACAGGAAATCAGGCTAGTATTTCATAGCAATTAATTTTTCTGAATTAGATCTGAGGACTAGATACAGATCCTATTGACTCTTGTTCATGCACAAGTCATGAATTTAGAGCCCATTGATGTTCCAGGCTGTTGGATGACTGCCTCTCTAAGTAAATATTTATTAGACTCCAACTTCCTTGGAACTAATAGGAGGTGCATTTTGACCTCTGAGGTAGACTCTGCTGAGGGCGTTAATGATTAATATTAAGTATGGCCGGTAATTTGGAGTGTTGTCATAAGCCCTGTAGTTTTCAGAGGACTTTCAACTTTTTTCCCCACCATGGACAAGCCGTTGCAGCCCTTATGTGACACATATAGAATCTGCAGTCTCCAGGGGGATTGTCTTGCCTAGACATCTCAGTTAGGATGTGTTGCTCCCATTGGTTGAGAAGGATGGCATATAGGAACTGTGGGTATTTGTAGGCATTGTGGTTCTAGATGCCACACAAAGTTAAGTCAGAAAAGAACCATGGCCTCTGAGCTTTAAAAACTAGTGTACTTACTGAAATAGTTACAAGTGAAATGATGTGATATCTTCTATTTGCTTCAAAATAATATGGGATGGAGAAGGAGGGTGGGAGTATAGATGAAGGAAGTGTAGCCATGAGTTATTTGTTGAAGCTGGGAAATGGGTATGTGGGGATTTACTATAATATTCTAACTATTCTAGTATTTGTTTGAAAATTTCTGTAATGAGACATTTTAAGATGCTAATGTAGTAAACTTACATTATTGTATTTTCACAGTTAATCTGGCATATTTAGGTTTTGATTTGTACTTATTTGGTAATTCTGCCCTGCTGTGTTTCACTGAGTTGGAAGATTTGCTGTCTCATAGTGGCTTGAACATAGTAGGCACTTGATATTGACTTGCTATATGAGTGATGGCTGAGTGAATGAGTAAAAGTGCTGATGCCCAGCTTCAAGGAGAGAAGAAGCATTTGTCAGTGTGGGGAGGTTCTCCATGCCCATTGACTGCTGATTCTGCTAGTCATGTTAAGAAAGTAAAAGAGTTGTCACCCAGGAGTTCAATGTCATGGAGTATGGCAGACTAGATACCCCTAATGTCCCTACCCAAAACGTTTCCAGTGGAAACAACTAAAGTACATTATCTATCTCTCTATCTTTTCAAACTTATTGCAGACCTACTATGAAAGGAAAGATTTCTCAGAGATCAAAAAGGAAATGGGAGCTGGCCCAGTGGCATAGCAGTCAAGTTTGCATACTTCACTTCGGTGGCCTGGGGTTTGCTGGTTCAGATCTGGGCTACAGACCTATGTGCCATGCTGTGGCAGGCCTCCCACATAAAAGATAAAGGAAGATGGGCATAGATGTTAACTCAGGGCCAATCTTCCTCAAAAAAAAAAAAAAAGGGAATGGAGGGCTGGCCCTGGTGGCCTAGTAGTTAATTTCGTTGTGCTTTGCTTTGGCAGCCCAGGTTCAGTTCCTGGGTGTGGACATATTCCATTTGTCTGTCAGTGGCCAAGCTAAGGTGACAGCTTACATACAAAAAGAGGAAGATTGGCAGCGGATGTTAGCTCAGGATGAATCTTCCTCAGAAAAAAACAAAAAAAAAAAGGAAATAGAAACAGGAACCTTAGGAGAGAAGCAAGTGGGAAAGCTGTCTTGCACCCTGTGTGTTTCTGCTCAATCATGGAGGTCTTGAGCTTCCCTTATGATGTCTGTAAGATCACAGAAGATAAGATACAGAGTCTAGGGCCTGACTAAAGTGGGAATACTAACAGGGAACATCCACATAAACCTAGTATCTCAAATAACTATGCCTTCAGAGTAAGGATACATGATAAATAAAGTCATCATGCAGAAGGGTACAGTAAGGAAAAATTTCTGTCTCCAACTTGAACTTGGTGCTTGGTGCAGAGGAAACATAAAACTTCCCTGAGAATTTGTGCCACAGCTGACCTGACACAAGTTTGTTGTCTGTATTTACCTGTGTCTGTGTGTCATCTGAAAGTCTTAAGTGTAGTATTTAATTTAAGGTGATCTCTGATCAGTGATACCCTCAGCCAACTGGCATAGGGAGCTCAAATCCTCTCTAAAATAATGCAACTTCAGTCTAGGCTCAAAAAATCCCTTCAGATAAAGTTGTATGGAATGTGAGCATACCAGCACACAGTGGGATTGGACCTACAAAGACTTTAGCTGTGGAATTATTGGAGGGAGAATATAATATACTCACATTAAAGTGTTTTACTAATCAAAGATAAAGTTGAAAATTGGAGCAAGTACTAAGAGATTATAAAACTTACCAAGAAGACATGAAAAATAAGCAAGAAGAAATAAATACTATAATTAAAATTAAAATTTCAGTGGGTGTGTCCAACAATGGATTAAGCAAGGCTAAAGGGAAAATTATTGGACAAAAATATAGCTGTGAAGACATTATCCAGAATGCAGCAAAGTGGCAAAGAGGAGTCAAAAGACGTGAAAGCTAGCAAAGGAGGTCTCAATATTTTTAATCAGAGATCCAGGAGGAGACAAGGGAAAATGAGAAGAGAAGACATTCAATGAGATAGCATGAAATTTTCCAGAATCATTTAAAGAAACAAGTTTTCAGATTAAGGGAAACTAATGAATTCCAGGAAAAATGAATAGAAAGAAATATCTATACACATCAGAACAGAAAACTAAACAAAGAGAAGATCTTCCAAGCAGGTAGATGGAAAAGAAAGACAATAACAAAGGAATGGTGATTAGACTGACAGCTGACTCCTCAAGAGCAACAATGGACACTGGAACAATACCTTCAATGGGCTGAGAGAAAATAGCTGCCATTCTGGAATTTTCCTACTCTGTGACATTATCTTTGAAGAATGATGGTAAAATAAAGACATATTCAGGACAACAAAAGCTGTTTGCCATTGGCAGACTTTCACTAAAAGCAATCTGAAAGAATGGATTTTAAGCAGAAGGAAGATGATCCCAGATGGAAGATCTGAGATGAAAAGAGGATGATGAACAAATAAAATACTAAATGTGACCAAACCTAAATGAATGTTGGCTATAAAATACTATATGTATTCTGAAGGAAAAACAACACAGAAATAAAGCTGGAAGGAGATGAATGGCGTTAAATTGTTCTAAGGTCCTTGACTGTTCAGGAAAAGGGTAAAGATACACATTAACTTTAGACATTGACAAGATGAAATGTATATTACATTTTTAATTTTACAGTTTTGCCCTTCACATGATGAGTAATGGCTTCTACATTGATCTAGAAATAAACCAATGAATCAGCACAGAGAGATCAGAAACATATCTACTGTTGATGGAAACTTAATTTCCAACTGGTTCAGCCTTACAAGTCAGTGTAGAAAGTAGTGGAGTATTTCCATATTTAAAAAATGGAAACTGTAGTTCTATCTCAGGCAAAATATACATTTAACATACAAAAATAAATTTCAGACTCTCTGAAGATGTGAATGTGAAAGGTAAAAACTATACAAAGTTTAGAAGAAAATACAGAATAATATCTCCAGGAATCAGGGTAAAGGAGTATTTCTTAAATAAGATACGAAAGGTGCAAACTATAAAGTACAAAATTGATACTAATTAAACAATTTTTATTTATTAAATGATATCATAATTATAATGGAAGAAGCCCCACACAGGGAGAAGATATTTATAATACATGCAACTGACAAGGAATTAGTTTCCAGAATATGAAAAGAATGCCTACAAATCAATAATAAGAAGAAAAACCACCCAGTGGGAAAGTGGGCAAAAATACAAATCGCCTTGCACAGAAGAGGTAAGCTGAATGGCCCATTTCATGCCTGCCAAATGGAATAAATTAAAAAGTTGAACAATCCCAATTGTTGTTGAAGGGAATTCTCATCCACTGATAGTGGTTTTGTAAATATGTGCAGATACTTTGGAAAACGTTTGATATAATCTCAAAAAGGTAAACATGCACATACCTATCATCCAGTAGTTCCATTCCTAGGTATATATTCCAGAGAAGCCCCTTCATCTATTTACCCAAAGACATGTACAAGGATATTCACAGAAGGATTTTTCATAATACTAAAACACACACACACACACACACACACACACACAGGAAACTGGAAATGACCCAAATGTTCATCAACAGTAGAATGAATAAATATGTTGACATATATTCATACAATGGAATACTATGCAGCAGATACAAATGGATAAACTACGTTCTTGACATGGATGAATCTTAAAAAGCATAATGTCAAGTGAAAGAAACAAGACACTGAAGAGTATATCCAGGACAATTCCGTTGATATAAAGTACATAAACAGGCAAAAAGACATGATATATGATTAAGAGAGGTACATAGCGATGGGGTGGTGGATTGCAAATGATGGTCACAGATTCACACTGTAAGCACACCCCTTTGCAAGTTCTCTTGGAGTCTGAGGGGCCTCTAGACCATTTCCATTTCTCTAGGCTCCTGATACATTAAATGAAAAAAACCCCAAAATGGGGTAACCAAAATGATCATGTTTAAAGTGTTTTTATTTCCTACATATTACTGTTTTCAACACAAAAATATCATGATACGCTATATTTTTACCAATCACAAGATTTGTAAAAAACACTAACTTATTTTAGTGCACTGTAGGCTGGGACTGGTGCACTAGTCCAGGGCTGGGGTACAGTTTTGACTGGTGGAATGAATATCTTCTTTCAGTCCTAGAGGAGATCACTGAACCAGATAACACCACATTTGAATGTAATGTCCAAAGTCTCTGACTGGGAAGCCTGACAAGTTGCGTCGCCCTCCTCACCCCTGCCATCAGCCCCATGTCTGGATTATTTCACCTAAGTTTGTGGTTACACCAAAGACAACAAGTGGGTACTTATTTTATATCAACTTGACTAAGAGAGAGCCCAACCAAATTCTTCCCAAAACAGGGAAGTAATTTGTCTCCAAGACAAATTCTAGCTTCTGTCCTTAAAATCACAGTTAAAAAATTATTGACAATTTAAAAATAACAGCTTAGCTCCTGCTTCTAGCCATCAATGGTTCCTAAATGTCAAGGTCCAGTCTTAAAACAGCTGCCTACAGATGCAAATCTGATTATTTCACCTCTCAAAAACTCCTGACACTTATGTGGTCAAGTCCGAAACACGGCTCTCTAAGATCTAGCCCTGCCTAACCTTCCAGAGTCCCCTTCTCGCCCCTCCCTGCCTCAAACTCTGCACTTCGGTCACACGTGCTGCTGATATCCCTCTATTCCATGCCTTTGCACGCTCTGTCCCCTTCTCTTCTTCTGGCTATCATTTCTTCCAGAAAACTGTCCCTGTGCTCCCAAATCCCCTCCTTTCCAGGGTGACCAACTGTCTTGGTTTGTCTGAGACTGAGAATTTTTCCATGATGTGAGACTTTCAGTGTTGAAACAGGGACAGTCCCAGGCAAACCGGGACAGTTGGTCACCCTGTTCATCTCCCCTGTGCACTTCTGTCTCTTGGGTACAGCATGTGCACGCTCTTCAGCCTGGGTTCCTTTGTTGAATGAATGGGTGTGGGTGTGAGGAATAGGATGAGATAAGGATGGCTCCCACAGTTCTGACTTGGGTGACTGGGGAGTGATGGTGGTGCATTTTACCGAGGGGGCCCTGGGGCGGGGCTGGGAGAGGGTCTGGGGAGGGGTTGTTGCAAAGGGGCATGTGACGTGTTCGTTTGTGGACATGCTGCGTTTGCAGTGCCCGCATCAGACCCCAGTGAAGCAGGTCTGTGTGAAGATGACTGCTGAATGCTCTGGTGTGGAGAGAACTAGGCTGGAAAGGTGTCCTCTGACCTCGTCGTTTCTCTCATTATCCCTTATGTGTAAATGACAACCATAATTCTAGTTCACTCTGTCTTTCAAACTCCAGGGTCAAACCTCTGCACGGACAGACCACAGGGACTGGGGAGCGCCGCCTTGTGTAGACCTCATGCTGCCTCGAGGTTTTGTCTTTCTCCAGACTGCTGTGCTGCTGCATGACCACATAATGGAGTATTTCGTTTATTGTGTTAACCTAAAAATGTAGTGTTTATGATGCTTGAGTGCAATTTGTGAAGGATCCAGAAAATCTTCCCAGGATTTAGCTAAGGAAATGGTTATAACCAATTAACACTGAACTTTTTGGACAATATTTTAAGGTGAGAAATGATCAGCGATTCAGTTTTATGATGTGTTTTTATGCTATTTGAACAACTCAAACTTAGTATTTTTGAAAGAAGAGTAAGCAAGTGGCAATTATTTACCAGGTGTTCTTATTTTCATGATGCTTATTTTTAAACTCAAAGAAGTATAAGTTCTCATATCTGGAAGAGATATTGAAAATCGTGTCAGCGACTCTTCTTCTGCCACAAACAAGAAAGCTGAGGTGTTTCATAGGTTAAACGACTTGCCTATAGCAACAGCGCAAATATAGAAAGTTCAGATTAATCAACATAATGTTTGCTCTCTAAATTGATTTTCAGTAAGTTTGCCTGATCCAGGAAAGCTGTCTTGTAAGCACCGCCCTGATCTATAAACAGAACGCTCACCAATTAAATTACTGCTGAAAAAGCTAATATAAGGTATATGGCCCACACATTCTAGTTTCCACCCTGGGGCTAAAGATCTACTCTTTCGCTGTCTTCTTTCATTCGTTCCTAATAGCAAAAAATTGAAATAGATGGTCTAAGATGTGTCAGTGATCACTGGCCCCAGAACATTCCTAGAGCAAGGCACAGAGTATGCGGATACATCAAACTAGATGAAGAGATGTATTATTAATTAGTCTTTCAGAACACGAACGGCAGATGTGTTCACATTCAGCTCGGTTGGGTATTATGTCATTACTTTTTAATGTGCACTCATTTAAGTTAAAAAAAAACTGTACAAAGCAGAATATTGTTTAAAAGAGAAGCTCTATAGGCTTGTATTTAAAATTTGTTGTAGGGCACAGGATAGAACTTGAAATAAGGGAGAGAGAGAGAGAGAGAGAGAGAGAGAGAGCGAGACAGAGCTCTAGAAAGAGATTCAGAGACGATAAGCTTTTGCTAACGCCTGATTTTGGAGGGAGGAGTTGTGAACAGGTTTTAGGAAAACTGCCTGTAAAATCAACATTTTCTGAACAGGTGCTTGGCAAAGCATGGAATGAAGTTTTGACAACTGGCTTTTAAAAATAGAAAAACAACCAGGTAAATTAACCAATCATTTATTCTTCAACAAGTATTGTTGAATGCTTACCGGGTAGTCAGACACTGCTCTCAAGGAGCTTGTGGTCTAGCAGAGGAAATACTGACATGGATTTTAATTTGAATTTTAATGTGGATGGATGAGAAAGATGAGGAAGTATGGGATGTGAGAGCAGAACACTGAGACCCCAGGGACCCTGAAGGTAAAGAATTGGATGAGTGAGGTCAGTCTGCAGGCTCTGGGATCCAGGTTATGTATTAAACGTAGAGCTGGGATGCTAGCATATAATAAGGTAATAAATCCTTAGATAATGAGGCTTGGGCCTCAGAGGGTCGGGAGGAAACAACCCCACTGTGAGAAGCCTCATTTAACCTGATTTAGAAAAGTGACGGCATCGAAACAAGTCTCACTAGTGACAATAAAGATTGCAGATAGTATAGCTTTCTTCAGGCTTGCATTTTCTCCCTGTGATATGTTTCCTAGCCTTATCCCCAGGGGCTGTACACCTTTCCGGGAACTTACTAGGTCTCAATGGAGACTGGGGTTATTAATATTTTTTTCAATAACGAGTTGTTACCACTCAGCTCTCACAATGCAAGTAATATTTTTGATGCCTCATATTCTACAAAGGCCTCCTTGTTTGGTGTTTTCTACTTTTCTGAGCAATGAAAAGGTAGGAAAAGCCTGGAGCAACTTCTTATGTGTTTGACACGTATGTTGAGGGATACTTAACAGTCGCTGCCCAGGGCAAGATATGACAGAATTTCACGGCCAAGTCTTACATTGATAGAATGGACAGGCTGGTAGCTACAAACACTTTTTCAAGACAAATGCACCTCTGTGAAATGAGCTGTCAGGAGGACTATGGGTTTTGGGAGGTCAGAGTAATTAAGGAGCAATATCTTGGTTCTAAGGAACTGACATTAATGTTGACACATGGTGTTTCTGGGTAATTTGATCTGCACCAGTAATTCATTTTGTTCCCTGCTGCAGGACTCATTGGTTCCTAAGTCATCTGAGGCTTTGTTAAAGATTTACCTCATGGGTTGTTAAAAGCACAGGACTTCGTGGTGTGTTCGGTCGCCAGTTATGTTTATTGAACATAATAAGCATGACATTCGACCAAAGTTCAGGTTTTTTTTTGTTTTTTTTTTTTAAAGATTTTAGTTTATCCTTTTTCTCCCCAAGCCCCCCAGTACATAGTTGTATATTCTTCGTTGGGGGTCCTTCTAGTTGTGGCATGTGGGACGCTGCCTCAGCGTGGTTTGATGAGCAGTGCCATGTCCACGCCCAGGATTCGAACCAACGAAACACTGGGCCGCCTGCAGCAGAGCGCGGGAACTTAACCACTTGGCCACAGGGCCAGCCCCCCAAAGTTCAGGTTTTTAATCTCTAATTCAGATCCTCTTTTTCCCCTAGACTTCACTGACATAATGCCTGCGCACTGTCAAAGTGGAAAAGCTATACAGTAAAACTGACCCCAGAAGCAATGATCAATTAATCGAAGAGTGAAAATGGAAACCAATTATTCTGACCTATTGCACTCATGTGAAAGCCACGATCCTTAATCTGCTTTGTCACAATGATTATGACCGTTTTGTCTCCACCATTTTGCATCTTAGTATTCCAGAAATTTTATCCAACGTTTTTAACGTGGAAAGTAGAATGCAATCTCTTCTGGTAGAGCTACAAGAAATCTTTTAAGACTTTGTTCTTTTTACAGTTCTGTCAAAATAGATTTAGCAAGTAGTTTGCATATTATTTCAAAGCATTGGTGTTTTAAAGTTGTACTAAGATATTTATATATACAGGTGATAATCCCCAAAGTAAAACTTCCGTCACAAAATCTTCCTTTTTGAATGAACCAGCTCTTTTGATGAAGAAAGAATAGTCATTAGAAAAAAAATGACTTCAAATCTGAAACTGACTCAAAATATTTAAATCTGTCTTTCAAAGATCATTCTGAAACTTGTACCTTCATTGTAAAACAATTCATTGGTAATTGATTTTGAATTATTCTTCTGTTTTTTCCTTATAAACCTATTTGCCCAATGAGTTACTCGATATACCACATATTAATAATTGAAATGCAGTATATGTGTGTACACACATATTTGTATACAATCCATATATGTGTGTATCCACGTGTTCACAACATTCTGATATAAAAGAAATGTCAGATTTACATGTTCCCTGATTTGGAGGAAAAAAGGCTGATGACATTTTTATCATTTATTGAGAAATATATACACTTAAAAAATAGACTCAGAAAAGGAATTAAAGAATATCTTTGCCTTGGTGGAGATGTTAAAAAGCACTGTTCGAAACCACCCAACATCTCTTTTGCCTCTTGGCTGCACTGGCGATCCTGAACTCGCTGCTAGTGTTATAGATACCAAGGATTGAGAGCACAGACTTTGGAGATCTTGATTTGAATGCTGTCTCTGCCACTTGCTTGCTGTGTGAATGCGGGCAAGGTTCTTAAGCTCTCTGAGCCTCACGTTCCTCATATGTAAAGTGGGGATGGTAATGACACCCAGCATAGCATTGTAGTGAGGATTAAGTGAAATGACATGTTTGAAGTGCTTAGAACAACACCTGACGTGGAGGAAGCACTCAGTGAGTTGTAGCTACTAGTAGCAGCAACGATCATAGAAGTGCGAGAATTGTGAACTTGGTGACTGGGAAAGGGCCACTGATATTTACCATTTGATATGCACTAGTAGCATTGTGTCATTGATGTTGATTGAGCCCATGTAGCTAGTACTAGATAAGCTGAAGGACAACCTTCTGCAGGAAAATATAATTGAGAAAGCATATGATAACTTTGAAATATACACAGCGACCTGGAGGTATTAAAAATGGGAGGAGCCATGAATGATTTACATAGAGCACATCAGATATTCATGGATTACCTAGATAATGGACTGTGCTGGGCACTGAGGAATAATGATGCATAAGACAAGGTCCTGTCCTCAAGTCTACTCCACTCCCATGTGTGGCTGTGTGTGAATGTGTGTGTGTGAGTGTGTGTGCGTACCTGTGTGTACTGGGGTGGAGGGAGCCAGAGAAGCAAACTTTGAATGGTGGGACCTTGAGAGATGAATTCAGATATCAAGTTGTTCCCTACCTGGGTGATGTCCAGGTCTAGTCCTACCCTCCCGCCCCAAGGAGTTCATCATCAAATGGAGAGGATGGTAAATGAAGTTCCAACTAGAAGAGTGCTAACAGTGAGTTGCGTATGTAGTTTTAAATTTTCTAGGAGCCACATGAAAAAGGAAAAACAAACAGGTGAAATTAACTTCAATAATATATTTTATTTAAGCCAATATATCCAAAACATATAATCAATATAAAATTATCAATGAGATATTTTAATTTTTTTGGGACCATCCTTGAAATGCAGCATGCATTTTACACACAGTGCATCTCCATTTGGACAAGCCACGTCCAAGTGCTCAATAAATCCATGTGGCCAGTGGCTACCTTAATAATGCACAGGGCAATTCTAGAGCTCAACTACTCAAAGTGTGGTCCTTGGCCTCACGATGTAGGTGCCCCCTGGGTCTCATACCCACCTCCTGAATCAGAGTCTGCATTTTAACAAGACCCTTGGTGAATCATTAAGTTTGTGATGTGCTGCCTGATGACTTGGAAAGCTTGTTGTTTGAGATTACACACCCTTTCCTCTAATCATATTTGTGCTGTACATTTCCTTGTCATAGATTGGATAAACCATCTTATCATCATCAGATCAAAGGTGTAGAGTTCAGTCTAGTCCTTGTTGGAATCAGTGGCAGCCAGTTAGGTTTTTCTTAATCAGAAAGTTGAGATATTTCACAAAAAATAAAGAAAAGTCAGGCCAACGATGAGACAGGGACGCTTTCTTATTCGACAATGTAATAAATGACACCACCATTCTCATCATAGTTATTCTTTTCTGACATATGTTTTGAGAAGGAGAAAGAAGGGAAGAGTGTGAGGGGGTTGGCTTAGTTTTCTAATTCATCAGTTTTTCGTTATGTTAGAGTCCCTCCCCTGGGGTTGACTTCACGGGCATATGACCTCAGAAGGGCCTGGTGCATGGTTTAATGCTCTGCTGTTGCACTGTTGGAATTCTTAGTAATTTTTGAACAAGGCATCCTGCATTTTCATTCTGCACTGGGCCCTGTGAATTTTGTAGCTGGTCCTGCCCTCTCCTCAGTGTGAACTTAATATTCACCTGTAGCTATAAGGAAGTAAGTGGATAAGGTAGGTTTTGGGAGGAGTTCTCTTTCACTTCCCCATCACCACAATCTCTATAGCCCAGGAAATAAAAAAGAGATAACACAGACGTTCATGGAATTGGACTCAATAATGCATGAGATAATGGTGTTCTAAACCAGCTGTCCAGGAAGGCTGAATGCTGTAACTATGTAACAAAACACGTTCACCACAGGACAAAGAGTAAGTTTCTAAATCACCTTGTGTAAACAGCCCCACCCTCCCAACCATCTCTGCCAGGTTTACTATTATCTGCACTGTTTGAACAGAGCTGGGGTAGTCTGGGCAGGACAATGAGTCAGCTGGGCCCATTCATGGTGGAATTTTTATATGGGTGAAACAAAATTTTTAACAAAGTGTGAGTGAATATTGGTAGTTTCAGTGCTCAGATCTGAAATCAAATGCTTTGAATCAACTCAAAGCTTGGAGACCTAAGAAAGTCATTTAATTTTATACTAATCTACCTGGTATAATTTGTAGTGACTTAAACTCAAAGTTTGGTCCGTGGACCGACCACATGGACATCACCCGGCAGCTAGTTAGAAATGCAGATCTCTGGCCCGCCTCAGAGCTGCTGAACCAGATTCTGCATTTTCAGAAGATCCTCAGGTGATTTTGGCTCCTATTAAAGTTTGAGAGGTGCTGTAATCATGGACTCAACAGTTGGTTAGCTTGGCTGGTGGTTGTGGGGTGGGAGGCTTAACCCATTCACAGGTGCATCAGCTTAGTGCCTGAGCCCTCCCAGAGAGTGATGGGGAAGCAAGGGTTCTCAACGAGTGGTCCCCAGGTGGGCAGCCTCAGCACCACCTGGGAACTTGTTATAAATACAAATTCTCAGGTTCTGCTCCTGATCCGCGGAATCCTCTGACCCAGGGGATGAGAGCCCAGCAATCTGTGTCTTAAATCCTCCTTTGAATCCTCCCTTAAATCCTCCAGGTGATTCTGACGCGCTGCTAGAACGTAACGGCAGTAGTGACGTAGGGAGGTGTTCGACTGGTTGTACATTTTAGTTCTGAATACTCAATTTTGTCAAGCAATGTTAAATCAGATGTTTTGTAAGGTGACAGTTCTAACTTTGAAAGAAGCCATGATGCTCTGACGTTTAACTCTGTTCGTGAAATGTACTTTTTTTTTGAGGCAGATTTGAACAAGGGAAGTGGGTAGAAATAACTAAATGGTTGAAAAAATAAAGTGAATGAAATAATCTGGAATGAATTCACATGGGGAGGTGAAAAGTGAAAAGAAAAGCAGTTGATTCCTACTTTATTTCTGTAAATAGTGAGAGTGCCTTGTCAGAAGGGCTCACTTGGGACAGGAAGAAGTCATTTTCCAAAGTGACAAGCGGGGCTGTGTGTTTTTCATTCAGAACTTCTTGAAAATCTGTTACAATAGGTCCAATGCTGTGATAGATGGTGGGGTTCAGAGATGACCAACACACTCCATGATGCCGAGGAGGCCGCAGCGTAGCTGGAGAAGCTGATTAATAAATCAGTAATTATAAATCAGTGTGAGTGTTAATGCAAAGTTTGGGCATATAGAGGAGGGATTTCCAACTAAAACTGGATGAAAATGAGTCACTGAGGGTCACCTGGACATGATCACACGCCATTGCAGCATTCAGGGGAGAGTAGACCAGCCAGGCAACCACGAGAAGGGATGTAGGGGATAGCCAGTGTGCCCCAAGAAGGCAATAATGAATGACTTTTGGGTAAGTCACATACTGTATATCTGATAATTCATTCATTCATTCCATAAATATTTATGCAGTGCTGAGTATGTGTGTGACACTGTTCTAGGCCACGAGGATACTTCAGCGGGCAAAACAGACAAAAATTTCTGTTTGTGGAGTTTCATTCTAGCAGAGGGATACAGACAAAAAAGATATAAGTAAGTTATAAAATAATGAGTTATAATTATACTGGAAAGGGGAAGAAATGGGAGCTCGAGGTGTGGGGTGGTATAAGAATCTTGTGTCGTCATCTTCTACAATAGGAATTTAGGTGTTTAACATCACAAATTGAATAATCAAGAAATAGCAGTATAAGCATGTTCTTTAGAAATACGCATGTTAATACCAGAAATAGTTAAAAGATTTTGGAGGGGAAGATTCACGAGTGGGGGGGCCAGGGACTGCTATCGTTCAGTGTGAGCCTTATAGGCTGTTTGATGCTCCATTCATTTGTTCACTCATTTATTCATTCACAAATATCTATAAATATTATAAGTGTGTGCCAGGCCCTGTTGTAGGAGAGGAGAGTATGTCAGAGGATGATCTGTGGTTTGGGACAAATGAAGGGGCCTGGAGTTGGGGTTGGGTGGGTGTACTGTATCTAGAGCAGTTAGGATTGGCCTCACTGTGAGAGTGAGAGTGATATTTGAGTGAAAACCGGAAGTTGAGGGAGAGGGAAGAGCCCTACACTAGTCTGGGGTGGGGCACCTTCTAGGTACAAAGGTCTAGAGGTGTGAGTGTGGGTGGAGCAGCGGGGGCCCCAGAGCTGTTGCTGAGGGATGGAAGGGAGAGTGATGGCAGAGGAGGTCAGAGATCAATAGCAATGGTTTACTCTGTGTAACATGGGAAGCCATTGGACTTTGTCCCTGGAGCAGTTCCTTATATCTTTAAAAAGAGACCTATAGACCATGCTTTATAAATGCTGATTTTAAATTAGAATAACTGATACACCACTCTTTCAAATGTTTCTTTTTTCTTTACAATCATTATTTGAGAAGGGAAAGTAGTATCAGTGGTAACACACTCAGTTTTGAAAGCAAAGAAATTAAAATAAAGCTAAAGAACAAACTAGTGATGATTTGGAATAAGACCCCTAACACCTCCCAAATGGGGTCTGAAGCTTAGGCTTCTGATAACCCAGGCAGAGTCTGGGAAACTGGAGTTGCCTTTCATTCATGCACCTACCCGTTCATCTACCCTCCCATTCACCCGTCAGATCCTTAGAAGTTCTGGGAGCCTAGTGTCATCCGGGGACAAATACGAAGAAGCCTTTTGTCCCCTCGAGAATTCGGTCTGGTAGGGAGGCTAGCATAGGGCTGGCAAGTGGTGTCCATGGCAGCACCTGTGAATGTGGGGAAATAGGTGGGGTCTGGAGCAGACAATAGAATACTGTGCAACAGAAGCCATCTGGCAGAGACGGTATTTTCATCACAGCAGATTGCTATTTGGTACTGATGCTGCTTTCCTATTGCTTAGACAAACGCCTTTCAAGCCTATTCACAGCCTTTGCCTTTGTTCCATGATCACCAGACAATGTTCTGATATCTAATTTAGCTTGTAGGCACATTGGTCATGAAACAAAAGTGGACTGGATAAAGGTAAACCAAAGGCAACAATGAGACTTCCACTGTAAACGAATGGGGCTGTTAATGAGGTTTATATGATTCGTTTCCCTTAGCTCCTGATCAACCGTGAGTGGACTGATAAAATCAAATTTCTGAAGCCTAAAGTTTGAGGACTGGACCTTTGTCAACAAATGTGTGTTGAATAAGTAAACCTATGAGGTGCAGTGACTCTGGAAAGCTCATCCGGAAATGTTCTGTCCATCTTACCCACTCTAAATACAAGAGTACAAGTGTACACCAACAGCCACGAGTGTACACCAACAGCCAGATGAGGAAACACAATACAATAATACTCAGTGTTGTATCCCACGAAACGGGCTGCCTGAAGAAGAGGCCGAAACATCCCAAACTTCAATACAGAGCTATAAAGTGATGTTAGGTGAGGTCCGGCAACAGTGTCTAACATAGTAGGTACACAGCTGATGGTAGTAAGTGAATGAAGGAATGAATGAAAAGGGGGGGTCCGCTTGATCTGTTTTAAAGAGGAAGAAATGTCTTTGCATTTTCCTTAGAAGTCCTTCCTGTTTTTATGTTGTCTACTACCAATTAAAATATATTTTACCATATTTCTTGATCTCAATAAGGAATTTGAATGCATGTTTCTGTAGGTAAATGAACATTAAAAAGTCATTCCACATCAGCTTCATCCTGGGAAAGATCAGGGACCTAGAGTCAAGAGATGTAGGATGGTACTCTGTGTTACTGTGACCAAGTTTCTTTACCTTTCAGGAAATAACGTCATTGCATACAAAATAAATCATTTGGTCACTAAAGTCTTAAGATTTCATGTTATAGCTTAAAAAAATATTTATTTACCTCTTGCTCCCTCTGCTGGATGATTGGCTTTCTGCTTTGTTCTTGAAATGAATATACTGTACAGCTGTGGGATTTTTTTTTTTTTTGTACTTAAAGTCCCCAAGCTTATAGTGAATTATAATTAGATGAAAGAGAAACTCTTCAGCCTAGTGGTTCCCATCCTTAAGCTACACACTGGACTCTCCTGGGGGAGCTTGATGTTCTGGGCGAAGGGTATAATTCAGGCTTTTACTGTATTCAGTGTCAGTGTCCTGGAGGATGGCATTTGACGACAGTGTTTTCAAATCCAAGAAATCCAAAGCCATGATTCTTTGTTGTTAACCTAGAGACCCTTGCCTTAAATCATCATGCACGTTTTAAGGAATGTATCGAAGTATTGGACTAGCTCAGGGTATGAGCACCCATATACTCTCTTGACTTGACCTTTCAAATAAGTCTACTTAGAATTTTCCTTTGAGGTCCTGCCAATCTCTTTTAAGACTATCACGTCACTGAGTTGCTGTCCCACCTTTCTTCTCTCATGGTTGTTTTATTTCAAAGTCTTCTTATAACTCACAGTTTTTGTCACTCTTGTAGCTGACACTCCTGAAAAATGGATAGGGCTGCTTATATCTAGGCCACCGTGGTCGTGAAATTCAGATTCACATCGACTTTACTGCAAAACTCAGATGCATGAATGAGTCTCCACATTAATTTGTTTAGTACTCAGATCTTTTAAATGTTTTGCTTCCCAGATTCTCCCACTTTCAAATCAGAAGTCCCTGCCCTCTTAACACTTGATCTTTGATACCACCTGTGTCTATCCTGGACGCAGTCCTCACTGCTACTGGTCGCCGTAGCATAGCCACCACTGCGGTCCCACAGCTACAGTCAGTGGCGGTTCTACTCCACCCATGAGCAAGCCTTACTGTTCTGTAGGACCTCAGAGAGTGAGATCACGATTTTAAAGTTTCTTCTTCCCTGAAGCTTGTTTATTAGAACACTTGTGTTAAAAAAAAAAAAAACTAATTTAAAAAATGTTTAGGCATCACGGGGAGCAGAGTTGCCTAAATGACAAGAAGATACCTTAAGATCCCAGCCTCTACTTTCATTGGTCAGAGGAGTTCTGAGGATGCCCCTGGGAAAGTTGTGAGGCCCCGGGGTTTGGGTCCTGTATCCCCAACCTCCAACCACTGTGCCTGTCAGTCAAGAAGAGAAGCCTGCCCCCAACTTCACACCTCCAGGCTCTCTAGTCTACCTTTGTCAGTTGTTGATGGACTCAATTATATTTAGGCTGAACCCTATGAAATTGCTCTTTTTGTGGGTGGGTCAAACAAGTGGAATATCAGCAATTTCATATGGTTCAACCTATTTCGAACAAAATCCTTGGCCAGTATCTATTTCAAATGAGGAATTAAGTTCTTTGTTCATTGTTAAGGGAATTTGTGTTCAATGAGCTGTTGTAGAAGGCTGCGGTTTTATTTTGATTTTTAGTGGGGAAGGGGGCTTCGGGGAGAGAAGTGAGAAGCTCGTGAGTCTGTTTTGGTGGTTGTTCTTTGCTACCATACATGCTATACAAACTCCTGAGATTTAAAGTTGCTGCCATGCCTTGGGCATGAATTGTGAATGTTTGGTATTCCTTCATTCTCTCAGGAGGCTGTGCGGATATTGATTTCTTGACCAACATGAGAGCCCTGAGCAGGAAAGATGATTCCAGGCCCAAATTGCCTCTCTGGTCAGCAGGGGGCGCTCTTGCCCTTCAGATCCAGCAAAGGCTAAAGCCCGCCCCCGCGCATCCTGCCCCGCGGCCGGCTCTGGGGAAACCCAAGACTGTGAGTCACCACCGCCCTCCTTCCTCCTCTGTTCAAACCGGCGTTTTGCAAAGAACAGCATTACTTCTTGGTAAGCAACTGTGGACCAATCATCTGCAAAAGCGTTTGGGAAACTCTACAATTTTAAAAGTGAAAAAGCAAAATACGTCCTTTATCTTATTTTAAATTTTTGCCATAAGCATGAATTACGGGGTGGGGAAGCAGATGTTTTTCAATCTTTTGAATTATTACACCGACTATCCAGCTGTTCTTCAAATTAGCCCTGTTCGCGATGGGTGGTGTGCGAAGGGATGAGAGCTCTCTCAGCTCTGGGGGAGGTTTAGTAGTCTGTCCCCTTTCCCTGGCAGAGCTGTTGATGTAGACAGGCCCGGCTGTTCCTGTGTAATTTCAACTCACTTTCTCCTGCTCTAGTGTCTACAGATGCGGTTGGCAAATTTCTTCTGCAAAGGCCAGATGGTAAATATTTTAGGCTTTGTGGACCAGAGAGACTCTGTTTTGACTACTCAACTCTGCTGTTGTCGCCCAAAGCAGAAAAAATGTAAACAAGTGCGTGTGGCTGTGTCCTAATGAAACTTTATTTGTAATTTGGTCAATCTATAGACATCTATAGGTATTAAAAACCCAGTTAATATCGTCCATGTATCTATTATTTTATATTCTTTATAAACTCAAATTCTTTTTCAAGTAACAAGAAAATACTCAAATCCAAATGTCCGCCTGGTTCCACTCCTTTTTGGAATCGATGCCTGGTCCCCCTTACAACTTTCCTGACAAGCGTCAGTGCCCTCTGCCTGGAGAGCTCAGGCTCTCCATTTTCCCTGTAAGAAAGGCGGTGGCCCCGGAGAGCAGAGAGGACGATATAAGTCCACAGAAGTTTTTAAGTGGATAACCCAGCAATTTAGAAACCAGTGCTGCTGGAATTGTGAACTTTTAATCTTTTCATTCATCACATTGTTTAATCCATATTTTAAAAGAAAGCTGCCACAGTGTGGAATAACAGGCATGGACTGGCCTGAAATATCCCAGGAAAATCTGGTTTAAGGTTTTTCTAGGAGTTGATCCAAGAACATTTTTCTTTCTGCCTTTTGATATGTTGAAAGATACACAAGATACTTTGGGTGCCTTGAAGACATAGACGCCAATATGGAAATAAACTCTGACAAGTTGTCTTGTAAAGGGAGCCAGCACTTAGAAAAGGGATAAGTGTGAGGGCAGGAACTGGAGCTTTTTGTCTACTGCCTGACCTAAACCCATCTTTGTACTTTTTCTGTGAATGGATTCTGTTTCTTCCAGGTTTGAGTGGGTCTGGGGAAACTGAGGTAACATGATTGCTTCCTGCAGTTTTAGCTTCCTCTTCACCTTCTCTTAACATCCCCTTCCCGTCTCCACTGCTGACAGCAAGAGATGACATGCCCCTTTCCCTCCCCGCAAAGAAACGTTGAGCCGGGGCTGACTACAGAGGAGAGTAGATGAGGAGCGTCCAAGAGAAGCAGCGCTGGAGGTGCTTTTATATCGAGGCGATTTTATATAAATCTATAAATGTCAGAGGTCACTTGGAGGCACCAAAACAAAGGTGGGGGGCCGGAAGTGAATATCCGAGAGGCTCCCAAGCTTCCCGCTGATGTGAGAGCCAAACAAGCACAGCAGCGCCTTCCAGGTGTCGTTTGGATCCTTTAAGCGTAGCAGAGACCACTTAGAAAGTTTTACTTCTAAAGGATTATGGGAGTCAGCTCTGAATTCTCCCTCTTACACACTCTTGGTGCGGCGAGGTGGGGCAGATCCAATTCCAAGCACAACAGGAAGATACTGGAAAAACATATTTGTGTATCAAAGCCTTGAACTCCCAGCCCTGGGCTCCATCCTCCATTCTTCCTCCACTTCAGCTGTCTGGGGGTCCCTCTCATTCAGCCTGCCCAATATCTGGACCCCTAGATGGGTCTCCGGCTTGCCCAGAGGTGCAGGCTCCCAGCTTCCTCTGCCAGCTGCTTGAAGACTCCACAGGCGCCTTTCTGGAGGCTGTGGTTTTAACTCTTTGCCTGCTGTAAAAATAGTTAGCAGGCCTGTGCTTGTCACTGGCGTGGGGAGCTGATTTCTTTCTCTGCTTCTTGTGATAGGGGAGAGAACTGACTCTGGACATCTGCTATTCAAAGGCAGCCCCAATGTGATCTGACACAGAACCCGGTTCTGGTCACTCTAACCTCTGGGTGGAAGAGAGAAGACTTGAGCGCTGTCATCTTCTCCCTTGGGCCATATTGGTTTAGGGTCATTCATGCTAGAGGTGGGAGCAGAGGAGGAAGACAGAGGATGCCTTGTCTCCTGTAGAGAAGTCTCTTCCAGAACCTTCTAACCACCTGACATTGTAGAGGGAAGAAGGGACAGAGTGAGAAATGGAACCACTCATTTCCTGTCTCCACAATTAAGTCTCTTACCAGTGGCTCAGTACCCTGTACATGCAGGAATGATTAAAGATGCTGCCCACCCATAGGTGTCTAAACTCTCCCAACTCTTAGCACCTTAGCAGGTATAGTTCATAAACTTTTAGATGACTATTATACTTGTGTGTATGTTAGACCTTTGAATAACTAAAAGGTAAATAAATTTAGATTTTCCTGGCTTCCCCAAACACTTGAATGAATGAGTTTTCTTGGAATGCCCTTTTTTGGTCAGCCAGCTGATTATTATTCTGAGAGGACACTAATGACAGCCCAGGAGTGATGTCTACAAAGCCCCACATTAAGGCAGCTTGCATTGCAAACCTGCCATTCATGTAATGACTGCCGCCTTCTGGAAAAACAAGCTGGGGCCTCACTAGGGGAGACCATGTGGTAATGCCTGGATGCTTGAGAAGGGTGTGAGGCCAGTCATAGGAGCTGACTTGGTGAAATTGGGCCAAAGGGTCATGGATGGTTTTCTGAAGTTTTTGTTGAGTGTGGGAGAAAATTTCAAGAGGGTGGAAAGGCTTTACTTGAAGAGACATGCTCCTTTTTGTCTCTTGGCTCAAATCAATTTCCTTATCATAATACCAGCAAAGGTAATAATTATTATGACTACTTACCATGATTATGGGTGATGAGAACTGCAGTTGGGCAAAAGCATTGTTTTGTATATTTTAATTTCCTTCTCTGACATTCTGCCTTCATGTACTTCCTCATTTTGTGTTCCTAATAGTGACTGATTCCATAGTAGGCATTTGTTAGGAGCTTAATAAATACGTCTTGATTGGTTCCTAATTCCAACTCATATGTGAGTTTCTTGAAAACAAAGAATAATGACGTCAATAACAATAATGAAAGCAATCGATCCAAGCTGGTTTAGTTGAGTGTGGAATAGGACATAATTTCACAGAGTCATTGTTATTTTTTTCAAACTTCAGCCATTGTGTGGCTCACTGAATAAAGAAATGGTACTTGGAGAGAACTTAGGAAGAATTTTATAGGTGAATGCTCATATGTAAATAGTGGCATACTTTTTAGTGCTGTCAGCTAATATGATAGACAATGTTGGACGGGCAGTTTTCATCCTCTCCAATGAGTCTGATTAGTGGTGAACTTTTCATGGTTTGTACTAATGTAATGCATTGAGGCCAGGAGTAACTTGAGACAAAGTGGTCGATTCCTTTAGTTTCCAGACTTCATTCTGTTTTCCACTCTTGACTAGAACAAAGAGACACTTTCTTTCAAGGCCTTACTTAATCAGTGCTCTTGCTTCACTTGCTTTGAGCAGGACAGTTCTAATGGGATTCAAGGATGCCACCTTTCCTGCTGTATTTTTCACCCAGTCAAATCTGTATTAAATCTATTGAGACTGGCTTACAGATAAGACATTAAGTCTAGGGCATATATCAAATGGCTGATGGATTGAACTCATCTATAATCTTGCTACTCAAAGTATGGTCCAGGGATCAGCAATCTCAGCATCATTTGGGAGCTTGTTAGAAATGCAGAATCTTGGGCTCTCAACCCAGACCTACTGGAAACCCAGAATCTGCATTTTTGACAAGATCCCCAGTTATATGCATGCACATTAAAATTAGAGAAACACTAATAAATATATAGATAAGACTTCAGATTAGATGTTGACCTCGAACTACTGCTTCTAGAGTATTGGAAATGATAAGTAGAAATCTTCACAACATGTTTTTATGATGAGACTGGATAAAATACTTCCAAGTGATAACTCTTGAACATGTTTTGTGTAACTATGTCCCAGCCATCATTACCATCCATTACCATCTTCTCTTCATCCTTCTCTTCCTTTCTTCTTCTCTGAGCATTATGAGGAGAGATAATTTTGATAGAAAGTAGGAGTTAGTGTGACATCTAATTGGACAGATGCAGGAGTGAGGTCCTCTGGCCTTGGAACTTACTAAGCTCATCCCTGGTGTTGACTGATAGAGTTTTAGGCTAAGGAAGTGGCAAGTTAAGAGAACATCTCTGCGCACAGAGGATTGAATGCTTTGGGTTTTGGGTAATGGGAAGATAGCTCTTGGTCGTAAAAGTGTGTCCCTCCCTAGTCCTGAGTGTATATTCTGACTCCTGTGTGTTATTCTAGTACCCTGTACATTCAGATTTCTTATGCCTGGATTCTCACCTTAGATAAACCCCACGAGCAAGAGTTCATCAAAATGTGTTGCCTGTGTTTAGGTTTTACGTAACTCTTTCCAACCATTTTTGACTTCATGTGACACAGTTGAAAGAGCAAGTACACTGGGTACAAATTAATGATTCCACCATTTTAGACCACAAGTCAGTTAATTCACTCCAATTGAGCCCCAGTTTCCTCAATTGTAAAATGAGGATAATAATACCTTGCAGGGTTGTGACAAGTGTTAAATGAGATTGTGAATGCAAAGCTCAGTCAAGAATAGTTGTTATTGTTAAACTTCTTCTAGTGTATGTGTGTATGTATGTCACATGCATGAGGATTATGTTGTGTATGCACACTTTAAAAATTAGCATAAATTGACTTGTAGTTTTTATTAGGTGACTCGTAATTTTATTAGGTGGCTCCTAATTTAAATTTCAAAGAGAAGTTTTGGTGAGTAGGACAGTCTATGTACCAGTATGACTAATACATAAACACATACACACAGAGTTCTTCACTAAAACTTCTAAGTGTGGTTAGCTCATCAGATAGTGAAGTATGTCAGAGACACTGTCTTCTTTTCCTTTTTGCGTGACCTCACTGCAAATGTATTCTAGAAACTCTCTAATCCTCTTCAGAAAGATGGTGACATGTGGATGTGTAAAAGAATAAATGAGAAGGGGAATGAGTCACACATATGAGAATGATCTCAGGCACGTAGTAAGTCGGAGAAACCAACATTGTTGTGATACACAAATATCGAACAAGACACTTCAGGGGATATATATATAAACAGCAAAAATCTTAAAAGTATTTATTGATTAAAGGCCATATAAGAGTATAGCATTTAATGTATGGCATTGTGAAGAAATATGTCTGGAATGAATGGACAGTATTCAAGGGTCTTAATGACTTAAAAACTTAAACGTTATAACTAAGAGCTATCTGATAATCATGACCATCTTAAAGGCCATCATTGTAAAGGCCTTATAGTTCCTTGGTGAAGGAGAACATTGCTTATCTACATTGAAAATCGATCACCTTTCAGTGAAACTCTTGATCTGTGTGATACTTACTGTAACCACAAATATTTATACAGAAGTTGTTAATGTCCCTGGAATGAGGAACTTAAAGACGAAGTCAAAGGAATGGAATCTCAAAGATAAGAAGTTACCTGGGCATCCCAGCATGCTCTAGAGAAGAGCAGGAGATGGCCTTCCTCTCCAGGTTGAAGTTACTGCTTGGTCCCCATTTTGAAGAGGCAGAGAGGAGCTGTGAACATACATGGGCTTTACTCACTGACATCTCTGAAGAGGGAAGACATTGGTTTTACGTTTGGAAGCGTTGGTGCGTTGTCTGTGGTTCTTGGACCAGGACTTCTGTGGAGATCCATTTCCGTGTTAAAATGACTAAAATCCTGGTCAAAAGTTTGGTGGGATGCTAATGGACTAGCCTTAAATCAGCTCTTGTCACTGAGCAAATAATAGACTCTTCCATCTTAAATACTCCGTTTTGCTTATCCACTGCCATATGAAAAACTACCCCAAAACTTACTGGCTTAAAACAATAACCGTTTTATTTGTTCATAATTCTGTGGGTCAGAATTTCAGATTCAGAATACTGGGGATGGCTTATCTCTGCTCCATGATATGTGGGGCCTCAACTGGGTGGCTTGAATGGCAGGGAATTAGGTGGAATGGCTTGAGCAGAGCCATATGTCTGGAGCTTCAGTTATGGCTGTTGGCTGGGTTCCTCAGTTTTCCTTCATGAGGCTTCTCCATGAAGCTAGCTTAGACTTCCTCAAAGCATGAGACCTCAGGATAAATGAAATTCTGACATGGTAGCTGGCTTCCTAGAGGGAGCATTCCAAGGGGATGAGCCCCAATGTGTAAGCATTTGTTAAACCCTTATTTGTGTCATGCTTGCTGATATTCCATTGGTCAAATCAAGTCACACGGCCAAGCCGAGAATAAATGTGAGAGAGACTACAGAAAGGCATTAGTCCTGGTGGTAGGGATTCCCTGGGGCTACCAATATCTATTGCATACTCAGAAAATAATACCATTATCTGGTATCCATTTGCTTTTGTGAAAGGCTAAATATGTAATTATGGTACAACATTGCTTAATGTCCATAAAAGGTATTTTTGGAATTACGTTATTTTTATAGAGAAATAGTATATTATTTGACACAATGTAAACTTAAAAAAAAAATTATGCGATGCTTTCTTCAATTCTGATGTTTCCATCTGGCAGAGATGCTACATATAGATAGACAGGAGATCTGAGTTCCAGGCGGGCTTGACTAACCTTTCTAGACGTTAGCTCCCGCATCTCTTAAACAAGAGGTCCCAATCAGTTGATTCCTATGATTTCTTCTAGTGCTAATATTTTTTTATTTGAACTTACATGTGATGCCTGATTAACTATTAGAGAAATATAAAATGTGCATTTTGGAAACAGTAAAACAATATGATATTTGTTTAAGGAAAAATTTACTTAGTTGTTCCTGCAATTAAACAGAGGCTAAAATAATATGGCAAATTTTCATCATAGAGGCTCATTACAGGAGCCTAACACCTTGGGAAAATATTTGATTAAGCACCTGAAAGAGATTTTACTAGACTTAGGTGGAAGTAAGTTTGCAGAGTTTTGTGAAATACTTTTTAGTATTTGTCTTACAGTTTTTATTCAGCTGTGTTTTCTGGAAGCAGTTCTCTACAATTCTGTAAAATGAAACTCTCTTCACAAGCATTTGGGAGCGACATGGAGGAGATTCTTATTTTTCTATAAGCCATCATTAATTCTTATGGAATTATTAAAAATTAGTAATATGGGGAGCAAACAAACAAATACAAAAGCACTTGCCTGAAGCTACTAAAGCAGTAGATTCCTAAACTTGGCTGTATGTTGTCATTACTTGGGAATCTTTAAAATATATTGATGCCTGGGTCTCAACCTTCAAAAACCTTGATTTAATTGATCTGTAATGTGATCTGAGCATTAGAACTTTTAAATCTCCCCAGGTGATCCTGAGGTGCAGCCAAATTTGAGAACCCCTGTGCTAAAGGAACATTCTCGAATGTCTCTTTCTTACTTTTTCCTACCATAATTCGAGTCCTTGCTCTCTTTTCAGCTTTATGACCTCTACCCCCAACATACAATTGCTACATTCCTTAATAATGAATTTTTATGAAGTTTAGTTCCCAATTTCACACATCATTAACAGGCTAAATGTATAGAAACATAAATGGAAAAATGAGCATTTAATAAAGGCGTGTATTTAATTGGATTTAAACATATCAAATGGATCTATCCAGTCAACCATGTTTTCATACTGTTGGAAAATATGTTGACATAAATATTCAGTTCCAAAGTAATGCTTTATACCTCTCTGGATTAGCCAACTATTTGTTTAATTGGGTTTTGAGTAGTGGAAAAGCTGCTATTTACTCAAAGTGTTTCTGTAATGACGACGATATAATTTATTACCAACTCCTTTATGTGGATTGGGTGTGTGTTGGTCAAAACCAAATACGAATGAAAACTTCTTTGGTTGGTAATTCATCTGGACATATAGGCACTAATCAATTTGTAATGGGTATTTTTTTTTATTATGTAATGGGTATTTTGAAAGATTTCTCATTTAGATGTGGGAGAGAGGTTATAATATGTTGCCTAGAGCCTAAACTCATGCAGTTGTCTCTTTATTCAGGCCAATTTAATTTCTTTCTACTTGTCTCTCCTTAGTGAAATAGAGATGCTGTGGGTCTGAAAAATTCAGATGTTGAAATCCTAACCCCTAAGGTGATGGTTTTAGGAGGTGTGGCATTTGGGAGGCGCTTAGTCATGAGGGTGGAGCCCTCATGAATGGGATTAATGCTCTTACAAAAGAGACCCCACAGAGCTCCCAAGCCCCTTCCATCCTGTGAGGACACAGGCTCGGAACCAGGAAGTGGGCCTTCACCAGAACACAATTGTTCTGTGCTTTGATCTTGGACTTCCCATCCTCCAGAACAGTGAGAAGTAAATTTCTGTCGTTTATAAGCCACCCAGTCTGTGGTATTCTGTTATATCAGCCCAAATGGACTAAGACAAGAGTAACTCTTTATTGATAGAGCGACCAACCACCCCAATTTGCCTGGGACTGAGGGCTTTCCTGGGCAAACTGGGTTGAATTGGTCACCTTAATTGATACAGTGAAAATTAATAAGACTCTAAGGGTGTTTTAGTGCCTTAAATACAAAATTATTCATATTTTATGATTTACTATTACCAAATCATATATAAACTATGATGGCAAATGGAAGAAATTAGTTTCTGTATCTAGTATTATAACTTTACCTTCAGCTTGTCATATTCTTCTTGAATATTCTTCAAAATATTTTGCTAGCAATGTTCAAACTTTACCTTGAGAACATATGTATAATTTTATGCATAATTTCCAGATTTCAGGAATGAAATAATAATGTCTAAAGTAACAGAGTGAATTGGTGCTAAAATAGAGAACAAATTCATTTTTAGATCTGCTTTGAGACTATAGTAACCTATTAACATGAAAAAGTTCCCATAATAAAATAAAATAGAAAAAGAGAACTATTGAAGTCTAATATAGATCCATTCTTGCCCCCCAAAACATCAAAATTCTCCATAGATGAATACTGCACAAAGAAAACTCATTGAAGATGTTAGTATATTGGTTATTTTTGAGATTCTTTGAAGTAATCACACAGAAAAGATAAATTTGTAATTTTACCTCAGGGAATTAATGTATTTTAGTTAAATCAATAACACATTTTTGCAATGAGGGGATTACCCTGGGTTCCTTTTGCCTAATTTCCTATTGTTAAGGGTTGGTTTTCTATTCTTTGGGCATTAAGAATTAGAAACAGCAATTATTGCCTTAAAGGAAGACTAATCCTGTTTTGACAGATGCCCACTTCACAAAATATCAAAAGCAATCCTTTCCAGGAAAGTATTAAAACACAGAGACAAAAAGTATACGATGCATTGCCAATGTGTTGGATGACAGTGGAACTAAACTACACCACTTTTAGTTTAACAGCTGTTAATGCAGCCAAGAGAGCTGCGTCTAGATCCATCTGCAACAATCCGGTGAGTGAGTGGGTAAATGTCTTTATCGCTCTGGGCCTCAGTTTATTTGTTGTAAAATGGGAGAGTTTGATTAAGCCTGTGTCTATGGTCCTGTAAATTGTTCATATCCTATACTCCTGTGTCCAACATTCTGATGATGTCCTAGTGGATATGATTTCTATCTTCCTTTTCTCCAGCCCTGCTTCTCTGTACTAGCCTTGGAAAAACGGCTCTCGCTGCTACAAGTGGAGAAAACGGCACCTTCTTCAGAGGACAGAGGTGTGTTGTCTCTGTGCTTTAGCCCCTACTACAACTTAGCATAATACTCTGGATGCTAATATTTGCAGTTTGGATCCTGGATAAGTCACTTCCCCTTTTAGGGTCTTGGTATCTATCTGTAATGAGGATTTTTTTCTGAATTTCCTTTTCTAGCTTTAACTCCCTTTTAGGCCCTTAAGTTTGGTTGGTTGGTTATTTATTTTTATGTGGGATAGAATAATTTTTGGGCATCTCACATTCTCAGTGAGGCTTTCTAGGCCTCCCTTTCTCTCTTTTTCCCCCTTCCTGCTGGCAGAAGTCTGGAGAGCCTTATGAGCCGCATCTCGTCCCTAGGTGGCACGGCTGCAGGGTAACAATTCTGCCCGTGTTTGGCTGCTCTGAACATGTTTAAAGCATTACGGTCCCTCTGGATCGTTCAGGGATAATGCTCTGAGAATCCCTCATTAGAATGAGACCTGTAGGTCTTATCTTTCCATATAATATAGAAAAAGACATGATGCAGCTGGTGGAGAGTTTTATTGACTACAAAACAGATACACAATGATGGGAATCTGAATATTGTACTAGGAAAGCAGAGCTTTAAGCTCATGAACTCATACTTTGATCCAAAAGGTGCAGCGGTACGTTAAGATCACTGTGGAACATCTGGTGAGATTGTTACAGAGAAAAAAATAGAAGTTTGATAACCCCAGGGGCACCTCTAAGGACTCACTCATTTGTGTCCGGGCAAGGACTTTCCATTGGGGAAAACAGGCAGAAACTTTTATTGGCCTCACGCACACCTTTGGATCTCATTCACTTGAGAAAGAATTACTCTCCCGTTGACACTCTCCTGTGTGATGGCCTTGATCCTTGGTGCTGCAGACGCTGAGGGAAAGAGCAATGAAGAGGTCACTGCCGTGCTTCTCCCACCATCTGAACTGTACTCATTTTCATTTCCCTGCTCTCAGCACCTGAAGGCTCTCTGTGCCTTCCAAAATGATCACTAAGCAATGTGACAGGCCTGCGGGAATGAAGAGAGATCTCACCGAGGAAGGATTTCCTCCCACCCTCCAGGAAATGAGGGGTCTGAACAGTGACAGTGTCATCTTCTAGAGGTCGAGAACTTCATCCTAGGTGTGCCTGAATCACAATCTAGTCTCTGACCATAAGCACTCAAGGAGTCCTTTCTGCTTATGTTGACTTTGTAGCACTTACATCACAGATTCTTTGAGCTTACAGAGCATTAAATGCCATTCTGGGCACCTGATTTTGAGATCTACAAAGCATGCTTATGAGAGATGGGTGAGAAGCCAGGGATGTTTATCATGGTCGCTGTTTTCAAAGATATGATTTATTTGACTAACGTTTTGTTGACACATTAGTAAACTGATTCTAGACCAGAGAGAAGAATTGAAACCATTAATACAGATATGGGGAGAACCTTGTTAAAATCAAACCTCTTGAACAGTAGATTGGGCCACCCTATCAAGTAATGGGTTCCCCATCCCTGGCCATGGGTAAGAGAGGCTGAAGGACCATTTGTCGGGAGCTTGCAGAGGGATAGCAGTTAGATCAACTGTTCTGTGATGGTTACTCGAGCTCTGATTCTCTGAATCTCTAACGCCTTAGAACCTTTTTACCATAAATGAATAGAAAGTCCCACTTGTTCCGCACTGTGGTTTCTTGGAGCTTTTCTGTGAGGTGTTAAAGGTAATCTGAGGACATGGAGTTCCCAGGTCACATGTATTTGGGAGCACTGTGTTATACGAAGTACAACGTCCTTTCTTCCCCACAGCAGTGCTTGTTCCATCTTGAACTTACTGACATGCAACATGACTCTTCACGAAGAGGAGAGTGGTATGTAGTGTTCTCAACTGTATCTGGCCATAGAGCACGTCTTTCATAATACTCAATTAAAATCTCATGGAATGCTAGTATTCAACAGAATATACTTGGGGAAATTATGTGAAATCATTTCCTTCTAATTTCCTAGGAGTTTAATAAACAGGCTCCATTACTTAATAGTGATGTGAAAATATTAATGATTGTTTTTATTTACTGCTTGCAAAGAACCTTCATATATATGGTTGAGGACAATATTGAGAGCTCATTTTTTTCTGTGTTATCTAACTTAAGTTAATCCAAGATTCCTGGCCATTTGGGAGTAAAATAAAAATTGAACACAGGACATTTAGGAGTACACTAAGGCTTATGAATATTACAGAATGGATAAATGTGCTGATTCATTTAAAAAAGTAGCTTCAAACAATGAAAGAAATTTTTTTACCTTTCACACTCGACTTAGATTCCTCCATTGTCCTATAAAAGTGATAAAGGTTAAAGCTCATTTTAGTATTAGCAACTATCATAAAAACCTCAAGATGAACTAACTTCCTTTGCCTGCTTGTAAATTTGTAGCTCTTTAATGAGGATAATTGTCTGAGCTCTGTAGTCTCAAGGTCATGAGTTCATGGGAGAATCCTCTGGATCCAGAAACCAGTGAGTACTGCCTCCCACCGACCCTGGGGTCAGAGAAGGTTTACCGGACCAGCTCCATCCTTTCAACTGGCTGCAGGTTTCCTCCCCTGGGATCCTTTCCTGGGTCTGGGTCTGAAGCCTGGAATGTCTGGGCTTTTCAGACTGTTCATTTTATTTTATTTATGTATTTTTTTAAAACTTCTAACCGTTTCTCTTGAGTCATAGGATGTATGTGCCCTTTTTGTGGACAGCTGTTTTCATTTTCCAAGGTGGTCAGAAGTACCAGATTGAAAATCTAGACATCTCAATCTCTTATGAATCTTTTCCTGCTATTAGGCTAAAATATTCCGCCAATCTTCCCTTTTTTTGGAGCCAAAATCACGTGCATTCCCACTGGGAAGCACTCTACCTGAACCTTGTTGGTTGTTTCTTTCTAGAGACTTTAATATACTAATTTTAACTGTTGGCTTCAAATCTCAGTGTCCTGGGAGTAAGAGCTGATTAATTCTCACTTGCTGCTTAATGAAATACAACCTGATCTAAGTATCTTCAGGAGAAATTCAACATAAATCTTTCTTTGTCTAGAGTGATGATTGCTAAAAGAATCTTAGGGTACATGAATGCACACACGAGCTGGATGTCCTTTGCCTCCTCCTCTCCCCTGCCAGCTTCTGCCTTACCCTTCACTCTCTCCGTCCAGGAGCTGACGGTACGTGGCGATTTCCTTCTCTAGGTGGGTTTTGATGCCCAGGAGGACCTTGTATTCGCTGTTCTGACGCTCCAGGTCATGGCGTAACTGCATCAGTTCCTCCTCATAGTGAGAGATTATCTGTTGCATGTCCTGGAGTTGGCAGGAGTACCGAGACTGGGTCTCTGATAACGTGTTTTCTAAAGCAGATTTCTGAAAAAAGAAATCATGTTTCTTTCCTTAATTGACTGGCGGCTTGATTGATTCAATAAGATGTGCTTGTTAAGTACTTAGGATACAGCGACCACTCAGCTAGGTGTCTTGGCAGCTGCTGGGGATGCAAAGATGAGAAGCAGGCTGACTTATAGGTTTGGGGCTTGGGCAGTGGGGAGTTGAGCGGTGTCAGGACTTTTGAAGCCCGTTTTCCCAGTGTAAAACCTTTGTGTCAGGGAGCTCTTGGCAACTTCGCTGCGCTCCTGTAGCGTTTATTGTTTACACCGCTCCTTTGGGATGGGGCATATGCTGCCTTGCTCTGATCTGTTCCTTACCTCCTCATGCTTACATTTTGTTTCTGCCAGATGGAAAACTCCTAGCGGGAGACGGCGACTGAGACTGCTGTCTGTTTTATCTCCAGAGAAGGGTGTCAAGTAGGGATGCCAGATAAAATAGAGGCCACTTAGTTAAACTCGAATTTCAGATGAGCAACGAGTAATTTTCTAGTACAAGTATGTCCCAAATATTGCCCCAATATTGCATAAAACATACTCATACTAAAAAAAACTTTGGTTTTTTATCTGAAATTCTAATCTAATTGGGTGTTCTACATTTTAATTCAGTTAATCTGGCAACCCTAGTCCCAAGCAATGCTTTTCGATTATGGCAATGGTAACAAATCGTCATTTTTGAGGAAATTTTAAAAGCTGCAAAATACAGTTGCTGGATACAGGATGCAGAGAACTGAGTTCAAGTCCCTGTTCTGTTTGGTGTTGCCACCTGCTTTCCTGGAGCACCTGACTTTCATCTTAAGGAGAAACTCATAACTGTGCTGGATACTCTCACTTTATCATGACTGCTAGCTTTCAGGGGGCTCTTAATGCTGCCTGGCCATTAAACCACATGTCCCTGGTCTACTTACTCTCCTCTTCTCCCAGAGGGCTATTTCATTCCTTCTCCTCTGTCTTCCAACCTCCCTCCTCCCTCTCCTTTCTCTCAGCCCATGGCCTTGCTTCCTATGTCGTTGAGGAGATGAAAGCCGCCGGGAGAGGACTCCCACAAGCTCTCACCATTACTTACACCCAGGTGGTTGAGTCTGTCCAGGTACTCATTTCCTCCTGTTACTTGGCATGAGCTGTCTGTGCTCCAGTCATCTCTGCAATTGCCTGCCTTCTTGCATCATCAGTGTTCTCCTCGCTACTAGATTATTCCCACTGGCTTTCAAATAGAATAATTTCTCCTACCTTAAAATTTTTCTCTCTTGAACCCATATCTACCTTCAGCTGTCATCCAATTGTTCTGATCGCCTTCACCTACAGCAAAGTTCCTCAAGGCATTGTCTATATCTGCTGTTTCAAATTCCTCTGGACACCCTCCAAGGTTCAAGGCTACATAGTCTGGCTCCGTTGTTACCCCATGGCCTCCCCTCCCTTCCCTCCTCTCCTCCTCTCCTTTCTTCTTCTCTTTGTTCACTCACTGCAGCCACAGTGGCTTCCCTGCTATTCCTCCAACCCATTGGACATACCTGTGCCTCATTGCTTGTGTATTTGCTGTTCCCTCCACCTGGAACCCCTCCCCCCATAGCCACATAATTCACCTCCTTACCACTTTCAGGGTTTTGCTCAACTGTCACCTTAACAGTAAAACCTTTCCTGACCACCTTGTTTAAAATGACATCTATTCACCCTGCCATGCCTTACCTCCCTTTCATGCTTCATTTCTTTGTAGCACTTTTCTCCGCCTAACATATTATGTATTTTGAAGATTCATGCATTTATTGTCTGTCATCCTCACTAGAATACGAACTCCTTTATTGTCAAATCTTCAGTGCTTAGAATAGTGTCAGATGGTGGAATGCATGGAAATGGATATAAATGCCTTGCTGACCTCACAGGGTGTTGTGAAATACTGTGTGTTAAAATATTTTGAAAGCTATAAAACTGTAATTATTTCTGGGCTCGTTATTATCACCTTGACAGCGCACATTTTAAACGTCTGTTCACCATCACTGATTCCTACAACATAACAGTAATTTACCATGTGCATCTACAATAAAATGAGCTAATCATTTCTCCTCAAGACTGAGGGCAGAGTGGTACTGGGGAATGATATTGATGAATGATTAGAAGATTCAGATAGGCTACAAAGGTACTCAAAGGATAGATTTTATTTAATGAATTTTGAGTGCTTATGACATTCACACAAAGCATTTTACTAAAAGACCATAAAGATTATAGAAATGACTTAGACTCAAGAACTTGTAGTTTGCTAGGTGATAAGACACATGTACAGTGATTGGAGTCAGCCAGGCCTGGGTGACCTGGAGTCATCCAGGTCACAGGCACATAACTTTTCTTTATTGGAGTTGGGGGGACAGGCTGGTTGTAAGTGGGGAGAGCACTAATAGAGATTATGGGAGTCTAGAGCTGCGCCGCCCCCAAAACACCACCTGGCTTCACCATTGACCTCTTACTAGCTGTGTGACCTTGGCTAATTTACTTAACTGTTTGGAGCTTTGGTTTACTTGTCCCTAAAATGGAGTTACTAAAACCTACCTGGAAAAGTTAATGTGAGGATTGATGACATTTAGTATAATGAACTCCCTAGCACACCATGGACGTTCAATGAATGATAGCTCTTGTTATCATCCTCATCATAAAACATTTGGGGGGAAAGTGGGAAGTGAGAGATGTCCCAAGGGAGTTGGGGAGATGGGCCCATGAGAGAGGTCAAAGAAGGCTTTGTGGAGGAGGTGGTACCCACCCAGGATTTTCCAAGCTCAGACTCACCCTGTTGCACTGTGCCTGCAGGTCGATCTCCAGGGCCTGGAAAGTACGCTTCAGTTCATGAATGTCACTTTGGCTGCTCTGCACAACTTTTGGATTGGCCGCCTCCTGGGCCATCATCGCTGACTGTGAGACCAAGCAAAGGGCAGAGGCATTGGCATTGGACCGCATGGAAATGGAACCTTCAGGGAGTCTGGGCACCTTTCTTTTACCTGCTCTTTATACCACGTGTCCAAATCTTGATGCTGCTTCTTTATTATAGACTCGTATTCCTGCCTCATATCCTGCAGGACCTTGATCAGATCTTCCCCTGGAGTTGTATCCACCTTCACATTGACCTTGAAGTCATTTGGCACACGATGTTCCTCCATTTCCTGTTTAATAACAGAAAAAGAAAATGAATTGGCTGTAATGATCAGAAGGCTGGAAGTGTATTGATTGGCAGCAGTTAATGGATCGTTTAGAACTTCAGCTTCTGTGGTTGCTACTCTTTCACTGGTTTGGTTTGGTTTCTCAGTTACTATTTGTTGATGACAAAATATTATGTACTTTTTTCTCTTATGCTTATACAGACAGATATCAAACAGCCTTTGTGATTACTGACTTAATTCCTGGTTGAAAACATTTCAGAAAGAATTGTGCTTAATAGTGTGTCAAGATTGACTTTCTTTTTTGAGGAGGATTAGCCCTGAGCTAACATCTCTTGCCAATCTTCCTCTTTTTGCTGAGGAATATTCGCCCTGAGCTAACATCTGTGCCTCTCTTCCTCTGTTTTATATTTGGGATGCCTGCCACAGAATGGCTTGATAAGCAATGCGTAGGTCCTTGCCTGGGATCCAAATTTGCGAACCCCGGGCCACAGAAGTGGAGTGTACAAACTTAACCGCTAAGCCATGGGGCTGGCCCCATCTGGTGTGTCAAGAACTCTTCAGCAAATGTTCATGGGTGAATCGACACATTTAAGCAGTTGAACATTTCGGGTTATAGACCAAAGCTTTTGGGAAGCAGTTCAGTAACCCAAAGCCAAAAGACGTAGAGGCTTTTAAAATCTCATCAATGCATTATGACTCTGTAGGACTGATGCCCATAGGATATGAAAACCAAGAAACCACAGGAAAGTTTTAATTAGCAGTCATTATCTGACCAGCTGTTCAGAAACTAAGGCTCTTTGATGTTCGTAAGCAATTTTGTTTGCCTAAAATGGGGACTGTTTTTCTACCATTTTATCAGAGTCTCAGGGACTTTAGATGGATAGTAACTTTTTAAAAGTCAGTTAAATGCCTCTGGAAATTAGGATTCTTAATTTTGCTACTAGTCACATTTACCTTGATCAGTGACAGATTCTCTTTATTCTATTGTCCCTCAATTTGCTGCACATTGGGTCAGTGAAGGAAGTTCAGTCTCACACGTTTGTTCTTACAGTGTAATAAAAAAAAGTCTGGGGAAATATTGTGTGTTAACAAAATTGTTGACCAATTCATCATTAATTGTGATTATATTTTGGCTGTTATATTTGACACGTGAGTAGATAATCTTGAAGTTGGAAAAATTAGATACTTATGTGGTTCCTTACGATTATTTAGGTTGAAGGACGATAGAACTGGCATTTGGATGGTAATGTCTTGTGTAGGTATTGAATCACTTGAAATGTGCAGGTTAAGAGCAGTACCAGTTATCAGGAGCCCCCGGGGAGTTATACCTGCTCGTGGTGCTTCTTCATGAGGATGAGCTCCTTCCTCATTCCCTCAACCTCCTGTTCCAGGTCTGTTGTGACAATGGTCAGATTATCCAAGGTCTTTCGGAGACCCTCAACTTCAGCTTCCAAGTCTTTCTTGAAGGAGTGTTCATTATCATACCTTTGATTAGAAGGAAGGGAAGAGCACATCTGCTGTTGGAAGGCTCTGGTCTTTTAAGGATTTACTTTCGTTTAGAGGCGAATCTCTTACCTTTTAGGTTTAATGGGAGCAAATGAATACATACTTTGCAAGCTTCATATGTCTATTTCATGCAGGTTTTTCTGTGATGGTGATTCAAAGTTATTTTTTTTAATTAGAGTAAAATAATAAACAGTCATGTGGCCAGCACTTATATTTAGCAACCATTAACGTTTTGTCATGTTTGCTTATTTTTATATTCTATTTTGTATTTTGAAGTAAATTACAGACATTATGATATTTCACCCCCTAAATACTTCAGAATGCATTTAAAGAAAAAGACATTTTTCTAAATAAGCATAACATTATCACACCTAAAAAATTAATAACAACTCTTCAATGTCATCTAATTATTGCCTCATATTCAAATTTTCCCATACCAAAAATTGTATTTTATAGCTGGCTTGTTTAAACTAGGGTCCAGTCAAGTATTTGTTCTTGTTACACCTTTTAATTATATCTCAGGAAGATTTTACGTGTGGGCAAGTGTGAGATAAGTTTTCCTTCTGCAAAACAAAAACAAGAGGAACCCAAAAAACAAAACAAAACCACCAAACAAAAACCCCCGCAACACCGTGAAGAAGGAACTTACTTGAGGCTGAAGTCATCCACGGCCATCCTGGCGTTGTCAATGAGAAGAATGATCTGAGCGTTGGTCAGCTTACCATCCACTATCTGTAAAACACGTGCCAAGAGTCTTCTCAGTCAGACACACACACAGGGGAGCTGCACTTCTGCCCTCTAGTCTCCTGAGAATTTGACTTGTCAGCGTAGATGCCTTCCATTTTGGCAGAGGAACAATGAATAATCAAATCAGTAAATGTTTGCTGAGCGCTTACTAGGTGGAAAGCATCAGAACGATTTTATAGCAAGGATATGGTTGCAGCCAGTTTCATGGTCTTTTTTTACACTGAGCTTTGACCGGCTAGGATTGATGCCACTGCTGAAAGAATGATATGGGAAGGGAAGGAGAGGCATCGTTCAAATGCCTTCTGACTTTCTAGTATGATGAACGCGTCTTCATGTTCTGCTTAAGCTCATCCACGTTGGAAGTTGTTAAACGAGGTTTAGGTTCTGACCCTTTTCTTATTGTGAATATTAGTTTGGCTCCCCTAAAGGGCAGTAATTATTTCAGATGGATGTAATTCTTCTTCCCGATAGCATTCGTGTTTCTGCTCAGTGATATTGACCAAAGTGTCACTGAGACAAACTATCGCTGATACTACTTCGTCAAACTAATTTTAAGTATATTTTATAGTAGTCATCACATGACATAATTATTTTTTGCCCAAAGTGACTCTAGCCCTACACATAACTTGTGGGTAATGTGTATGTGTTTCTAACTTAGTCTGTGATAAGAATGCCCCAGTTGTAGCTTTTAAAATATTCACTGAAATAATTCTTTACCTTAGAATGAAGCAGCTTAATAAATACTAACTGTGGTAAAGCCTTCAGGTAAAGACTTTCACTAGATGTTTAGATATGTTTTTACTATAAAGAGAAAAATATTGTTGGAAGTATCCACACGAGCAATCGCGTGTAGATGTGTGATTTGTAAATACGTCTAGGCATTTGTGATCAGAGAAATAGTGCTCATTTGATGTAAGTCACTGTCTTCAGGAAATTGGGTGGAAGATCTCTCAATGTCAAAAGTATAATACTACTTTTGTACCAAGTATTGTGCTGAACTAGGAACTCAGAGATTTTCCTTTTATTTCTTGTTACTGAACATCCGCGTGAACTTGGCCAGTCGCTCCACTCCCTGGGCTTCCATTTCACTGTCTGTTAGATAAGTAGTTTACACTAGAAACAGGTAACATTAGAGGTCCTAGTCCAAACTTCTGCAACTTGGTTGGACCAGAGAATCCTGTGACATTCCTGTTGTGTTTATACAGATAATTCCTTTATTTAGAAAGGAGTTTTTAGGACAAAGTTATACCTCAATACAAAGGCACCTTTTAAGAATCTGGTCCTATTCAAAGCTCCACTGATAACCTGGAATTTGGTGTCATGAATGCACAATAGCAGGATTCAGAGGGGGTAGGAACACTGGGTCTGGAACTCAGAGAGCAGGACCTGGGCTCCCGCGCCGGCGCCCGCGAACTGAGTGAGCTTGCTGAGTCTCAGTTTCTTCATCCACAAAAAGGCAATAAAAATAGCCACTTCATCAGAGTTGTGAGAATTAGATTAGAAGAGATTAAATAAAATAATGTAAAATACTTAGCATATTCTGGGCATACTGTAGACACTCTGAAAAATTAGTTGAAACTAAATGAGTTCAGAAAAATGTAAATTGTTTAATGTTCTTTTTTCAAATCTAACACTTTTGCAATTAGAGCCAATGTCTGTATTGGATAAACCCCAGGTTTTATATGTTGGGATGCATTCTCAAACTTTTAACTGTTGGTGGTGGAAGATAGCCAGGCTGGCTGCGCCTGCCCAATTTCGTTCTTCCCTTGGTGGATGCCAAATGGTACTGTGACTGCTTCCTTTGCTCTTGTCTCCCCTCCATAGTGCTGCTCAGGGACTTTCTTACCAGCGCCTTTCCCTCCAGCCTCTTTATTCTTTGCCTTATCTAAGCGCATGGGAAATGAAAAGTAGCTCCATCCAAAAGGCCTGAGGATCCCTGGGGTTAGCATTAGTTGTGCACTGAGGTGTGGACTGACATCCAGAGTAACCATGCACTATACACCCCACGGAATCAGAAAATCAAAAATACCGTCTGTGGGCTTATTTGGCTTTTCTGAGTCAAACTGATCATTTATCCATTGCAAGCCCCACGTCAAGAGTCTGATTCCCTAGGCAGCATTCTCATGGTTCCTGAGTGGTGAATTCTGAAATGTACTCGATGTGGAGTACATTTAAAAACTGAAACTATTTCCCACTGTTCGGGTTACCTGATACAATATGATGATGCAGTCCCTGTTTCTGAGACATCCTTCACCGTAATGAATGGATCAGGGTGGATTGAGCAACAGTATATGAGGCATAGGCTTTGCATTGTATGTTATAATTAATCATCTGGATTCTCCCCAAGGTCCTGAGTTCATTCTTTTAAAAGAATCTAGTTGATGTGTTATTGCACCATTTTCACCCCAGGGTGTGTAATCTCGTCCCAGGGAGAGGAAAATAGAATTTTTGACCATGAACCAAAATCCCAAATATAGCAGTGTTGTGAGCTATTCTAATATTCTAATACCCCTATGACTGTGTCCAATTCTGTGTTTCAAAGGGATTGGATTAATTTTTGAACTCAATTTCTTGTAGACTTCTTGAGTAACGTTTAATACCCCTGAAGTGGGGGTGGGAGAATGCCGTGTCTACTCAGAACACTTCATCCAGGCCCGGGCAGGGGTCAGCCCCAAGTGGTTGTGGGAACTCTTTGGGCCTCTATTTTCTCACCTGCAAACAAGGGAGGTCGGGATAGATAGACAAACTCCACGTCGGTTATTTTCTTCAAACAAGGAGAAAATACAACTGAAGTAAGAAATCCAGAAAAGAGTAGAATTTGAAGCTGAAGAAGCTTCCCATTGAATGTCAGAACCTAGAATCCCGGGCTTTTTGGAGACGGGGCAAGCCACCCCCTCCTCGTCATTGCCCCGACTCACACGTCTCAATTCTGCTCCAAGGAATTTAGGCAGCCACTTGGTCTCAGTCTCCTCATCTATAAGTCAAGGATAGAAATACCTGCCTCACAGAGTGAGATAATGCATATGAAATATGTGTTGCATGATTAAAAATGCCAATGTAATGCATTATCTTTATTAATAAATACTCTTATTTTTGTATGAGGTGTGCTAGTCAGCACGATGCTGTATGGAAATTATAAGGCCATTGAAACAGACTGGGGTTAGAATTCCACCTCTGCCTCTTGCTGGTGGCTTCGGATGGCTAGTTCACTTTTCTGAGTTTCAGTTTCTTTCCAGGGTTGTTGTGAGAATTAAATTAGATGATGTAGAACATTTCCATCAGTGCAGAAAGCTCTTGGACAGCGCTTATATGTGTATTAAATAACCAGCATGATGCCTGGCATACAATAAGAGCTCAATAAATATTTCCCTCCCTTTTCCCCCTTTCCCTCCTTCTCTCTGCTGTCAGCTAGTGAATTATTTGACCAGGTCTAATCTCGTATTTCCTTTGGGAGTTATGTTCTCAGCTGTCCATTTGCAAAAATCTCCTATTGTCTCCATTCTAAAACCAAAGCAACTTTATTAATGAAAAAGAATGGTGAGGTGTGTTGAGTCACCTTGTTTTTTTCATAAAGACAACCAAGTACTATATAGTTAAAGTAATTACACAGCCAGTTATCAGGTTGATTATTCAATAATTAGGGTTCATTATGAGGACAGATTTTTATTATCTTGATTGGTCCTTCCTACATTTAAGAAAGGACGACTGAGTGTTGAGAAATAATACTGTATAAATATTGGAACCCCATGATGCCCTTTCTAGGACAGGTTAAATCATGATCTTACAAGGAGTTTCCTGGGGTTACTTTCCATAAGAAGGAAGTTACATACCTTTAAAAAATAACATATGAAATGACTAGATTCCCTCTACTTCTAGCCAATATTATGAGACATCCCAGAAAGTATAAGTTTAGCTTTTTTAGTGTTTGGTTAAAAAGTTACTTATTTTTTGAAGAAGTCTCCTTAACCCACCCTAACTCTAAGCTTCCAAAAATTATGCTCATTTTACTTTTTCTTCTAGCAATGTGCCATTTTCAGAACTGTGAGCAGTTAGAACTCAGAACTTCCAGCAGCCCTCAGAAGGAAATAGCCAGGGGTGTCACAATGATGTATCTGCTAGTGGAGTGACATTTTTTAGGTGTGATCTCCAAAATAGTATAACTCAGCCTTTTTTGGGTGGATAATTACACCTTCGCTAGGATTTTGAAGTGGAGCAGAACTGACGTAATGAGCAGTAAATGCTCTCTTGTGCCTTGTGCACTGAGCATGTGGAATGAATACCAGCCCTTATCATTACTGTTACATGGCTGGATCATAAGTGATACTGGACAGCAGCTGATGCCCTTACATTTTTTAAGTTTTCTGCATAATTTATGTATAGAAAAATATAGAGAACAGACTTTCCCAAGTCCAGATTTAAGGTATAAGAAGAAAATCTTCTTGAATACCTTTGTTCACAATTACTTTAAGGTCTTTTGCCATTCTCCTGGAAATTGTTTTTTGTACGGATCTCTCCTCCCATGGGTTCCCTGGAAATGCAGCACCCTCTTGAGTTCCAGGGTCACCCAGGATCTTACCTGCTCCTGCAGGTGGCTGATGTTTTCCTCATATTGTGAGTAATCTTGCTTACTGCCAGGGTCTCTCTCCTGATGCCACTTCAGGATGCGACTTTCGAGCTTCATGTTGGCCTCCTCCAGGGCACGCACCTTGTCCAGGTAGGAGGCTAGGCGGTTATTGAGGTTCTGCATGGTCTCCTTCCCATTTCCACCTAGGAGGCAACTGCCTCTTCCAGACCCCCAGGACCCTCCGGGGGGCGGGCAGCTTGGTGAGGTGAAGGAAAGGGAGATGCGGACACCTCCTGCTCCACCATGGACGCTGGGAGCCCGGGGGAAGCTCCCCGGCCAGCCCCTAGTGCCATATGCTCCCCGGCCAGACCATGTGCCATGGAGGGAGCCCGAGAGGGTCTGGCTGAAGCTGTGGCTGGAGTTCATGGTCCCATCTGTGTTTGGGGCAGGGCCGGACTCTGCTCCACTCCCTGGCACCACAGAACTGCGCTGCCCCAGACTGCCCCGGATGCTTTTATGCCCTTTGCTGTGGGAGTTCCCTTCTCTGACAACTGTACCAACAAGATCATATCGTTGTGCAACATGTGTTTCCTCTTGGTCAACCCTGAATTGCCCCTGGGCCTTCACACCCGTTGTTGTTGTTTAGAGCCACATCAGTGTATCAGTTTGCTTCTCCCTTCCAGTTGTAAGCCGGAGGTGTGGTCCACACCTTAGGGGGGTGTCAGTCTCCGGTGTCTTTCTAATCTTTCCATGGAGTTTTTCCATTGTTCATTTATCAGTGAAGAGTCAGATTAAAGACCACAAAAAGGTTATTTGGTGTAGTATAGATTGCCTTTTAAAAAGTAGGCATTAAACACACAGACTCACACATCCACACCCCCTAAATAAACAAACCCCAGCTCTAAAGCGAAGGTGGGAGAGACTCACAAGGGAAGAGCCAGATCAGAACAGAATCTCTGATCCTGGAATGAAAATACTCGCGCTGAGGAAATGGAGAATGTTCTGAATATCTGATGCCTTTGTGGCAGTCGCTGTCTGATGGAAAGTAATTTCAAAGGGATGGTTCTTAAGAACAAACCCTCAATTATAATTAATTAATGAATGACCGAGCCTTCCACTTCCAGAGTGCCTTTCATCCCCAGCACACCTCAAAACCAAACAACCCTGGCCTGTGCTCAGGACTTCTCTTGCTCCTGGGAGGAATGCAGCCTTTGTTAAGTGGCCAGCAGCCCTGTCCCGGCTGAACCCTGCATAGGCTGGGCTCTGTGTGTCTGTGACCTGCAGAGAGGACGGAGGAAAACAGGAAATGTGCCATGGGTTGTCTAACGTGCTTGATGAATATTATGGTTCGTCTGCCAAGGTAAAGGTTAGGAATGAATAAAGAAATAGTCTGGGGGTGGGGAGCCATGTGGTGGTTACTGGCAACAAGATTTAAAGGGGACTTAGAAATAAAATGTCGACATCGGAAGGGACTTTAGCGTTCCTCCGTTCAAGCCATTAATTTTACAGGTGAAGAAAACTGAGGCCTGTCAGGAGTAGGATATGGCAGAGGACTGATGGTGGGTTAGTGGCAAAGCCAGGGCCAGATTCTTTCTGCCACACAACACTGTTATCATTGAGTTGAATCTTGATGGAGTTCTGTGCAACACTTCTTTTTCATAATGGTGATAATGGAATTTCCCCGTTTACATAGCCCTTTGATATTCTTTATTTAATACACACAACAACTCTTGATGTAACCAGGCAAGGGTTGTTGTCTCCATTTTACAGGTAAAGAATCAGGGGCTCATGGAGGTGAATGATTCAGAGCTGATTTGCATGTGCAGTGTAATTCAACACACGAATTTGTGGGTGTCGTGGCCTTATCTGAACTGTTTCCACTGCTTGGAAAGTCACTGCCTGTGCTGCCCATGCCTGCTCCCCGCCTTAAGATGTGGTTTGAGGGTTACCTCCTTCAACAATTGTTCTCTGAATTTTCCCGCATGACTTGGGTGTCCCTTCTATGACGAAACCGCCTCTTCTGGATCCTAAGATCCTCCAGAGGAACAGACAGCTTGGTGTCCCTGCCCCACTGCAGAGGCTAGGAGTCCCCAGCAGGGCCCCGCCGCCTCCCTGGCCCTAAGTCTATCCCTGTTCTTTCACTCACCACTGCATTTGTCACACTCCTCTGGAACTGCAGTCTTCTTGAAAGCAGGGATTATGTCTTCCGTCTTTCAAGCATCAAAGTCTGGCTTCGTATTGGCGTTTCATAAGTGTGAGTTAACCCAATAATGAACTTTTTAGAGTCAGGATTTTAACTCAGGTCCTCTGATGCAGTTACTGCCTGCCCCTTTGAGGAGTGTGAGATGTAAAACCAGATAGTAGAATAAAGCCTCTTCAAGGGGTGAACTAGCCAGCCACAAAGGCAAAATCATTCCTAATTACAAATAAAATCACCTAAAGCACACCAGCTCTGCTTGTCTGCCCTGGCAACAAAACCTTGCAAAAGTCCTCCAGACTTTCCTCATCTCACTGTGCACAAGATGGAAAAATTTAGTCAAGACTAAAGGAAGCCTTGGGGGTGCTTAGAGGGAGCCCTCTGTTAAAGTGTTGTGCAGTCACTTACATCTGAACATGAGAGAAAGACAAAAGGGAGATGAGGTAAAAACAGAGCAAATGAGGGAAACGTAGATTTGCTCAGACGTGTGGTGCAAGCCGTGTGTTGACGGATGGGGGTGGTTCCTGATCATCTGTTTTGACTCAAGGTTGGGTCGGCTCTGGTTTGAGTTCACATGGACCAGCCTCACAAATGAGAACATCCATCTCTAGGACGTGCAAGAGCCAGGCTGCACTCCGTTTCTCTAAACTCTCTCGTGATAATCTGCAATGGAACCGATCATTTCTCTGCCCATTTCAGGCGTGTCTGAGTGGCAGTGACTTATTAGCCCTGTAAATTTGGCCTGTGCATCATTTTACAGGAGTATGTAGGAGTCTGGATTTATAGAAGTTAGCCTCCAGCAAAATATTTCCTGTATTATAGCAGCACCAGGGCACGGGAAAATTGGTAAAGAGATTTGAGAGGACTAGAGAGAAGTAATCTCTTCTAGAACTCTGGTACAATGATTTTCCATGTAATTTACAATGTGTGGAGTTCCACTGGATTTTAAAAGAAATGGTGGGGCATTTTTTTTGGTAAAAATGATATATGCTTATCATAAAAAATTCAAGTAATACATAAAAAAGTATAAGAAAAAAGATCTTGAAAAACTTCTTAATTCTACCATACAGACAACCATTGGTAAGTTTGGTGAACATTATTTCAGATACTCTCCACAGGTGGATGGCTAAAATAATTTTAGAAAGATGAGTTCATACAGTTTATTCTATTTTAGAAGAAGTAAGCTAATTAAAAAATTTAGTTGACAGGCTAAAATGAATTCACTTTAGTTATGTGTTTTCTATAGGAATTTTAAACATTCATCACATTATTTTATTTTTATAATTTTTAAAGAACATAAAATGACCTGTAAATGCCAGTATTTGTGGAATGACAGAACTGGAAAGGCCAACAACGTCATTTATTGCAGCTTTCTGCTTTTAGGTAGGTCAACTGCAAATTGCTGAGGGTATTTTTTTTTTTTTAAGATTTTTAGTTTTCCTTTTTCTCCCAAAGCCCCCGGTACATAGTTGTGTATTTTTAGTTGTGGGTCCTTCTAGTTGTGGCATGTGGGATGCCACCTCAGCATGGCCTGATGAGCGGTGCCATGTCTGCGCCCAGGATTCTAGCTGGTGAAACCTCGGGCCGTTGAAACAAAGTGTGCGAACTCAACCACTCGGCCACGGGGCTGGCCCCACTGAAGGTATTTTTAAACTGTTTTTAAAGAACTCAAGGGATAAAGGATCAATTGCATTCTCAGTAGATGTCCAACATTTACTCGTCCTTTTGGTCAATGAGCATTTCACCTGTGATATGGTTTCATGATTTTTTAAAAAATTTCTATTGAGTTCAAATTGTTCAGAATATAAATTGTTCTTCTTTGCATGACTTTCCAGCTAAAAGATTTGTAATTTTCACATTTAGTTCATCTTTCTGATGAACTGAGATGTTGTCATTAAAAGGAAATGGGTATTTTGCAGGGGGTTGAGTGGTGAGTGAACGAATGGGGTTGCACGTGGGTGCATTAGGGATCAGATGGGAGCCCTGTCAACAGTTAGTTGTCATTAACTGAAAGCACAGTGTGTTTGTGCCTTTTAAAGACAATCATTCCATCCCTGAAGCGTTCTATAGGCCCCCTCTTGTTTATAGTGAGAGAAGAATGGCCAAAACAACACCCAAATAGACTTTTACTATGCATGACATTTCAGAACAGATGAGTAGTAGAGCTTCAGGAAAAATTGCTGTGTCATTATCCTGTGATTTGGAGGGTTACATAAAAAGACTAGATGTTTATAGAAATAAAACACAGCTTCTGCAATGACACCAGGTCAGACATTTTATAAATGCCTAGGTTTATCAAACTCTGGCCAAATCAAAAGAAAATTTTCTCATATTTTGATTTTTCCAGAAAAAAGAGGCCAACAGATAAAAGGTTTAAATTAAAAAGTATCCAACATAGTGTTTCAGACGAGGAGGGAAGGTAAACCAATGTAAAATTGCTTCCAAATAGTATCTGTATATATTGACTGATATACAGGGAAAAATAATTAAAAACACACACGGGCAAAAAGAGTTTTAAGATTACAGAAGGAAATTTCCTCAAACAGTATGTCTTGAGATAAATGTGTTGGAAACCCTTCTTAATCTGGTTTTTAGAAGCTGGAGAGAATTAGATAAGGATGCAGCAGTAGACAGAGCCTTGTAAGTGACCACAAACGAATAGCATTTGGGGCCTTAAGAGAAGAGTTAGGAAATTTGAAGAAGAGAAGGCATCAGAGAAAGAAAGAGAAAGCAGATTTCAGTTAAATAAGATCTGTTTTGACAGAAATCTAATTCAGCAAGTGTTTATTAAGATCCTAATCCATATTAGCATATTTTTGAGCAATTCAAAATGTATGAAAAGTGAAGCCGTGTTTGCTGCACGTCCTGCGCGTCAAGCAACTGCCTAGTTATCCCAGAACTTAATCGTAAGGAAGCTTAAAGGCCCAGGGTATGGCCAACATCTTCAACTCCTCAACACTTTCAGTTTACAGAGGGCTGTGGCAGGCCCTCCGTAAATGTTTGTTAACCTTGGTCTTGGGAAGAATATAAAGTCGTAGTGGATTGTGTGGTATAGAATAAGTTAAGATAAAAAGGAGAAGAAAAGGAAGGATAATTGTGGGCAGGGGTAGTTAAAAAAGATAAGCCTAAGTGGATACTTAAGGGACCCTCATGGTTGGGAAGGAGCAAGAGGTCCTAGGTAGTAGAGTCAGAAAGAATGGCTGGAAAGGAATGACAACTCCTGTAGAATTTCCCAAATTCTAGATTCTTCTGATTGCTTCCCCATGGTAATTTTTTGAGCGTGGTTCTCTGACCGCTGTATTTCTTTGAAGGTAATAATGAGAGCTAAAGGCTTTATTAGATTCCAGTCTGGCATTTTGGGCAGGAATGCTTCGTAGGGAGTGTTGTGCACTTCCTGTTGTTCACACTGCGAATCACTGCTTCCATTTTAGCTGAGCTCTTTAACTTGGAATTCAGTGGTTAGACTTCAAGAAGTTGGTAAAATCTCTAAAACTGTTTACAAAATTTTGTTTAAGTCTTGACATGTTCACTCTTCTGAGGGGGAGGTGACAGCTTTCATTAACTTTTCAAAGAAGTCTACAAATAGAAAAAGTTGGGAGCCAATGATGTAAAACTTTAAAGGTTCCTTCTCTCTGTTGGCCTCTAGTTACCAAGAAAATGTTTAGGATTTTCATGTTCTATAGGAACATAATATTGGACTTTGAAATGAACCATATTTACCATCTGTCTCATACCCGTCATTTTACAGACAAGAAACAAAAGAAGGGAATTCCTTTCAGCAAGGGCCCGTGGCTAGTTAATAGCAGAGCTAGGATTGGCAGTGGGATTCCATGACATTGTTGTAGAGCTCCCTAATTTCTTTGCTTTATTATTTTTTAAAGCCATAGAGATGATGCTTTAGGTTCCCTAAGATTTTTGCAATTGTGGGATGTTGATTCATGCACCTGTTGATTTACAAATGTCCAGCTGTGTTTAAAATGTTTCTGTTACTTTTTTCTCCTATCCCCACACTATGCATTTCGTCTCTGATTCCATTGTTGGTTAAAGTCTGCAGCCACAAATAATTAGGTTAAATTTAATTCACTTAATTATTTAATTTACTAATTTAATTACTCTAATTTAATTTACTTAATTGTTTCTTTTGTTGAGAGTTTACTTTAGAGGTGCTCTGGTTCTGTGAGTAGAGAGACTAATAAGACGCAGTTCCTGCCTCCCAGGATTCTCTAGTCTATAGATATGGGAGTTTGTTTTGTTTTGTTTTTTGCAGATTTAGTACCCTGCCAGATGAACAATGTGTTACGTTAGGGTCTGTTCTGTGGTGCTTAGGAGCAGTTACTGATCTTTACTCATTTATGCCTTGAATTCAGAATTGCCAGTTCTCAGGGAGACATGGAAAGTTAGCATTATCACCAACAGAGACAGCTTCATTTTCTTGGTTGTCGGGCTCTTTTCACCTGGTGGAGATGAAGTCTTCATCATTTGAGTGACATATTTGTCATTCAGCACCTTAGTGTGAAACTTGGGAAGAGTGGGCCAGCCTATCCCATAATACTGGAGCTGAATCTCATTTATCACTATCACCTTCAAAAGAGGAGGCCTATCTCTTCCCTTTTCCCAGCTGACACCATACCTTGCTGAGAAGGTAAGAGGTGTTCCAGCCAGATCACTTCTTTGAAAGGAGTGCCGGGACAGCCTGGCTTAAGCCTGATTTTAGATAGATGCTTAAGTCCCTTTGCACTGCCTCTGGCATGGCACCAGGGCTATTGGGGTGATTTTGTTTATTTAAGGCTACAGAAGAAAAACAGGTCCCCACTAGTGGGTGGGGAGTGCTAGTGCAAGACTGAAATGATTTCACTCTTCTTTTTTCTCCTTATTATCATCTTAATCCAAAGAACATGATAGGTAACCAAATAAATCCCTTACACAAAGGCTGTTGTCACTGGTAATCCTTGAATTAACCTGCATTTTACATTTTAAGTAACTGGTGTTGGTTTACTGAGACATCATCTCATGCAACTTGCCAAAATCTTGTCTTGGTAGGTTTCCCCTTTAGCCCAGTGTGGTTCTTGTTGTGTTAGGGTCAGTGTGTGGAGGCCTGTGGGAAGGTCCTTGCACACCATGATTCTTCCTCACTTGACAGTTGTTGGTGCCTGAAATGCAACATTTGTTTGTTTGGTTCACAAAAATATTGCTTCCTATTAAAAAAAACACCTTAATGTATTGTTCACCTTTTCATTCATCCATTCATAGAACGAATATTTACTGAATACCTACTCTAAGTGACTGGAGCATAGAGAGCAAGGGGGAAAGTAGGATGAGATGAAGCTGGTGATGCATTTAGGTGCTTTCCCACCTCTGCTAAGTATTTTGATCTTCAACACAAGAGCCATGGAGAGCTACAGAAAGATTTTAAGCAAAGGAATGCTGTACCATGATCATGTTTGTGTTTTAAAAAGATAACCCTGGCAGCTTTGTGGAGAAGAAATGAGAGAGTAAACGTGTAGGGATCAGTTGGGAGCCTATTGCACCTGTGCAGAAGAGAAATGATGGTGATTTATTTGTTATTTTTTGTAGAAGAATGATTTAGTGAAATATGCAGAGGTATTAGAAGAGTAACACAGCTTTAGTTAGTTTTCTGCCATGAAAAAGAAAACATCATAATAAAATTCAATTTATCGTTGATTCTTACGGCAACTATAGTGTGCATATGCTGCATTTGTCCCCTCAATAGGATGATGTAATAAATATACTGTTTATTATGCTATCCTAAACTGTATGTGTTTGATACATATCCTAATCCGTACACTTTTAGACAGGAAATATAGTAATAATATATTTTGCTAAAGTATTTTTTAGTTCAAGGCTCTTAGCTTGTTTAATGGACAAGTAACTACCATGATGGACTCTCTTTTCTAGACGAAAGAATTAAAGCAGTGGAAGGAGAAAGACTTGTCTAGGGTTGTCCAGTGGGTCAATGGCAGAGAGGCCGTGGAGCCCAGCCCCTACGTCACCACTGGCTTCATATTTCATCCATCTGCTTGCAGTGACTTCATGTGTCTTTACAGTATCTTTGCAGATTTATTTCTTGGTTGCTCCTTCTGTATTTGTAGGAGATATTCTCCTTACCTCTTTTCTTGCTTATTAGTTATTATTCATGTGTTGACTTTTAGATGGAAAATTAGATTGATTCTCTCCCCATTCTCTCTTTTATTTTGGCTGGGAATGATTGCTTTTTCTATGCTTCCAGTTTCAAAGAGTTCTGCCCTTCCTTTTTCAAAAAATCACCCTGATGATGCTGTATCTTATCTATATGTTTGCTACAGTGTAAATTAGTGGAAAGGACTTTAGGCCAGGGGTTCAAGTCCCTGCTCTGCTATTAACCCACTGGGTGATCTTAACCTCTCTGGTCTCAGTTTTCTTATGGTTAAAATGGGACTAACAATAATCCTCCCTGTAATTAATAGGGCTGTTGTGGGGAGTGAATGAGTTAAAGTACATACGTGAACTTTGTAATCTGTATGTAATAGACATACATGAGCTATATAATCGGCATGTAATATACACACGTGAGCCTTGTAATCAGCATGCAATGTACATATATGAGCTATGTGGTCTGTATGTAACTCACATACATGAGCTGTGTAATCCTTACGCAATGTGCATACATGAACTATGTAATCTATATGCACTGTACATAACATGAGCTATGTGATCAATATGTAACATACACACATAAACTTTGTAACCTATACATTGTAGTGTGCACAGGAGGACAGAGGGTGACGATGATCGTAAACAACCCTTCTCTACCCTGTGATCCCACAGCTCAGGAGAGAGAAGAGACCATTGAAATTGTCAGGAGGTCACACGCGCTAGATAAAAAATCCTAGCCTAAAAGGCATACTTCTGTCTCCAGATGAATCCAAAGATAAACGTTAACTGCAAGAGTTCATATTTTATAAACACAGTCCTTGTAAAGGTCAGTCTAAGTTCATGCTGATGAATGTTCTGGTTACAAGCTCGAAGTTCAAATTCTGGCTGTGCCATCTGCTGCCCAACCCCTTAGGCCTCAATTTCCACACCTGTGAACTGAGATTCATCCTCACCCCTGATTGACGGAGTTATTGTGGGAATTAAATTAGATAATCCATGCATTTTACATAAAAAGTGCTCAGTATCACTATTATTCAAATACGTTTGTGTGTGTGTGTTAGAATACTCTATTTTGGCCAGGTAAAATAAGCCCATATCACTCTATGTTCTGGCTTTGGGTACAGTTTGTTGGGAAGTTAGATATTTTTTATAGAATGCCCTAAATTTATAGGATTTGTTTCAATATGCTTTGTGCCTTTTAAATTGTCACTTTTCTATATACATCATATCCTAAATATAATCCCCAATTTCTTTGTTTGGTATTTTTATTCTTATTCCTACTATGTTATGTTTATTTATATTTTAGGATGGACACTATTTCCACTCTAAGGAAGTCACCGGAATATTCCGAATGTTATGTTGTGTTATAATAACTGGGCTTTAAGGTAGGATGGGAGACAGACAGCCAGTCTTACCGTTCTTCCCTAGGAAGGCTTGAATTTGTCTTATTGTTTTTGAGCAGGTGAAAGCTTTCCCAAACGCCTTTTGTTAGATCTCACTCGCATTCTCGCTCCTCTGTCTCCCTGTCTTCCTCACTTCCCCCGGACTATGACTCTTTCTTTCTCTCCCCTCTTTGTTCTCTCCTTTCTCTCTCAGAATTAGAGGAGAGGTCCGGGGTGGGGGGGAGGGTGGTTGCCCAAATTTCCTGGAGGGATAGTATCATTCCAGCTAGTTGTCCTTTTTCTTTAATATTGAGATCATGACAAGTCAATTAGGGAATAAATTCTTGCAAAATGTATATTGGTTAAAAAAGCAAGAGGTAGTTTTGCATGATGGTTAAAAGTGCAGGGTCTGGAGTCACACAGTCCTGGCTTTGAACTCTGGCTCTGACACTAACTATCCATGTGACCCTAGTAAGTTACAAACATCTCGTGCCTCAGGCTCCTCATCTGTAAAATGAGTAGTTGTGTAGAAAATGCACAGAGACAACGCTGAACACTTTTTGTTATTGGAAGTGCTCAGTAAGGTTAATTGTTGTTATTGTTGCTGTAAAAATATGGCCCCTACAAGGGTACGTAATATGTTTACATCTTCAAACTGTTATTTAAGGTGTTCGCCTAAATATATACTATCTTTACATCAGCTGTGTTCCCTGAGGCTTGAAGTACAACATGGAAATTTGATTGGTTGGTGGATTTTAACACTCATGACTTCATTACTGTCTGCATCAATCTCCAGTTTTGGTCTTGGTGTTTTATGAGATAACACACGAGAGCTCTCTCTCCCTCTCTCTCGTTTTCCTTTGGTTTAATTGTAGGCAAGTGTAGAAGGCAGAATAATATCCCCCCAGAGGTGTCCATCTCCTAAGACCTAGAACCTATGAATATGTGTGTTATATGGTAAAGGGGAATTAAGGCTGCAGATAGAATTAAGGTTGCGGATAAGCTGGTCTTGAAATAGGGAGATGATCTTGAATTCCTCAGGTGGGCCTGATGTAATCCTGACCGTCTTTAAAAGTGGAAAAGGGAGGTAGAAGAGTCAGTCGGTGTCGGAGAAAGACCTGTGATGACAGTGGAGTTTGGAGTGATGAGATTGCTGACACTGAACATGGAAGAGGAACGCAAGCCAAGGAATGGGAATGGCCCCTAAAAGCTGGAAAAGGCAAGGAAGCGGATTCTCCCCTAGGACCTCTAGGAAGAAGCAGTCCTGCTAGCACCTTGATTTCAGCCCAGGGAGACCCTTGACAGACTTCTGAAATAGAGAACTGTAAGATAATAAATTTGTGTTGTTTCGAGCCACTAGGTTTGTGCTGATTTGTTCCAGAGGTCATAGAAAATTAATATAGCAAGAATGTGTGTGTGTGACATGGAAATAGGAACTCTAGTGACTGATTTTTGCTGAAGATTAAATTAAGGTGAATAAAATATTTTTCCATGTCATTTATAAAATATATATTTTCAATACACGTATTTAATATGGATATTTAATTATCAGCATAAGAGCAAACATGGTTGTTGTGACTCAATTTCATAGACATTACATTAGCCAAATTATAGACAGATTTTTTATTTTCAAATTAATTTGTATAATACATCTCACAAAATTATAGAATTTAGATCACATTCAATTAAATATTTCACAAATAATTTTTATTGTAAAGTATAAAAGTCATAAAATCAAGGCTTCTCCTGAAGATTAAGGGCATACACTTACTGTAATTAGGATAGATGTGAATATTTGTCTTTTATTTACAGCCCAAGCCCAGCCCCCTCCTGATCCCACCCTCTTTCCTCAGCTCTTTTTTTTTTTTTTTAAGATTGGCACCTGAGCTAACAACTGTTTCCAATATTTTTTTTTTTTTCCCTGCTTTATCTCCTGAAATCCCCCAGATACATAGTTGTATATCTTAATTGCAGGTCCTTCTAGCTCTGGCATGTGGGATACTGCCTCAACGTGGCCTGACAGTGGTGCCATGTCTGCGCCCAGGATCCAAACTGGCAAAACCCTGGGCCACTGCAGCGGAGCGCGCAAACTTAACCACTCGGTCACAGGGCTGGCCCTATCCTCAGCTCTTGAATTCCCCTATGGACCATCCTCTCAGATGGAGCTACCTGCACCATGGGTTTCTCCATCACTAATTGCTGTTTACTACATAGGCTTCATATCATTACTATGAAGAGGTGGTGATGCCTGCAGTCAAGTCACTCAGAACATTCTGCTCTATTTGGGTGAGCTCCAAATGATCTCTTGGCACATCTCACCCTGTGGCCACAAGAGCATACCTATTTTCCTCCTTCTTTTTATTTTGTCTGTTTCTCTCAGTGCCTCCTATGAATCTGCATCTTCTACTTTTAATATCTAAACCTAATACATTTGATTTTGCTTCTGATTGCTACCTCCTCCAACAATTTGTAGCCTTTCTTAAAAGGGATCCTGGGGGTGGACTTTCAATATTCTATCCTATCACCTTTTTCCCTGTTAATCTTAGGATGGATCAATACCAGGAAGTCCCCTGAAGCTTCAAGAACCCATGACTGCTAATGAAGCCACAAATCATGTGTTGGAAACGTGGATATCTGGCAGCCATTGTTTTGACTCTGTGCTCACTATGAATATGAAAAGGATTGGAAATGAGAACTAGGCTTTCCTAATGCTAACCATGACCTCTTGGTTTTATCTCTAGTGGAGCTGAGCTATTCCATGCCGATCTTCAGACAATAAACTTCACATGAACCCCACAACCTAACTGCTATAGGTGGAGTGGGGTGAGCTGGAGGTGCCATCTAGTTAGGCTGTCTAGTCTCCGAGGCAGAGCTTCACGGGATGACACTCCTCTGCGCAGTCACAGTGGTCGTGTCTGTTCTCAGGCTGGGGGTTCAGAGCACCATTTTCATTAGTGCACCAGATCCAAGGGATTCTCAGGAGCTGACTGGCAGTAAGCTAACTCTTAAAGGCCAGATGAGTGAGCCAGAGTGCAAACTTATTAATTTAACATGCAGAGATGATCCATTCTGCAACCACAAAGTTCCCGTCTGCAAATCAGAGCACCTTCTTTGTTGTATTTGAGTCTGAGAGAAAGCAAATTGTGATATGGATTTGTTTGGCAAAATGGAACCAGAAGAGAGATGTGGGGTCTTAAGGAATGAGGCACGAGTGTCTCGACTCTCCATGTGCTGGTGTGAGTGCGCTCAGCCTCACTCCGTCCTGGATTGGGCTGGGTGTAAACACTGTCGAGTGGCTCTTAGGGCTCATCTTCTTTAGGACTCCAAGACAAACACATTATTTCTCTAACTGTTTATGTCTTTGATCGGGCTACAGATATTATATTGTCAAACTGAAGTGATTAAGACCAGGGCATTTGGGGTACGGAAGACAGGAATTTGTTCAAATTTTAACTTTACCATTTACTAACTGTGTGACACTGAGCAAGTTAGTTCACTTCTGTAAGCCTTGGTTTACTTATTAGTAAAGTGGGAATAATAATAGTATTCCAGGGTCCTTGTGAGGACTGAGTGAGGTAATTCATATACAGCACTTGGCACAGTGTCTGATAATATTCAATCAATTTTTAATTGGATGGAGGAAACATTACTCTTTTTACCTGTTGGCCCTAGGAGGCACTGTGGCTTCAGCACATTTCTAATCACTTTGATTATGCGTTGGCTGTACTGTGTTAGCTCTGAGAGTTTTCCGGCAGCCTCCCTACTGCTTTCTCTACTGAGCCCATGACCTGACTCCAGGGAACATTAGGGCCATAAGAGACAAGGGCAACAGATGTTGTACTAGGAGAAGGGCCACCCGTCCTGTCTGAACTGCCCTATCATGTCCGTTCTCCGCCAAAGTGATCCTGTTTACAGGGCTGGCTTCAAACGGTTCTCCCTCCTCCTGGCACGCCTTCTTCCTGTTGGCTGCCAAAGAGTCTGAAGGTAGATATGTTATGGGGAAGTCCTTTCCAGCTGAGTTTCATAAATTCTGGGAAATAGAAGAGTTGGACCTATATGTGGTAATCATTTCACTATATATATGAATATCAAAACACCTTAAATATGTATAATTTTTATTTAAAAAATAAAGTAAAAAAGAAAAGTTCCATTGTTAATCTACTGCTTTCATTACTTATCATGGTGGCTTTGCATGACTGTGCCACTGTCGGCTCCGGTGAAATACTTCATTAGCTTGAGCATGATTGTTTGCCAATTGAATGTAAGCTCCTCAAAGCAGCACAGTAAAATCATACTTACAATGTTACTGGGTACCAGGCGTACTCTAAGAGTTTTGCATGCATTAATTAATGTCATCCTCTCAACAGTATGAAGTAGATGCTATGAATAGCACCATTTTAAAGATGAGGAAGTGGAGATAGAGAGGTTGAGTAACTTGCCCAAGATCTCACAGTAGGTGACAAGGCTGGGAATCCAACTCAGCTGGTCTAGCTTCAAGCGTCTGTTCTTGATCAGCACGTGATCCTGCTTCTTGACCAGAGATGGCCAATGTTCTCTCCTGGCTTTTCTAATGACTTAGCAGGGGGCACTTTGAATTTTCTTCCTAGTCTCCTTTTCTCCCTCAAGTTACAGAGTTCACTTAAATGTGTTGTGAGTTTTATTTGCCTTGCACTGTGAGATTTCTCTCTGCACCCACAAAGGCTATGCTGGGAGGTGGGGAGGGGGGTGGTCTCTCTGACTGTGGCAGTGAAGGAGGAGGGCACAGTTATTTATTTCTGATGGGTCTGTGAACAATGAGCTGACAAACAGTTATTCCCCGCTGAGGTGCAGAGAGAAGGCCTCTCTACTCTTACATACAAGCTGGGGCTAGGCAGTTCTCTACAACCAACTACATGGATTTGGAGAAACTGAGCCAGAAGTATGGTCTCTCTCTAGGTCTTCTGGGTCAGTAGAGTTAAGTTGCTTCTCCAGTGGCCACAGATATCAAGTGGATACGTATAGTCCTCTCCAGGGTAAATCTCAAGCACTTGCTTGGCCCACTGGGCCACCACAAGGAACCATAATATCAGAGATTTTTGTGCCTGGCTTTCTTGATTTTCGTTGTTGTTGTTCTTTAAAGAAGGACACAGAAAAGGGAACCCCAAACCTGCTCTCTTTCTAGGAAATAGTGAGATAAACTTTAGCCACAGATGTTTTTTCTAAGTACCATTAGTATGTCCACCTTGATTGTTAAGTTGTTCCAGACTGAGAAGGAGAAAAGAGAGAAAGAGAAAGAGGAGGGAGAAGGAGGGGGAGGGGAGAGAAGGGAGGAAGGGAGGATTTTCTTGTTCAGAAACTTTGCTACTGATGACACCTTAATTGAGATATTTAGAAACATTGTCATATTACCTATTTTCTTATGTGCATGTAAGTGGTCGTCTGTGGCTTAAAAGCATTACCTAAGAAAACCCTGCAAATATAATGTTCAATCTGAAATGACAATTCAATTACGTAAACTTTTTCAATGTTGCCGAATAGGGTTGTTCCCATTTGAACTGGGTGTTGTTCTCCTGAAACTCGTGAATCATGCATGAACACACTGACCAGATATTTTCAACCGGCCACATAGCCAAAGGATTCATTTCCTATGAAAGACATTTGATCACAGTGTTGAAACAGTGCATTCCAGGCTTGCTCGTGCTGATACTAACCCACGGCACTGTGTCACAGAAGGTGGTTGCCTCAGCCTAGAAATTCTTCCCAGCATGGATGGTACTCTTCTCTTCTGGGATACTTTCTTTTTCTCCTGAATTTTAATCTCTCTCTCCCTCCCTCTCATTTAGAAAGGGCATTTGCTTTTAAAATAGTTTTTATTATCAAAACTTTCAGTTTAAATAAAAATGGACAAAATTCGGGTAAACCTACTCAGGTAATGAATAAGATACTTTTCTCTATTGTTTGATAAATGGAAATTATGGGAATTAATAATAATAACAGCATACAGCCATTTCTTCTAGAGAACTTAAAGATCTTATTGATAGCATCTAATTGCCTTATTTTAAAGACACCAGAGAGAGAAGGAGTTGGAGGATGTTATTTCTGGTGTCATTTCTTATTTGCAGATGCAGAAGACTAGACACAATAAGCGAAGTAACAGCAGGGATTGGAAGAGAGACTTAAACTGTTAGATCCAGAAATCCCTGGGAGTACCCAGAGTCCAAGCAGAGAGAGGTCAAATGATGCTCCTAAGAACTAGAACTGAAGGTCACTGCATTCTGGCCCAGGGTCGTTTCCACCAGACCCAACTCCATCGCTGTCTACCACACATGTGATGGAGAATGAGAAGTAGAACAAAGAACACTGGGTTCTCTCACTGTCCCTGTAGTCATGGATGAGTCACCTTTCTCTCTGGGCCCCAGTTTCTCCATCTCCGATATGAAAAAGGCTCTTATATGCCATCAAAATACCTTTCTAAAAGGTGCTGCTACAACTGATGTCAAAGCGTGTACTGCCTATATTTTCTTCCAGGAGTTTTATGGTTTCAGGTCTTACATTCAAGTCTTTAATCCATTTTGAGTTAATTTTTGTGTATGGTGCAAGACAGATAAAAATTAGACTATTGGTGGTGAGCACTTTGCAGTATATACAGAAACCGATAAATAATAATGTACACCTGAAATTTCACAATGTTATGAACCATTATGACCACAATAAAATTTAAAGAAATCCTTCTAATTTTCAAAGAGATATTAGCCCTCCCATCTTTATTGTGGAACTATTCACAATAGCCAAGAGGTGGAAACAACCTAAATGTCTATTGATGGTTGAATGGATAAAAAAGAATGTGACACACGCACAAAATGGAATATTATTCAGTCTTAGAAAAAATCCTGCAGTATGAGACAACATGGATGAATCTTGAGTACATTATGCTAAGTGAAATAAGCCAATCCCAGAAAAAGAAATAATGTGTGATTCCACTTACATGAGTTAGGAAGTACTTAAAATAGTCAGACTCAAAAGAGCAAAGAGTAGAATGGTGGTTGCCAGGGGCTTGGGGGAGCGAGAAAGGGAGAGTTGCTAATCAGATGGTATAAAACTTCAGTTATGCAAGATGAGTAAGTTCTAGAGATGTGCTGTACAGCATTGTGCTTATAGATAACAATACTGTATTCTTCACTTAAGAGGGTAGACCTCATGTGAAGTGTTCATACCACAATAAAATAAAATTAAAAAATAAAACTCAGTCTATGAATTTGTGGACAAAGAGAAACGCTCAATCCTCGTGGCATAAAGACTCCTTGGATGGATTCTTTCTAGAAGCAGTGACAAGCAAGCTGGAGAAAGGTGCTTTGAAGAGTTGAAAACAATCTGTTGCTACTGTGAACCATTTCTATCCTTGGGGACTGATTATTTAATGTATCATGTATTTAATGAATTGCTAATTCAACCTTCCTAAGGAAATCAAAGAGCTTAAAATTCAGTCTTATTATTGTGTGGCATTGGGCAAGTCATTTAACTTCTCTGTCCATTAGTTTCCTCATCTATTAAATGAGGATATTGATAGTAGCTACTTCATGATAGTGTTGTAAGGATTAAATGAGTTACTCATTAACTTTTTGTTTAACCCCGCTTCGTAGACAGGTGGATAGATATGTAGAGGAGGAATTGTCAGCCAGTGTGGTCATCTATCAAGGTGGTGTTGGAACCTAAAAGAGAGCCTCAAAAGGCATCAGGTCGTCAAAAAAGGGCACCAAACCAAGTCACCAAACTAAAAGGCACTTGTCAATTAGAAAGCAGTGACTTTTGATTCAGCACACGTGCTTCAGCTGAGAATTTTGTTAAAAGTTGGCTTCTCAGGTCACACATCTGGAGATGCTACTGCAGAAGGTCCGGCATCGGCCCCAAGAATCTGGATTTTACAAGCTCCCCAAGGGATCTGGTTTCTGGGTAGTAGTTTCTGGGTCAACTAGAGAAATCCTGGAGGCAAGTAATATAACGGGTTACCACGAGCCGAGCTCTTGAGGAAAAATTTTGGGGAGGCTTCTTCTAAGCAGAAATTGATGGAATTAATCCTGGAGTTGAAGACAGAGAGGTTGTGGGCCATGTCTAGGGGCTAGGAGGCAGTTAATGGTTGAGGGAAAAAGGGGAAGAAAGAAATGTAGTCACTCCTGCATTCGGAAGGGTTTAAACCAGCTATCGCATTAAGGTGGCATCAACATGAAAAAAGAGAAAATCTAGAGAAAATATACCTCCATACGTCCCTTGTTTAGGAATATAATTATGGTCCACCAAATGGGTTCTGACACCCCTTCCCTTTCTGAGACAGGCTTCAGCAAACCTAATGCCATCTTGCTCCATGGAGTCAATGCTCTGCGTGATTGGGTCTCATTAGGACTTTATAGATTTTGGGAGAAAGGAACCTGGTTTTATAACTGCTTACAGGACTGGGACTCACAGATTTCTGGCTTCAAGTATCTCTGATTCAGCCTAGTGTTTAAGAGCGTGAGTTTGAGAGTCAGAGAGAGCTGAGTCTGAATCCTGGCTCTGCCACTTCCAGTTCTGGGAAAGTCATTTACTCTCTCTGAGATTTATTTTCATCTTATAGAGAGAAGAGTAATATGAGCTGCCTTGTGGGGTTGTGGTGATGAGTAGAGGCTGTGCATGTGAAAAAGGCTCCGTGCAGGGCCTGGCACACAGTAAGGGCTCAGCACACTGCAGCTATTACTGTTATTAACCCCTACAGCACTGTCTCCCAAAGAGGCCTGCACTGGAGCCACATTTATGGCAAGTAGTTTACATGCTTTAGTTTATTTCAGTCTCACATCGATCTGATGGTAGGCACTACTAATATCCCCATTTCACAGATGGGAAAAGTGAGGCTCAGAAAGGTTCAATAACCAGCTTGAGGTCTCACACTGAAGAAGCAGAGGTGGGATTTGAACTCGGGTTCCAGAGACCATGCTATTTCCTGATTCATGGTTGTCTTTTGAGCTGTGCTAAAATTATACTTGTATTGAATTCCCCCTTCCTTCTCCATCAGCACCTTTTCTATTCTGCTGCTGGCCTTTGCTAAACTATGTTGAAAAAAAAAAAAAAAACCTTTAACTCCCTCCTGTGGCTGTATAAGATACTGATTTAGCTTCCTGGTGACAATCCAGACCCTGTATCGCCTTTAAAAGGTTTGACTACTCACATACAGTGTCCAGCAGATGGTTTTACACTCCCTTATACAGAGAAAACAATTAAAAAATCTATAAGCCTTTGAGTGGTCAAACCCCCTCTTTACCATGCAGTTTATAATAATTTATTTTGATCATGGAAGGCATGAGGGGTACTTTGCTCTGAGTGGGAGGAGGAGATCCTACTTCTGGGATAAACTGAGAATGGCATTGCTGCATCAGCCTGAGTCCAGCGAGGTTCCTCAACCCTGAGCCCTGTTGGAATCACACTCAGAGCAGACTGAACGTCTCTGGCCTCTCACCAGTTGGTTTCCCAGTTAGCACTGATGGTATGTATCGGTTCCGCCGGGAACCGTCACTGAACCGGACACAAAGGAGGAAGTTATAGAAGGAAATGACGTATGCCTGGTTTTCAATTTAGGGAGTAAAAACTCCCTTCTGTGTGGCACTTTATGGTTTGCAAGACTCTTTCACCATCATTGTCTCATTTAATCCTTCTAGCCACACAGCCAGCAAGGCCCATGTTGTTATGTCCTTTTACTCAAGGACACACACGCAGGCTGGGTTGAGACTCTCTCCCAGGGTTTCTGAGTCCAAGCCTCATGCTCTTTCCATATTTCCGCACTCCAATCTGAGATAGTAAGCAGTTAAATATTGACTAAGGATAATCTGGGCGTTCAGATGAGAGAGAAATTATTGATGGAAAACACTTCACTCTGGGAGTTCTGCATTCCACGTGCTTGTGTAAGTTGTTACTTGTCTGGAGGAAGTGGATTGCTGAGCTGTGAGTTGGACAATGCTTTTGTCTTTGATGTGGTCATCCGCCACCAACTTGATATCTGATACATACCCTAAGACTTCAAAAATGCTTTATTGAGTAGAACTGTGGGCTCGATCACAGGAGATTTGTTCTCTTCTTCCCCCCACCACCACTCCCAAAACCAAACACTATTAAAAGTTCAAAATCATGACTGGATAACTAAATTCATGGAGAAAGAATTTTAACATGAGATAATAATGATACAATGAAGTCTAGGGCTGTAGCTAAAAGCAAAGCTTACATAAAAATAACATTTTTGTAGTGCTTTTCAGCGTACCAAGCAGCATCACCTAAACAATTTCATTTGATCTTCACAACAACCCTGTGAAGTAGGCATGATCCACATCTAACAAACAAGGAAACTAAACTTGATGAAGGCTAAATGTTTTGCCCAGGGTCACCATTAGGAAGTGGCAAGTTCAGGACTTCAGGCCTTTTGACTCCACATTCTGTGTTTGATTTGGAATTATTTACTAAAACCTCTGGAAACGTCAAATAATTTTTGTAGGGAATTCCTTAAACCCTCTGTGCCCCTACTGTAAGAAGCTATGATAATGGTTGGTACATAAAAGTTGCCTTCTCACGCTGGGTCTCCCTTGGGCTTACAAGCAGCAATTAGTCATGATTCCTTTTCTGCAAAGTTTGTGGATATCAAGTCTATTTCTCTCTTATGGTTAGATTGAAGCAGGAATCTAAGTTATTTGTTTTCATGGTCACCCGTCTCAGAAAGACAGAGGGGCAGGGTTATTTCTTGAGAGTTCCAGCTACATGTCCCTTGTCAAAAAATTGGAACCAACTCCCACTCCCTAAAAAATAGAAAGAGAAATAGCAAACATTTGGTGAAAGGATCCATGCTATTTCTTCAGAATGCTCTAGATTTTCTCCCCAGAACTATCCAGATTCTTGATGAAAATATTTGGAGAGCCTAATGGCTCATGAAGTTTTGGAGAACATGGACATCTTCAAAAATATCTTGGGGATGGTAAAGTATGAGTATGGATAAACAGTAATTGAAACAGCAAAGTTCAGCAGGATTCAGACTTGTGACTGTGGGTTCAAGGGAACGAAATGTTCCCTATTCGTGCTTTTCCCCTACAAGCTTCTTTCTACATCCAAAAAAGGAGTTTAGAAGGGAAGGTTGTGGCTTTTCACCTTCAGGTGGCATGGCCAAAAACAATCCTAGAACTTGTCTGACTGGCTCTAATGAAGAGCATAAGTAAACAAGACTTGAGTAAACAAAAGAGAAACCTGCCTATCACCTGTGGAATCACGTAATGTAGGTCACCTTCCTGGGCGCTTACACATCAGCTTCGTCCCTCAGATAAATGGGATGTGTGCTCCCAGAGAAATGTCATTTTTTTATCATGTTGGCAGCAGCAACTTAGGGAAGGAGCAGAATGAAAGATATTCTGTCTATTAACGGGGACCCACTGTAGTGGTAAAGAAATGAAGTACCTGAAGGGACTGGGGAGTTCTTAAACCTTTCTGGCAGGAGGAAGAATTGGCCTCTCTTTCGCGAAGCAGGGTCATTTTCATCATCTTGGGATGTTAGACTGTGGCGGGTCTGGTGATGAAGCAAGGCCGCACATGCTCATGAGAAGAAATGACTTTCCCGTCCTTAATCTCCTTGGTGATGGTGCAGATTTTAACCAGGATCCGGGACAGGCCTCCACGGGCTCTGCAGGGCTTGCGTACCCCACGGGGGGCTGAGGATGATGTGTAAACTGGGGCTGTGCATTCTATGGCTCTGGCCTTCCTGGATATGCAAGTTGAAGGCTCACATTTGGTGGCACACGGGTTACAGGGAAGCCTAGAGAAAAAACAGAATTTTACCTGGGATTGAGGGCAGGCAATGATGGCCATGGAGAAAAATGGCAGTGGTTAATTTTCCAGTACTCAAAACAAGTGCTTCCTAATGCTTATTCACTCATTTTATACAGTCTTTAGTGGAAGAAGAAGAATCAGGCTAGATCCATGGGAAAGCAGCATCCTAGGGTTAGAAATATTTAGATTATGTAAGCCGCCATTACAGTCGATGCCACAGCATTGTGGACGACCACACCAGGAGTCAAAGACTGGGGTGGAGCTCAGCTCTGTCATTTGTCAGCTGGTGACCTCTGGTAAGTCAGCTAACTTTCCTGAGCTTTAGTTTTTCATCTGCAGAATGGATATAATGGGAACTAAATTGATAGAATCAACAGTGATAAGGGACAACTGGAAGAGATTATTATCTGAGGAAAGGAAGTTAATCAGATATTTTCCTTGTCAGGGAGTCATTCATAATACTACTGATCCCCATCTGTCGAAGAGTCCTCGGTGCTTCATCAGGAAGCTCCAAAGTGCCCTCTGGGTGTCTCTAAATGAATCATCTTTAGAGAATTGGATTTGGAAGCTGTTAACAGCAAGAACTCCTTTTAGAAAGCCTCATCTCTCTTTGATGATTCCAGGCACTCTGGTATGTTGTAGCTCCTCGAAGCGATAGCACTGGTTAACACTGTGCTAGCAGCCTGTGGACATGCCAGTTAAGACAATGCTGTGAGCAGAGTTCACTGATTTTTGGGGGGGAGGGAGGTCTCCTTAGCAACTATAACTAAGTCTGCATTCGGAGTGTTAGTTTGGAGTGGGTTGCTTCAAAGGGCTCTGTGTTCTAGGTCAGTTCCTTAGGGGTTGGTTAGCTTCTTATCATTTAAAAACATTACAACTTCTACAAAAAAAAATGCTGACACATGCATATGTACATGATGCTATTGGCATCAAGGACAAGTGGGTGGACAAGATTAGGGGTTTCAGTGTGAGCAGAATATTAATCCAAAGGGAGCAGGATTGTCCTGTACAGTCTCATGAAATTCAGATGTCATCTCAGTGGGGAAAAATCTGTAAGTTGCCAGGAATGTTTGTCTTTGGGGAAACTATTTTTTACCTAGTAATTTTTTAAAACTCTAAGAAGCTAAAAAACCTATAAGGAACTAAACTGGTGCACTGGCTCTTCAAAAGAACTCAGCTCAGCTAGACTAGGTGACAAGTGTAGGTGCCCAAACGCACAGCTGGAGAGAGTGTATGGACCTTTCCATCCAAAGCTCCCCATTACTAGCAAGAAGATCAAAGCACTTGTCCTGTGTTGCCGGTGGTAGTACATATGTGTGAGTGGGCATCTTCTTCATAGAAGTTGTTTTTATTTTACATACTTGCCGTCCAAGCTCTCCAGAAGGCTGCGGTATGCGGTTATCTCACACTCCAGCCGGGACTTGACATCCAGCAGAATCTCGTATTCTTGGTTCTGTCTTTCCAGGGCACATCGGATCTCTGCCAACTGAGCCTCTAGGTTATCGATCAGACACTGGATCTGAGCCAGCAAGGCCGCATAGCGGGTCTCCGTCTCCGCCAGGATGCATTCCTGGGAATCTCTCTACCACGGAGGAGAAAAGGAGGATTTATAATGAGCCCAGGTCACTTGTGATCTGTATCATTTTAAACAGTGGTTTCTTTATGACAGGTAGTAATGAATCTCCAAGCCCTCTTAGTACATCCTAACCAAATAAATCCAAAGACAAAATGATCAACTATGCTAAAGTTTGCTTTCCTTTGGCCTCTTTTTTTTTGGCCTCCCTTTAAGTGTTTACTTCTCTTCCTCTTTCTTAATCACTTGACAATCTCCTACCAGATTTTCCTACTACCTACGTGAGAAAAAACATTCCAACTTATTTTGCACCTAGTATTAAAAACACTTACCATGGCACCTCATTCTATGAGTGTGTGTACCTTAAAAAGGAAGGGAGCAGCATTTAGCCGTAAATAATTCTCTCCCCGGATCAATTCCTTTCTATGTAAAATATAAGAGTTGAAACTTTGATGATTAAAATTCTTTCCTGCTCTATCATTCTGTAAGTCTACACATAATGGAATTTTAGGTTTTAAAAATCTATTGTTTGCATGATGATTCCAATTTTTATAGATGAGAAAACTGAGGTTAAAGAGGTTAAATGAGTTGCTCAAGGTCACGTGACTAGCTGGTGACAAAACCAGCTTTGGGGTAAGGTCTTCCTAATACCCTTAATATCAGAGCATTTAGAAGTTTTCTACTTCAGAGAAGCAGTAGAATGACGCAGAAGTGGCTCCAGCTTTGGAACCTGCATTCTTGCTCAGACCCTTATTTCTTTTCTGACTTTTGACGAGCTACTTAATGCCTTGAGTTCTCAGTGTCTCCATTGATGAAATAGGCGAGGTGAAACTTATATTGGATTTGGCTTGGGAAAATCACCTTTGCTCTCTGAGCCATGTCTGTAAAATCGGCTTAATAATTATGCCATCTCCCTTATAAGATTATTTTGTAAATTTGATAGTTTGTAAAAATTCTTTGCATATAGTAAAATGCTCTCTTAGTGTTTCCCAAAGTGTACTCCATGGATCCTTATTGCCATGAGATTCTCTTAACAAAAGGAGTCCACAGTCAAATAAGTTTTGGAATGCTGAATACCAGATAGCCCTTTCTTGGCGATTCATGATGTACATCAGCTTATGAAAGGCCTGCAGGAAGGTATCCTGTTTAACCTTTGTTTAATCTAGCATTTCCCAGGCTTATTTGACCATAAAGTCCTTTTTTGGCAATAGACTCTTCAACAAAAACAGAGAAACTGTTGTTCTGAGGGACACAATTTGGGAAATATTGCAACACACAGGTGTCAGGGGCTGTTGCCATCACTGCTGTGCTAGGCTTGGTCAGCTTGTCGGGTACCATTCGATGCTGGGCCTGAAGTTCAACCTCCAGAATGTTCATAGTGCGTCTCAATTCAGTGATCTCCTTCTGGCAGTATTGCTGCTGCTGAGAGCTTGTCACCACCTGCTGGTTCAGCTCCTCCATCTGAAACACAGTCAAGGACCATGGATATTTTGAGGGAAAACATGACTTTGATTAAAGGGCTCCTGGAAATACAATGTCAACTTTTTGTTTTTGACTTTTCTACCCTCCCTACCTGTGTGTTGAACCATTGTTCCACATCTCTGCGGTTTGTCTCTATGATAGACTCATACTGACATCTCATTTCTTGTAGAACCCGGTTTAGGTCAACAGAAGGGGCAGTGGTCACTTCAATGTTGAGTCTGTCTCCAAGCTGGCTCTGTAAGGAATTGATTTCCTATGGAAAGAAAAAGAATGTGAAGTCACTTGGTGAATAGATGACACCCTTGTGTTCTTGTTTCAGCCTAACAGCTATAATTTAGCTTAACTGAGTCTGAAATTTAGCCCACAATAAAGGAATACATGATTTATAGGTGCTATTGAGATGCTATAAAACGACTTAAGGCTATTTCAGATATGACTATGTGTTCAAATATATGCAACATTAAAAGGAATTGACTAGCAAGATGAGGGTTTTAAAGAATTTGGATCATTTCCAGGAATGAGTAATGGGTGAAGAAGCATATAGGTGGAATTTACGAGAGACCATAGTCTCTATGATGCCAATATGGGCTTATGTCAATATTGACTTATACCAGTAGTTGCAGATGTCTGTGTAGGGTTGCTTACAAAAAGACAGGAAACCTGCAAGGACAGGAAAATTGGGTCTCTTCCTTCTCCTGGAAAAGCTGGAGAGGACAATGGAGGCTTCAGATATTGTGTTATAGGCAAAGGATTTGAAACACATTGAACCAGTGGTAGTAAGAATTATGAGGGATAAAAAATAGAGTAATGTCTAGTGGGGACACCCTTTGTCAAGTTCAACTCAAAGGAATTGATGGTATGTTTAGAGGCTTAGCTTGTAACGACTCTCTTGGCCTTTCTCTAACCTCATCATGGTTGTTTTTGAGGCAAAGGAGCTCCTCCTTCAGAGACTGGAGTTGTGCCTCCAGGTCAGCTTTGCCCAGGGTCAGCGCATTTAGGATGTGCTGTACGCCACTGGCATCTGCCTCCACCAGCTTGCGTAGGGACACTTCGGCTTCATACCTTTAAAAATGAGACATGAAAAGAAAGACGTTAGAAGGGAGATGGCATGAATCAGGCCATCTGCATTTTCCTCTGGGCCTCTCATTTACTGTATTTCCATTGCAGATTTTATTTTCTTTAGAGGTGAAACCATGTGATAAACTTGCCACTTATTTATCATTCCTAAATTAGTTTGCCAGAGTGATGCCACAGTGGTATTCTTGGAGATGAGGGAATTTATCCTCCTCCTGCCCCTAGAGGCAATGCTGTGTAAGTGCAAAGAGCGCTGGATTAAGACACAAAGTTGCTTCCAAGTTTCGGCTCCATCTTGTGCAAGTTGTATGCCTTTGGATAAATAGCTGAACCCATTAAACCACAGCTTTCTCACTTTAAATGGGGTAACAATATATCAGCCCTACCTATTTTACTGAACTATTAATCAGATGGGTTCATATGTTAGAAACTACAGGTACTGTATGCGTGTGAGCAGTTATTCATCTTAATCATTTGCTGAATTTGAAGGTCTTTTGTGGGCTACTGCCAACATGGTATGGGGCAGGACAGGCGGTAGATTTGGGGATAATCTTATTGGGGGTGTTTAGCTTCAGACACAGGGTTAATTCTGCCGTGAACGACAGTGTTGGGTGAGCTTACTTGGCTCTCAAGTCATCGGCAGCCAGTTTGGTGTTGTCAATTTGTGAGACCAGTCTGGAATTCTCAGCCTTGGTACACAAGATCTAGAATTAAGAAATTGTACACACAAATGAGACAAACACCAAGATCTCTTTCTTTAAAAACCAAGGGGCTTGTGTGTGTTTCAATTAACAGCAAAAGGCTAGTTAGGTGTTTTGCAGCTATACTTAGGAAGCTTGGAAAACTTTGGAGAGTCACAGTTTTTGTTATTTTCCTAAAATATCAGCAAAAATTACTTCAATAAAAACTTTCCTATATGTTTTGCTGTTGAAATATAAAATGTATCCTAAATCTGCATAGCATACCATGACCCGCTAGAATGGAAACACCATGACTGCAGGGACTTTAGAGCATGATGTTCTCCCAGAGCTGGGAATAATGTCTGGTGCACTGTTGTTGGTGCTCAGTAAATATCTGGAATAAATCCGGCCTGTGTGGCATCAGCATATACCCTGCATAGGAAACTTAGGTTTGGTGTGGGAAGAAACTAGGCAATTTGGAGATGATGAAATGAGCGTAAAAGAGGAAAAGTGTCGTGATGTTTGAAAAATGGATAGGAACTAATGTGTTTAGGAACTTCCTAAAACAAAATTCATTTTCTCAGATCCCCGTTTTCTTATTTTTGTTAAAGAAATGACAGCAATGAGTTGTTAACACTTTTTGGTCCTGAGTTATCTGGTTATAACAGCAGAGTGTCTCACTGGAAAATGAAAAAGTATAAAACTCTGAATATTTCCTCCAGAGGATAATTTCATACAAGAGATTTTCTTATTCTAGAAAATATTTTTCAGCACAAAAGATACTAAATCTGTTCAAGTTTAGCAAATGACTGTTGCTTTGAGAGCGTCAATCCACAACTTGATTATACAGGTTCCTAAGAATCTTACCTTCTGCTGGAGTTCCTCAATGGTAGTGTAGTAGGACAGGTAGTCAGGACAGATGACAGGGAGCTCTTTGTTACACTCTTCCTGGATTTTACCCTCCAGTTCAGCATTCTCTTGTTCCAACATTCGCACCTTTTCCAGGTAGTTAGCAAGGCGGTCGTTCAAGATTTGCATGGTCCCTTTCTCATTACTGTTGATACCTTCACCACACTGGCCACAATCATCCAGAGAGGGACAGGTGTTGAAGCTTCTTATTAAGCAGACGGGCGTGAGACACAAGCAAGGAGTGGATTGGCAGCCCTGGATGTGGGTGGTCCTCCGAACATGGCCAGTTGGTTGGCAGCTGTTGGCTTTAAGACCACCATGCTGGCAGTTGGTGTTAGAAGAGATAGCCCTAAAATCTGTAATCCTAGAGCACCTCTGGTGTGGTGTTGAAGAAGAAATAGTTGTTTTACAACATTTGGTATCCATAGTGTGTGCCCAGCTTTGATTTTTCAAAGTCTATGCTCCCCTGGATGGAAAGCTCAAGCAACTGCAACTGAGTCTGAACTCCAAGCCTCTTGGCTTTTTCCTCTTTGAAGAGCTTATATAGCCTTTCCTCAAGGTGGTGTCACAGCAGGAAGGATGTTTTCCTTTCTAATGTTTATACCAAATCCCATAGGAACATCTCATTAGTCTGCTTTTTACTTGCCTGGGAAGAGTTACCTGTCTCATAAAATGTGCATTTAGGCTGTTACTAAGTTATTACCCGTCACAACTACTACCTGTCATTGGATCCAGAGCTTCACATTATGTCTTCAAAAGGAACCGTCGTCACAGTTCTAACAGCATCCATCATTAAGCAGATGTGAGTATACTAAGTTCATTAAGTCCTTGTTGACCTCTCCACCTGGCATTGAGCTTGATCAGGAATGAATCCATACTTCTTTTCCTTTCTTCTCCAGAAAGGGGAAACTATTAATATCTGATAATTATTGGTGAACTTATTAATCAGTATTTTATTTTGTTCTGCCCTGTTGATTTTCCTGTTTTCATTGTTTTTTTGATCTGCCCAATTGTTTTCCCATTTTCATTCGGAGTATGGATTAAAATGTTAGTCCTAAATAAGGCTTTTAAAAAAGGAAATTGCTAGATTCCTATTCTATCTCTCCCGGTCGGGTTTGATCGCTAACAAGAAATTTCCTGGAAAAGAGGCTGGTTACCTTTTGGTTTTTCAAAGCCCACATTTTATAACATTTTTTGTGCTCCGTTTTTGCTTGTGGTATTATATTAGCCCAAAATTTGTCTAGGTGTTGGTTTATGTTTTCTGTTTTATTATGATTTGTTAAAAGGTATCTGTTCTTTCTCAGGAGTACTTATTCAGCCTTTTCTTAAGAAAGCTATTTGCTCCTGATCCTTTATGAGGCTCTAGGAGAGAATAGTTTCCTTGCCTTTTCCAGCTTTTGGAGGATGTCCACATTCCTTGGCTCGTGGCTCCTTCCAACTTCAAAGCTGCCACAGCCAGTGGAGTCTTTCTCATATAGCATCAGTGACACTGACTCTTCTGCTTCCCTCCTCCACATTTAAGGATCCTTGTGATTCTATTGAGCCCACTTGCGTCATCTAGCATAATCTTCCTATTTTAAAGTCAACTGATTAGCAACATTGCTTGCCCTTTGTCATGTGGCCTAACATAGTCAAAGGTTCTGGAATTGAGGCATGTACATCTTCAGGGGCCCATTATTCTGCGTGTTACACAATGTAAGGGAAAAACACAATTTACAATAGCACCAACAAGTATAAAATATGCAGGAATAAATTTAATGAAGAAGGTACAAGATCTACATGAATAAAATGTTAAAATATACTGAAGGACAAAAAACTAGAATAAATGGAAAGATATATCATGTTCTTGGACTGAAATACTGTATTCATCATTACAAAAATGTTAGTTGTCTCTACGTTAACTTAGATCCCAATAAATTTATTGGGATCCTCCAAAAATTGATTTTTTTCCAAATAGACAAGATACTTCTGAAGTTTTATAAGAAAAATCAAACAAATTTGAATAGCCAGGAAAATTCTAGGAAAGAAAAGCCACAGAGAGACAAATCTTTCCAGATATTAAAATATGTTTTAAAGCCTCAGTAATTAAAATAGTGTAGTATTAATGCATGAATAGTCAGACAGACCAATAGAACAGAATAAGAAGTCTAGAAACAGACTCTCAAACAGCTTGGAATTTAGTATATGATAAATGTGACATTTAAAATCAATGGGGAAAAGATGGACTATTATATGCAATTTGGGGACAATTCTATATCACTTGGGGTGAGGGGCAGGGCAGGGCATGTTGGAATCATTCCTTCCAGTAGGACAAATAACAAATTGATCAAACATTCAGGTGTGAAAAATGAATTCATAAATGCGCTAAAGGAAAACATAGGAGAATTCTTTCATAAGTTTGCAGTCAGAAGACCTTTCTAATAATAATTTAAAATTAAGAAACCATAAAAAACGTATAAATTTGACTATATCAAATAATTTGTACATGTGTGAAAAACACAACCTATAAAATCAGAAGACAGACGACACACTAGGGAAGAATATTTGCAATTACGCCACAGATGGTGACCAGAAAGAAAATACAAATGGCACTTAGAAAATGCCTTAGAAAAAGTGCTCAATATCACTCATAAGAAAGGAAAGGTGCATTTAAACTACAGTGAGATAGCATTTTTTTTTCCACCTATCAGATTAAAACAATCAAAGTTTGATAACAAATGCATTGTATTGTGTACAGACTCTTATTTATTGCTGATGGGTGTAAATTTGTACAAGTTACTATAATGCCACTATAATCAACACTGTGTGATATTGGCATAAGGGTTGGCAAATAGATCAATGAAAAAGAATATAGAGTCTATAAATAGATTCACACATTTGTGGTCAATTAATTTTGGACAAAGTTTCCAGAGTAGGTCAATGAGAAAATGATAGACTTTTTCAATAAACGTTGCTGAATCAATTAGGTAATTATACAGCAAAAATTAATACATCTTGAGCTCTACCTCACACTACTTATAGAAGTTAATTCAGGATGAATTAAACACTTAAATGTGAAGGTTATACATATTGAGTTTTTAGAAGAAAACATGGAAGACTATCTCCATAATCTTGCTCTAAGTAAAGCTTTCTAACCCATGGAGAATACTTCATATAAAAATAGATTGAACTTCCTCATAATTAAAATCTTTTGCTGATCAAAGTATGCCACTAAGAAAGTGAAAGGCAAGCCACATCCTGGGTGAAAATATTCATGATATACATTTCTGACAAAGGACCTCCACTTTGACCCAGCAATTTCATGATTAGGTATATGCCCAAGAGAGATGAGTGCATATATACACAGAAAGACTTGTGTAAGAACGCGTATAGCAGTTTTATTCTTAATAACACCAAAATGGAAACAACTCAACTGCTCATAAGCTGGATAATGGATCAACAAACTGTGATTTATTCATATAATGGAGTAGTACTCAACAACAAAAAAGAATGAACTACTGGTACTCACAACAATATGGAAGAACCTCAAAAACATTGTGTTGACCTAAAGAAGTCAGACACAAAAGAGTACAAACAGTATGATTTCATTGATATTAACTTCAAGAACAGGCAAAGCTCATTTACAGCGTTAGATATCAGAAGAGTGGTTGCCTCCTTGTGGGGGAGGTGAGTTGACTGGGAAGGAACTCTCAAGGTTGGTATTTTACATCTTGATATTCTATTTTATATCTTATCTGGGTGATTACTTGACCGTGTATGTTCTTAAAACTTCATGGAGCTGCATACTTTGAAGTGATGCATTTTATTGTATGAAAATTATATCCCAATAAATTATGGTTAACATAATAAGTCAAGATTTGATACAGTTGTGTAGCTATATGAATGCTCACTACTTTATTCATATACCTGAATTCAAAATGGATAAAAGATTCACGTGTGAAAAATGGAAATCATAGATGTGATAAAAGAAAACAGGAAAATTTTGTTATAACAATGACTCAAAATCAAGAAACCATAAAAAATGGATAAATTTGACTTGAAAAAATAAGTGTTTGACATAGTTCAAAATTTAAAAATGTACCAAAAAAAAGACTAGAAGGAAAGCTATCTAATTTAGAACAGAGTGGCTAACCCAAGAAATGGTCAGAGCTAGAATTAACCTATGTCTTTAACATAATATGCAAAAATTGCAAAAACAGCTGTGAAAGGCTAACAGTAACACAAGAACCCCCAAAGTAGTTATCTTCTACTAAAGAGATTTTCCTACTTAAGTTCCACTTTGATGTTGCATAATCAACCCAACCTGAAAATATGTTTAACTCCTAACATACAACTAGATTAATTAATCTATGTGAAATGTTGTATATCATGGAAGGTAGTTGTGTGTATCTTTCTGAGACCAAATTGGATTTAGTTCATTGGAAATTATTACAGATGCTGAGGAAACTGTTAAACAGAAACATTTTTGTTTTGCTACAATCTTAACCAAGGCAGAAAAGAAACCATGGGGAGGGCAGAGAACAGGTGGATGACAGACAGACCGTCTGTGAGACTTATATGGTGGAATTACAGGTGGCTGAGATTTGTGATTTTATGACACTTTTTTTGTGCTTTATTTCTGAGTGCCCAAAAAATAGAAATAGAACAGTGAAGAGGAGAACTTTACTCCAGCTTTCCAGTGTGTGTGTGTTTTTAAACTTTTAAATTTTGAAACAATTATAAATACACAGGAGTTGCAAAGGTAGTACAGAGAGGTCCCATGTATCGTAGTTCTCCCCAATGATTGTATCTTACTCAACTATAGTACAATTGTACAATCGGGAAGTCGACATTGATACAATGCATGTGTTTAGGTCTATAAATCCTTTCGCATGGGGAGATTCCTGTACCCACCGCTGCAATCAAGATGTGCAGCTGTTCAGCCACCAAAAAAATCTCCTTCATGCTGCGCCTAATTTGTTTTCCATCTCTCTAATTTTGTCACTTCAAGAATGTTGTATAAATAGAGTCATAGAGTATATGACACTTTGAGAGCGCATTTTTTTATTCATCATAATGGCCTTGAGATCTTGAGAACATTTTTGTTGTTTTTGGCTATTACAAATAAAGCTGCTATGAGCAGTCATTTATTTTTTTTTTCAATCCCTTTACTTTCAACTCACCTACGTGTTTATATTTGCAGTGAGCTTGTTGTAGGAAGCATGTCATTGGGTCATGCTTTTTTATCCACTCTGCCAATCTTGATCCTTTAATTGGTGTATTTAGGCCATTTCAATTTGCTGTGATTACTGATATACGGAGCTTAAGTCTGCATTTTGGTTTTTGCTTTCTGTTGGTTCCCTCTGTTTTTATATTTCTCCATTTTCTTTTCTCTCCTTCCTTTGGGTTCCTTGAATATGTTTTAGACTTCCATTTTGATTTATTTATAATTTTTGTGTGTTTCTTTGCATACCTTTTTAAATAGTCACTCTAGGTATTACATTATACAGACATAACTTATAGTTTACTGTGTTGACATTGTATCGCTTCAAGTGAAGTAAAGAAAACTTACCTCCCTTTACTCCTTTTCTTGGAGCTTTCTTTTTTTCTGTTTGCACCTGCTGGTTTTTCTGGGTTGTTGGTTTCTCCAGCTCCCAAGACGGGATAAATGAGGCAGAAAGAAAACCCAGGGCACTTACCATGGTGTTGCTCCTTGGATGTCAAGGACTCTAGTCTGTTTGGCGTCTTCTTCCACCTTTCAGAGTCTGTTTATATTTGTTTTATATGTAACTTCCAGGGCTTTTAGTTATACTTAGGAAGAGGAATGGGGAAAAGTACATCTACTTCATCTTTCTGGAAGTAGAAGTTCTCTACTTTGCTTTTTCAGTGTGTGAGAATAATTCTTCTTATATCCTAAATGTCCAATAACAGACCAATGTCCCTTATTGTATTTTATGCAGCCACTGAAATAGTGGCCACAAGACAATCTTATATGTTTATTAGAATTGAAAACACTTAGATGACAGTGGGAAAAAAAAGGTACTACAACTATATGCCTACGTAACTATGATTTCCAGTATATGGAAAAACCTATTATAGGAAAGAAAACTGGAAGTTCCCAAAATACTGACAATGGATGTTTGGGGCATAGAATTATCACTGATTTTTTTTTCCCCTTTCATGTGCCAAATTTTTTAAAAAAGGAATCTAGTACTTTTGTTTAAAGATTTTATTTTTTTCCTTTTTCTCCCCAAAGCCCCCCGGTACATAGTTGTATATTCTTAGTTGTGGGTCCTCTAATTGTGGCATGTGGGATACCACCTCATCATGGCTGGATGAGTAGTGCCATGTCTGCGCCCAGGATTCGAACCGGCAAAACCCTGGGCCACCACATCAAAGCTTGCGAACTTAACCACTCCACCATGAGGCCGGATCCCAGAATCTAGTACTTTTATACTTAAAAATAAAATACAATTTATTGTTTTTTATTCCTAAATTTCCTCTCAGAAAGATACATACAACTATCTTCCATAATATATGATGTTTTGCATAGATTAGTCAACCTATTTGTATTTGAGGAATTAAAAAATATTTTCAGCTTGAGTTTATGCAAAATCAAACTATTGGCATAGGTTTAGACAACTGCCTCGGCACCAAATGGTTATTATATCAACAGTAATAAGTCACAAGCTATATTTGCCATGCTAAAGGAATGAAACACATTTTATTTGGAGGTTAGCAAGAAAGCTTTATAGACTCCTAGAATATTCCAAATAAGCAGGCAGGAGAGGAAATGATAAAGTGGAAATGTACCGAGGATGCTTAGAGGACAATTTTAGGAAATGGAAGCCTTCTTGACTTGAGTTTCAAGTTAGGATGTCTCTGAGTGAAGCCTCATCGCCTTTCCAGGACGCTGCTGGATTCAATTCCTCCATCCGCCATTCCGGGTGTTTAGCACTCATGAACAGCAATTTTCAACTGTGCAAATTACATACGCAGAGCAAGGCTCACAAGTGTTTCTCGGCATGCTCGTTGTAGGACACGGGTTATAGGAAAGCCTGCAGAAAATCCATTTTGAACTAAGCTTAACAAGGGAAAGCTGGATAAAACGTCAACTCAGAAAAAATCATGCTAAAGTTTCCCCTGCAAATTATGTTCCGAAGAACATTGTTTGCAGAATAACATTTGACTTAAGCCTATTTCATCCCTGGACCCAGCATTGTCACTTCATGTTCACCATAGCAGTGGTAGTTGAATAAAATTTTATGTGTTTTCTTCCCTTTGCAAATGCCACCTTATGCATGTTCCTGATTTCCCTTGATAGGAAGATGGGAGCAAAGGGCGACTCCATTGTGAAATGTTATAGATGATATTTCCTCCTCTTTAGAACTTTAGAATGTTTTTGAACATTCCTATCGTCATGTGATTAGCCTCAGCCACTTTTCATCACTCTTTTAAGAAGATCCTTTAACATGTTAGGGAAGTTTGGCCCTGGCCAGATCTTAGGGAAAGAAGATTCTCCTACATGAGCCTCTTTGAGACTTGGGGAGATTTTCAGAGGAATTGTGTGGAACTTACCTGCTGTCCTCGCTCTCCAGGAGACCCCGGTACGTGTTGATCTCGCCCTCCAGCCGGGCCTTCGTGTCCAGCAGCACCTCATATTCCTGGTTCTGCCGCTCCAGGTCGCAGCGGATCTCAGCCAGCTGGTTCTCCACATTATCGATCAGGCACTGCATCTGGGCCAGCTGGGAGCTGTACTGGGCCTCGGTTTCTGCCACAGTGCATTCCAGAGATTCTGTCTGCAGAAGGAAAAGAGTATAAAAAGGACTGTGTAGCACAGTCTCTGGGTCCAGATTGCCTGTTTCAAATCCTCGTTCTATCCTTTTCTAGCTGTGTGACTTTGGCAAAATCACTTAGCTTCTCTGAGCCTCAGTTTTATTCTATAAAAAAATGGGGACTGCAAAGTACCTATTTCATAGGATAGTTGTGAGGATTAAGTGAGTTAATAGGTACAAAACACTTGGAATAGTGCCTAGAAAAATTTTAAGGGTTTTATAAGTGTTAGTTATTCCTACCACCACTGTGACCACCACAACGTGTAACATAGTTGTGTAGCTTAAAGAGGATCAGCAGCATTTGAGAGGAAATGTTGAGTCTGGGCTCCTGGCAGGGAGGAGCCGCATAGTGTGGTTAAGAGAAGAAGCTCTGGGATTGAAGCACCTGGATTGAGCTTCCACTTTTGCCTCTTAACAATTGCGTGACACCCTGTTACTTAATCTGAATCTCAGTTTTACTTATCTGTGTAATGGGATTAATAAAGGGAATTACTCCATAAGTTTACTGTGAGGCTTCAGTTGGCATTGTGCCTCTCACAAGGTGAATGCTCAGCTATTATTCACCTAGGTATGCTTTATAGGACCTAACGCGGCACACACAGTGGCCTTTGACTGGAACCGGTTAATGTAATCTTGAATGCATGGTATTTTTGTTGCTTGAGTGGAGTGGGGTGCAATGAAGGGTCAGGTTGAGGGGTGGATCCTGGGAACCTTTAGGATAGTTGTAGAATGCAAAGTTTGAAAACCATTCTTTGTTTTAGTTGTGATAGTGAGCTTGGAAAGTTGGCCCGAATCAAAACAGAGTTAAAACCCACGGGAATGCCTGAGTGCCTTTGGCTCGGAAGTTCCTCTCTCGCTCTGCTCCTGCCCTTTCCCTCTCTCTCTCTGTCTCTGGGGGGGTGCTGCGGGATCATGCTCAAGCTCAGGAGGGAAGGTCAGGGCATCCTACTGGGATAGTACAAGCTGCTGACCTGTCATTTCTGCTTCTGCTGGGTAAAGGCCAGTGCTTGGGAAAGGCAAGGAGAGGAAATCCTTGCCAATTGGAAATTCAGACCCTCTGCCACATGAACTGTGGGTCTCTCCTTTGGGTAATGGAAGAGGGGATAGAATCTCCGGGCCCGATTCTTCAGTGACAACACGGAGCTGTCTTTCCCTTACATACCAGGCTTTGTTGTGCTTGGAGCTCAATTTCCAGAGCGTTGGCTGTGCGTTTCAGTTCCAGGATCTCCGTCTGGCAGCCCTGCAGCTGCTCCGCACTGGACAGTTGCTGCTGACTCAGCTCCTCCGTCTGAAACACAGGTGTGGTTAAAGAACCCGAATACGGCAGAAGTCTGGAAGCCTGTCATTGTGTTGCCCCAGGTGCTGACCTGGACAGCAAACCACTCTTCTGCCTCTCTGCGGTTGTTGGCCAGCACCGTCTCATACTGACAGCGCATCTCATCCAGGACACCGTTAAGGTCGATGGTGGGGGCAGTGTCTAGCTCCACACTGAGTCGGTCACCAAGCTGTCCACGAAGCAAGTTGACTTCCTGAAAGTGGAAATGGAGTAAAGAGTGTCACAGAGTGGCGGGGAAAAAATTCACTTTGACATCTCAGTGGCATCTTACTTCTGTGTTTTGGATAGTGGATTTAATTTAGATGGCTTAGGTTCAATCTTTTTTCACCATTCAGTTTCTTCATCTGTGAAATGAGTGTAATAATTGTGCCTTTTCCAGAGAGCTGTTGTGAGATTCGAGTTAACATACATATAAAGCACTTATACAAGTCCTTGGTACTTTTATAGTAAGATCTCAATTAATGTTAGCTGTTACCATTAACGAATGTTCAAAGGGAAAATATACTTTGTTAGATCATTTAGCTTTTCATCTTTTAGCTTCATCAATATGAGATAATCGTAAGTTTCACTTTTTATGATTTTATAAAGTTTAGATATGCAAAATATTTAAAAATATTGGTCTAAAAATTGCATGTCTTTATCTTCCCCCTTTTCAAAATTGAGGTCACATTGGTTTATAACATTGCATAAATTATTTCAGGGGTACGTCATTATGTTTTGAGTTCTGTATAGACAGCTTCGTGTTCACCACCAAAAGTCTAGTTGCCATCTGTCTCCACACACATGTGCCCCTATACCCCTTTCACTCTCCCCCTGCCACCTTCTCCTCTGGTAACCACCAGTCTGTTCTCTCTATCTGTGTGTTTGTTTATTTATCTTCCACATACAAAAGACTTGGAAACAACCTAAGTGCCCAAGAATGGAAGAGTGGATAAAGAAGATGTGGTATATATCTACAACGGAGTATTACTTGACCATAAAAAGACGAAATCTTGCGATTTGTGACAACATGGATGGACCTTGAGGGTATTTATCCCCTTTTTTGAAATGACCTTCATACTCTATGTTTATCAGCCTGATTTTCATACCTTATGGATTACAGTCAGGGGTGACATAAAGCCGTCAAGGAAAGATAACCCACAAAAGCATTGGCAGGTGAAGGCTTTGGTCTCTTCACCTGTACTGGCCAGGGGTCGTTTCACACGTACATTCAGAGACACGTGGGAATGATCAGGCTGAATAATAGTAGTGCCCTGAGTAATTTTGTTTCAGCTTAAGCAACATCTACACAAGTTCGATTTATACACATAACATGAGATCTATCAGTCTAACTTTGTCGCTCTTAGAGCTCTTCAGGTGTTTTGCCGCTTTCCTCACCTGTTCGTGGTTTTTCTTAAGGCAAAGGAGATCGTCCTTTAGAGACTCCACATGTGCCTCCAGGTCAGCTTTGCACAAGTTCAGCTCACCCAGGATCCCGTGCAGGCCGCTGATGTCAGTCTCTACCAGCTGGCGAAGAGACAGTTCGGACTCGTACCTTTCATAGCAAAAGAGATATAGCCAATGCTTCCTTTGCTAGACACTGAAAAGTGCTGGGGCATGCTGATAAATGACACGTGGACTCAAGGAAGTCAGGTGCTATAATTTCTCTTACATCCCAAATAATGATAAATTCGAGCTTTGTGAGCATTCTTAGCTTAAAAATATATTTGTACTGTGTGTGTCTGTGTGTGTGTGTGTGTGTGAGAGAGAGAGAGGCAACCATAAATTATTTTCAAATTTGAATTAAACTTACTTGGACCTAAAGTCATCGGCGGCCAGTTTGCAGTTGTCAAGCTGTACAGCAAGTCTAGAATTCTCTGCCTTTGTGCACAAGATCTGGAAAGTAAGTTTAAAAAATAGTTCTTTGAAAGAAACCTAAATACCTATTCATGTAACACCTATGCATTATTTATCTTTCAAAAGCCTTTATAAGACAGTATAAGTTTCAGCTTACTTTTCTTATTAACTATGTCACTTTATTAAAAAAACAGTGCCAATGTATATACGAAATAGAGAAATAAGAAGCTTTAACTTTTTAATGACCCAAAACATTTGCCATGTTCCTTGATGGTTGAACTCGGTTAAAGTTTTCTCCATAAGTAGTTTGTATTATGACCATATCCCCAGCCATGATATTAAAAATTCATCAGTAAGAAAAGAAAATTATTATTAGGTGAAATTAGATGATTAAAAAATGACATTTCAGGGGCTGGCCCCGTGGCTGAGTGGTTGGGTTCGCGCGCTCCGCTGCAGGTGGCCCAGTGTTTCGTTGGTTCGAGTCCTGGGCGCGGACATGGCACTGCTCATCGAGCCACGCTGAGGCAGCGTCCCACATGCCACAACTAGAAGGACCCACAACAAAGAGTGTGCAGCTATGTACTGGGGGGCTTTGGGGAGAAAAAGAAAAAAATAAAATCTTTACAAAAATGACATTTCAATATCTTATACTAAAAATAATATAGATGTACAGTGTTACATACAGAAATCATTTTAGATATAACAGGTTTTCCTCATGCTCTGCATGATAAGGTAAAGTTTAGAGGTGAGCGAGTTTATTATGGTCACTCAGGTAGCGGCGGCACTGGGGCTAGTGCTGATATTTCCTGACATGTAGTCCAGTGCCCTTCCCTCTACATCACATCCGCTCTGGGATGTCCCTTTCCCTGGCTTCTTCCGTAGAACGGCCTCTTCCCGTAAAAAGATAAAGCAAATCACAGATTGGGAAGGTGGGGAGTCAGGGCAATGAGGCACCAGACCTTTTGTTGGAGATCTTCAATCGTGTCAAAATAACACTGATAATCAGGGCACACCAACGGGACATCCTCTTCACATTGCTCTCGGATCCTGCATTCCAGCTCTGCATTCATCTCCTCCAGGCCGCGCACCTTCTCCAGGTAGTTGGCGAGTCTGTCATTCAGGAACTGCATGGTCTCCTTCTCATTGCTGTTGAACACCCCATCCTCACACCAAGCACAGTTCCCCACCAAGCACGGAATATTACAACTCCCAGCAAAGTGGCATGGCGTGATGCAACCGGCTGGCAAGTGAGACCGGGACAGGAAGCTAGGGGTCTGGCATCTGGATGCAGCACAGGCGTTGGGGAGACAAGTGGTTTCCAGCGAGCAGCTGGAAGCAATTGCACAATCAGAAGCCCCGGCACAGGATTCAGAAGGGCAGCCTGTGGGGGAGCCGTCAGAAGTCATTCTATTAGACGTGAAGAGCGAAGACTAGTTACAAAACTCTGATTGCCTGACTCCAGAGGTCTGCTTCCCTCCTGAGACTTTTATATAGCCCCCAAATGGGTATTTACAGAATGCACCGGATGTTTTCTTTATCACTGTTTGGTGCCAGTTTTCATATCAACATTCATTAGTGCTGTTTATTTGCTGAGAAAGAGTTTTATGCCTCATAAAAGAAGCTTAACTTCAGGTTACTAAATAAGGACACCATTTCCATGTGCTAGGAGGATAAAATGCTTGCTTCAGAAGATCTTCATAGGAAGCATCATCTTTTTGTCAGAATAAAGAAAGAAAGAAAATTTGGCCAATCACAAATTATAGATACAAATGATTATGAATACGGAAAACAGTATTTCCATAGATTTTGATCCTGTTCATTGAAAATTGTTTATTGTCTCCTTTTAAAATTAATGTTGCAACTCATTAAATGCCATTTATCTGTTTGTGCCACCACCATAAAACTGTTCTGTGTGTTTAGCAATCTTTGCAATGCTTTTTGTGGTCTTGCTGTGCTCACATGGTGGAGGAGTGAAGTGTGTACTGGGTTTAAAGCGTATGTGTGTGTGTTTGAACCAGATCTGCCTGTGTGCAAATTGAAAAGTCACTTTACATAACTGATGGGCATAATTTGTGCACTCCAGGCCAAAGTATAAATTGGTTATCAAGACCTGGAGTTACGATCTTTGATTTCCTGAAACTTGCCTTTCCCACATTTCCTGTGCCTCACGGGAAACTGAACCCTCATTCATTACGCTTCAGAGCAGGGGCAAGGAAGCTACAGAAGGCTTTTATTCTGAGATATGGAATCTGTTTTCTCTTATTTATTTATTTTTGGTGAGGAAGATTGGTCCTGAGCTAACATCTGTTGCCAATCCTCCTCTTTTTGCTTGAGGAAGATTGTCACTGAGCTAACATCTGTGCCCATCTTCCTCTATTTTGTATGTGGAATGCCGCCACAGCATGGCTTGATGAGTGGTGTGTAGGTCCGTGCCCAGGATCCAAACCCATAAACCCTGGTCTGCTGAAGCGGAGCATGTGAACTTAACCACTATGCCACCAGGCCGGCCCCTCTCTTATTTATTTTTGAAGACCCAAATGTCATGAAAATTTAAAATATTGGAACTGGGGAATAAAACTCTATGATGAGGGTTCCAGACCAGCAGTTCCGTCAGGTGAAATCCCTGGTGCAGGACAGAATGGCTACGGATTTGACATGTAGCGTCTTTGGATTTTCTCGTGAATTTCATCTCCATTGTTAAGCATAACCTATTTCACTTTGCTTGGCTTCAGTCATGGTTGTTTGATTTCGTAATATGCCCTTACCTCAGAACATCCACTTACTGCTGCCAGAATCGTTTTTGTAAAATAGGAATCTTTTTTTGCCACTCTCCACTTACGAAGTCCAAACTTCCTGGCTTGGCAAATATGATCTTCCTTAATCTGGTGCCAATTTACCTTTCTAGGCTGATTTCCTAATACTTTCTCATCCTTCAGCCTCTGTTGGTGCTGTTTCCTCGGCCTAAGGCTCTTCTACCATCTTTTCCTGGGTGAACCCACATGTCAAGACTTGTGACATGGCGTCCAACCGCCTCACGTCGAGATGGAGGCTCTTTCCATAGCATTTTGCGCACACCTCTACTATAGCACATTGTCACATTGTTTAAAATTTTTATGTTTATGCCTTTATTTTGGACAACGTCTCCTTTAAGACAGATGTATCTTATTTGTCTTCTTACCCTCAGCACTTAGGACACAATATAATAGGCCCTTAATAAATGTTTGCTTAAAAGTGTAATCACTGGGCTTAATACAGATTGTTTTGACACATGATTCCTTATGAAAAGAATTTAACACTCAAGGACAGGGAAAATTGGTGGAGGACAAAGAACACTGTCCTAGTGGACATAATATTTATATTCTAGTTCCAATGCTGTTGCGTGCTGGCTGTATTGTCTTCATCTAGTCATGCAGCCCCTTTGGGCTTTAGTCCTCACTGTAAAGTGGGAAAAATAATACTTGTCACTTCTACTGTATATCGTAGTCAAGAAATAAACAATATGAATATCTTTCACTTTATAAACAGTAAATTGTGATGCTAGTGTAAGATCTCCAGTTGGTGAATCTTGGTCCTCAATGACTCCATAATTGTCAAATACATATTGTTTTTGTTCCTCCAATTTTCTTGAGATAAAACTTACATATAGTGAAACACAGTTTTGACAAATGCATATACCTATGTAACCATCACCCCAGTCAAGATACCTAACATTTCCATGACACCAGAATGTTCCCTCGTGCCCATTTTCACCAGTCCCCACCTCCCAAAGGTAAACACTGTGCTGATTCCTATCACTATAGATTGGTACTCTCTATTTGTGAACTTCATTAGCAAATCACACAGTGTGCACATTTTTGAGTCTGGTTTCTTTCACTCAAAATCATAGTTTTTAATTCATCCATGTTGCCACTTGCACCAGCAGTTTGTTCTTTCTTCTTTAATTGCTGAGGAGTAGTTCATTTGTCAATGCAGATAACCATTAACCACTCAGTAGATAGGAGAGATAAGGTGAATTTTACCTGAGCCGAGAAGGTGGTCTCCACAAGGGGAGAAAGCGTTCTGGAGAAGTGTGGTTTGCAGCATGATTACAGAAAATTTCAGAACAAAAAACGTGCATCAAGCATGACAGGGATAGATTTCTTTCTCAAAGTCGTGAGGAGATATTTTGCTGCAGTTTCACAGGTAGACAGCAGATAGACCTGACTCTGTTTTCTGGGAAGAAAAACTTATCTTCAAAAGAGTACTGGTACTGACATCAGAGGAAGGGAGGTGTTCATCCCTCTCTTCAAAGAGTGCCTCCTTTGCATCGGGATAGTGTTTAATGTTTAAAGCAGATGTACAATGCATGTTTGACAGGCCATAAGTCAGGCTGCTCGGGGAAAAACAACTATAGGCCAAATCAGGTTTAAACCAGAATGGTTTCCCCATATACCTCAATCCATGAACATCTATTACTATTTTCATCACACTGTATGAATATGCTACAATTTATTTGTGCATTCTCCCTTGGAAGAACATTTGGGTCATTTCTTGTTTGAGGCTATTATGAATAAAACTTCTATAGCCATTCTTATACAAATATTTTTGGGATATATATTTTCATTTCTCTTGGGTAAATATCTAGGAGTAGAATGGTTGAGTCATAGAGTAGTTATTTGTTTCTTTTTATAAGAAACTACCAGACTTTTTTCCAAAATGATTATACTATTTTATACTCTTACCAATAATGTATAAGAGATTTCGTTCTTCTGTATCTTCACCAACATTTGATGCTGTCAGACATTTCAATTACAGACATTTTTGGTCAGTGTAAAGTGTTATCTCACAGATTAATTTACATTTCTCTAATGACTAATGATGTTGAACAACTTTTCATGCTTTTATTGGCCATTCGAGTATCTTCTTTTGTGAAGCAACTATTCAAGTCTTTTGCCTATTTTCACGGGCTGTTTATCCAGGAGAAAGTAAATGCCACTTGATGATACTTTCTCTACTGTCCCTCTGCACTTACCTTTCCCAGTGTTCTTTAAAGCTCCCTGTAGGTCTGAGATTTCATCTGCTATAATTTACTCTTTTAATCCAAAAGGACTTCCTTCAGCGTTTCTCATAGTGTAGGCTTTCAGGTGACACTTTTTATCAGTTTTATTTATCTAGAAATATTTCCATTTTTCCACCAGTTTTGAACATTGTTTTTTGCAAACTATAGAATTCTGGGTTAATACTTTTTTTTCTGTCAAGACCTTGGAAATGAGGTTTGATTGTCCTCTGACCTCCATTTTATCTGAATAGTAGTCAGACAGCCTGTTTCTCTTTGCTCCCTTCTGTTTAATGTGTATTTTTCCCTCTAACTTCTTTCAAGATACTCCAGTGATCTTTGCTATTTAGCAGCTATAGTATATCTAGGTGGGACGTGTGTGTCTCTGTGTGTGTGTGTGTGTTTAGGCTGTGTTTATCCTGCTTGGAGTTTGTTGAGATTCTTGAGTTTGTAGGTTAATAAAATATATCAATAAACTTGGAAAAATTTCAGCCTTCCCCCGCAGCCCCCAGTTTCTCTGCCCCACTTTCTTCTATCATTCCAGAACTCCGATTTCATGTATGTTGAACCACATGATACTGTGCCACAGGCTGCTCGGGTTCTGTTTAAACAAAAACAGTTAAATTAAAAAAGTTTAATTTTTTTTCCTCTCTATGTTGAGTTTTGATAATTTTGATCAATCTTAAGATTATTTTGAGCTGTCTTAATTCATTGACTTCACCCCTAATTGGCAGTTTCCACCCTGCTATTAAGGCCATCTGTTGAATTCTTTGTTTCAGATTATGCTCTTTGGTTCTAGGAGTTTCATTTGCTTCTCTCTTACTCAACTTAATTTAAATTTAAATTTAATTTATTATCAATTTATTAAATAAAAATTTAAAATCTCACTTTCTGGTGAGATTCTTCATCTTGTCCACACTTTTCCTTTCACATCTTGTTCATCTTTTTCTTTAAATCCCTGAAGATATTTATAACAACTATTTTTAAATCTTTGTCTGCTAATTCTAACATCTATGTATCTATGGACCTGTTTTTATTGGCTGCTTTTTCTCTTAATTATAGGTGACGTTTTCCTGCTTCTTCACACATCTGGCAATTTTTAATTGTATGCTGATCATTCTGGATGATCTATTTTAGGAAGTCATGATTATGTTGTAGAGTTTTGAGGGTTGAGTTTTGCTCTGACAGGAACTTAAATCACTGGAATATCCTCTTGATCCTCTCAGCCTTGGTTTTAGACTTTTCTGGGACAGGTGTAATTTGGTGTGTTCTTTATTCAGGCTTGTGATCCTTATTCATTTGGTGTGTTCTTCTGGAACATCGGTTCAATGCATGAGGTACTCAGAGAGCTTTGTCCACTCTGGATGGGCTGGAACGTTGATGTCTGTTGGTATAGAATGTCTTCTGGTATCTCCATTCAGCTCCGTATCCCCCAGCAGCCAATTTCTTCTAGCCTCCTGGGATTTCACCCTGCGTGTGTGCAACCCAGCCCTCGGCAAGTACTCTATAAGAACTTTTACACAGACTTCTGCACCTTCCCTCATACATCTTCTTCCTTTCTAGAACACTGTTGTGCAAATTCCAGCTGCCTAAACTTCATCTAGATATGCCACTTGTGCCTCAAACTTGACACGTCTAGAGCAGAACACTGTATTTCCCTTTTTAATTCTCTCCTCCTGTGCTCGATTAGTGACAGAACCCCACTCCCTAGTCTTTTTTTGACACCGTCTTCTCTCGTACAGCCCTTTGACCACCAGTTCCAGTCAATTTGTCTCTGAGTATGTCTTTCTTCTCTTTATCAGTGTGACAGCAATCTTAATTTCTTAATTGTTCTTAATTTTATAGTACCACAGCACTTTACTAATGCTACTGGTAGAGCACTTGTATTTTTTATTATAATGCAATGCCTAGCATTCAATAAATAATTGTCAATTATATGAAGGAATGAATGGGCATTGCGTATGTGTCTGCCTCACCTGCCAGACAGTCAGCTCATTTTGAGCAAGGACAATAAAATACAAAGCACATAGTAAGTGTTTAATAAATGTTTATTGAATAAATAATGACATTATTACGTTATTAACTTTTTGCATAAATAGATAAGGTCACCTGGATTAGTTGAAATATTATGTCATATTTTGTCTTTGGATCATGTTCAGTATTTCCCAACCTACCTTAAGCCATTTTTTGGGAAGACTAGTCAGTGAAAGTCTACTTTCAAGTATGCTGACGTACTGGATCATCTTCTATGCAAGGCCATTTAGTTTTCTTAAACCAGTAAGAAAAATAAAAGCAAGAAATATCTGTCTGAACTGCCACCATTTTCAGTTTTGCAGATGTTCTCAGTTTTTCCTAAAATGCTGAGTTTTGGAGTTAAGAAATACATTTAATGAATTAAGAGAAACAAACACAAGTAATTGTAGACATTTGTGCTATGCCAGAGACATAAAATTTATTAGCATGATCATGAAGAGGCTCCTCAATTTCCAGAAAGATAGAACCCAAGACTGAAAACAGAATTCCCAAAGCACCCACAGAAAGATATACTTTAATATGAAGGAATTGAACAACTTTGGAAAGCCGATAGGCATCCACCTGCTCAAATTGCCTTTGATTGCTGATTTCTGCTACGTGACCATTGAAATTCTCTTGGTTTCTTTTTCTAGAGGGTTGTCAATGATAGTGTCATCCTTTCCCCAATTTCAAAAGCAGAATCACTTAGTTGCAGGTGCTGAGGCAGGTGAACACCAAAGCTTCTGGGTTGATTCTTTCAATGTCAGGCACTGAGCAAAGCAGCCGTCAGTCAGCAGCATCTTGGGATGCAGGGCTCACAGCTGGGCTGGGTGAAGGTTGTGAGGTTGAGGGTCTCCAGGCCTGGGGTGGGCTGGGAGGAGTTGAGCAGGAAGCAGGTGGGCACACAGGGCTGAGGAATGTGGCAAGGTGGGGGACAGTTGTCACAGCAGGTTGGCTCCAGTAACCAAACGGTGTGTGGGCAGGTGCTGGGCAGGCAGACTCCACACCGGCAGCATCTGTCAGAGGAGCAGATGGTGGTGGCGGGGCCGGTGGGGACACTGCAGCAGCGGGGAGCACAGCAAACCATGGCGGTGGGAATCTGTGTTTTTATTGGTTTGGTTCTAAGACAGAGGCTTCTGAGGTGTGAATGCCTCCCCTTGCTCTGGGGATCTTATATACTCTCCCCAGTGGGTGTCGGCCCAACCAGAAGGCTTCTTTCCTGGTTCTTGTTTACATTAGTGTACCCATTATCCTTTGATTGGTTTGACATTGAGATGCTTACAAAGAGTCTCTATTCTCCTAATTAACATTTATTTGAGTTCCTTGCTAAATCGGAACTGATTACTCTTGCTATTTGTCACTGGAACACAAGCTTTATGACTTATCACCAAAGGCTTCTGCTATTATAATTCCAACACCAATCCTGCTGGGGAATAATGCATGACAATACACCCATAGTATGTACATCTTTTCTCTAGTACTGGTCGATTTTTATTCTCTTTACTTTTATCTGTTTATCAATTGGTCTGATGAAGCATTCTTGTTTTAAAGAGTTGAGCTTAATTTTAGTAACTCTTTTAGCTTTGGGACTTTAAAAAATTAATTTCTTTTTCATCGAGATATAATTGATACATAATATATTAGTTTAGCTTTGGATTTATGAGGATCAAACTTACATTAACATGGAGAAATATGCTATTGAGAAATATAGGCAGAATTTTAAAAAAACACTTATTATTCTATTTCTTACTATAAAACATTACATATTCATTAAAGAAATTTGGATAATAAAGGAAAGTGTGAAGAAAACAACTCATCCATAATCATCAAGAGAAGTTCTCTATTAATATTTACATATGTCCCTTTAGTCATTTTTCTGTACATTTGTTTATCATTTTATTACATTACTGGAATCATATTGTACCTACTGTTCTATAACTTGCTTTTTTGTTTGAACGTATATATTTTCAATATCTTGTAATCTTAAGTATGTTTGATAATGTTAGTTTTAATGTTTCTTAGCATTCATCATATAGTTATACTTCTAAGTTACGTAAAAATTTCACATTATTAATCATTTAGGTTTTTTTCAACTTTATGATAATTGTGGCAATGGAGAACAACTGTGTATATAATTCTTTATGCACACTTCTGATTATTTCAGAAACAGAAATAATTATTGGGTAGAATTATTGGAGAAAGTTTTGATTAACAGCATTTTAATGCCCTTGAGATTCATTGCCGTATAGCCCTCTAGCACGGTTCTGTTTACCTTTTTTTTTTCCGATTATGTATTCCCACTAGCTGTGTTTGAGAATTCCTATTTCCTTATACTTTTGATGGATATTTTATTTTAAAAGTGTTTGCCAATTTGCTGGATGAAAAATGAAATTTCATTATTGTTGTATTTGTATTTTTTATAACTAGTTAGGTCAAAACATTCTTTCATACGTGCATTGGCCGTTTATAGGACTGACTTGCTTTGTTTCCTTCATGGCTCAGTGTGGGAAAATTGAATTTTTAGCTTATGTCTACACACTAAGTAAAAGAATACTTTAAGACCACAATACTAAAATTCAAATGAAATTGCTACCAGTGGAAAGTGAAGTTATGGGCCAAAGCTAGAGTAATCTGTCCACGTTTGATTCATTCACTGCTTTTTTGGTTTGCTTTCAGTGTACTGCATTTTCTCCCCGAATCAAATGTGACCTGACAGGAAGGATCCGGGCCCCAGTTCTCGTACGCCATGCAGGCTTCAGGCCTCATTCAGTGCGTGAGAGGGAGCGCAGAGTGCACTCCTCCCCAGGATCGTCCTGCGCCCCAAACAATTTCTACTCAACTTTGACTCACTCATCCTTCAAGCCCCAGTTCTTCTCATTTTCTTCCCATCGCCTCCTTTAAGTAGGCCTGTGTATCAGAGCGTGATGGTGGGCATGTCTGTGTGGTTTTTAGGAGGGGGTGCAGAATCGACAGGCCCACATTCGGAGTCAGAAGAGCTCTTTACTGGTTCCAGTCCTGCTTGTGAATTACCTGCCTTGTTATGGCAAATAATTCACTCTTTGGAGCCTTATCTTTCTCCTCTGCAAAACAAGGGTAATAATATCTACGTTCTTCCACTCAGAAGATGATTGTGAAGCTCCCGTGAGATAAAATGGGTGAAAGTCCATAGATAGCCACAAAGTGCTACACAATGATAAATTATTATCATTATCCATGTAAGTTGCAGATCAAACTCAAAGTAAGGGAAAGGGGAAAGAAATATAGTCCACAGAAGAAAAAAATGGCTGGAAATAAGTAAAAGAGCGACCTTATAGGAAAGAGCAAACATTTATCTAAAACTTTACACATACATTCTGAGGAAACGGCTAGCACAGAAATTAATAATTTTCACATTTTAAAAAAGTTCTCTATGGCTCTCCTTGGAAGAAAGGATTTGTGATCTCTGCTGGCGTTCCTGGACTCCAAACAGATTTATCTTTGAGTGAATACCTGCCAAATTTTTACTTTTACTTAGGACTGATTAATATTGTCAGTATTTTTAAAATAATTCAGTAGACATTTATTACATTTATTGAGCAGTTACTACGTGTCAGGCACTGGGATAAATGTTGGATATACAGCAGTGAACAAAATAGACACCATCCTTTCCCTCCTGGAACTTAGAGGCTGGTGGAAGGTTTATCACACACATACTATATTAGTATAAATTACTATTATTATATGTTATGATAAGAAGGAAAAAGACTGAGTTCTAAGAGCAAAAAAACAATAAGCAGAAGGAGATTATTTCGACATTTTAAGAAAAACATTACAAAGGGGCTTGCAGACTCTCACAAATTAGAATTTTATGGAAAGAAAGATACAATTTCTTGTTTAGAATGCAATGTTACTTTGAGTCAATCTTATAAGGATAAAGGAATTGTTACTGTTCCATATAGAATGTTTCCATAATTATAAATAAGACTTAAGTTTACAGATTAGAACCAGTTGTAAAATAACAAGTTTATGATAATAAACTCATCTCTTTTATTGAAAAAGCTTGCAGTACTTTATTAAAACTTATTCTCTGCAATGGTCTAAGAGACTTGGGAATAACACTCTTTTGTTTATAAATTAGGGTAGTGAGGTGAGATAATTTGCCTTAGATGGCCTGGTGACTGACTTGTTAAAAACAAAATTTATGACCTATTGGGATTGAGTTACCTTTTATGTCATTTAAAATGGGAGTTTAAAATATGTGTCGGAGATACTAAACATATTTTTTTTTTTTTAGAAACAAAGGGTACCTTTTTCCTTTAAGCAAATGCAGGAAAAACATGATAATTCTTGGTTAGATGGTAAATTTTCCAAGTGATGAAAATCTACACACACACACACACACACGTCCAAGAACTTGCCAGTTTTAATTATATTTTTCTATGGTTAGCGGGGGTAGCTATGACAATGAAGACAAATTAAAGATTGATAATAAAAAGAAATAGTTAGAAGTAAAATATGGTTGTTAGTCTCCTGTGTCAAATCTCTCAGTGCTTCGGGTTTCAGTCTAAACCCCTTTGCCTGGGGAGCTCCACCTCAGTGTCTTTGCATTTCTCTCCTCCACTCCTCATCCTCTCCCATCTTCAGTGCATCCCTGAGTTAGTAAGCTGCTCTTCTGTCTGGAACAACCACTCCACACCTCTTCTGCCTCATGATCTTTTATTTTATTTTTTATTTTTTTGCTGAGGAAGATTGACCCTGAGCTAACATCTTTTGCCAATCTTCCTCTCTTTCTGCTTGAAGAAGATTAGTCCCAAGCTAAGATCTGTGCCAATTTTCCTCCACTTTAGATGTGGGATACCTCCACAGCATGGCTGGTGGGTGGAGTAAGTCCATGCCCAGGATCTGACCCATGAACCCGGGCTGCTGGAGGGGAGTGCGCCAAACTTAACCACTGTGCCACGGGGCTGGCCCCCTCATCATCTTTTACTGCTTAGCCTGGGTAGCTCGGAGGCTTTCCAGAACCATCCCTCACCCTGACACTGAGTCAGCAAGTCCAGGTTTTAGTTACTCTTTCTGTGTGCTTCCCTGGCATGCTGCTCACATCTCAGTCTCAGCAGAAATCACATGGCATTATAATTATATTCATACAATATAGAGAGAACACATGTATTGTGATTATAATAACTCGTCTGTCTCCTTCACCAGATTTGAGAGAAACTTGAGGGCACTTCAGGTAATAACTTTTTTTTTTTAGTATTTATACTCCTCGCATGGATATGGAGCCTGGCACAGAGGAAGCACTCAAGAAATATTGGCCAAGTGAATAATAAATGGACTACATCCCCTGTTGACACTATCCTAGGTCGTGTCCCATCTACCCCATGGCTTCCAAGTTCTGTTCATTCAACGTTGAGCTACTAATAAGCCTGTGGGACCCCCTGAGAAACCCCTCGGTGGAGAGACTGACAGACACACTGAGGACATTTAAAAACAGGTCATTTAAAGGCATTGTGTCTTTATATTTATATTATACACATAAATGTACTGTATTTGTATATATGTATTGGATAGATGTACACATTACATATATAATACATATGCATCATCTTTCTAAGGTTGGGAAAAGGATAATCCACTCAAGGTAAAATTAAGTAGGTTGGTGAAATGAAGTAATAGATTAAATCATGTTTAATCGGAGTTTTAGCTCTAGTTCCCAGCCTATCACCTGAAAAGTATTGGCATTCTAGTGATTGCTGGGGTAGAACTTCCGTGCCGACCTGGTGGCCAGGAGAGATATATCCCCACTGTCCTGCTGCTGCAGTTGACCACTGTAACATCTCTCTAAGGGAAGATGAAGCCAAAATTGGTAGACACACTAAACGATCCTGACCTTAGAATTGAATACTTGCCACTTTTAATCTATGAACCAATATATCCTTCTCTTTTACAATTGGATGTGATAATTTTGTTAAAGAGTTTTACATTTTTCATTTCTCTTGCACATTTTAAGTTAATGTCATAACTGTGTTCATTAAGCTTCTGGCTCTATTAGCATTGGAGGCTCTGTGATGTGGTAGAAAGAAGTGAGCTTTAAAGTCAGACGTACAAGGAGCTGAATTCTGGTTTTCTTAGCAACTAACTTTATGACTTTGAGAATGTTGAATAACTGTTAAAGCTTCATTT